TGTAGGATTGACAACATCCTTAGATAAGTAACCATGTTGAATGGAAAGAAAGTTTAAAACGTGCAATCTGCATCTAATAATAACCAGTGCTGTCAGTAACCATAACAAAAAAACACATTTTTGAATCATAGTATAGCTTTTATCTCACTGATAGTATTATATATATTTCTATTCACTTATAATGCTAGACAATATTTGAATCGAAAAGTTTACCAAAACCTCACCTTTTCCCATTTGCAGAGGATGTTTGCCGTCAGTCACATTTCTAGGAAAATTGTGTGTTATTCAAAGGCATTAATTAATCGTAAAAGTTTATGAAAGCCGCAAAGAAGTTTTGTTTTAGCAGGCCTAAAGCAAGCAGTATTAGTTTACAATGGGTAACATGCATCTCTGGGTGTTACTAGGTTTACATACCAATATTAAGTAAAACAAAATTATAAGTAAAACAAGATTTAAATTGAATATATCTTTTATTTAATGGACCTAGAAGTTGCACTGTATATCAACGATCTACATAAAAAACTTCAGTTGCAGTTTAGAATCTTAGAAAAAGCCTGCAGGACAGTTTTGTCTCAGTAGAACATGTGGTTATATTTCCTGATGTCCTGAAGAAATTGAGAATTACCGTCCTATCTCTACATTGTATGTCTTAGGTAAAATTTTTGAAAAGCTCACATACTCATTTGACTCAGAGGGAGTGGCAAAACTAAACGTGAGTGACCGAGGAAATAATCTTCTTTCGTCATTACAGTCATATATTGTATATGAGAGCAAATGAGTTACTTAATTGACGATGTTAATCCTTCGCAGCTCGGCGTGGCCCAGTGGTGCATTTTGATGATCTAACCACTAACGAAGGTTGCGAGAAACATTATTTGATGCGCGGCGCGGCCCAGTAGTGCATTCTGCTACAACCTGCAAACTTGCAATAGATTTCTATAGTCGCCTTGAAAGCACTGAAAATAAACTTCTCTCCTCTGCATTTCATGAGCAGATTAACCTGGTATGGGCCTTTTGACACACGTACACAAACGTTGCATACCTTTTTTAGCGCGAAGCAGCCGAAGGCAATAATCTTTCTTTTCATGCCTAACCAGGTGCTTTCACGCCAAGGTCTTTGTGTTGTATGGTCATTTTGGTAGTTGTTGTATGGTCATTTTGGCAGTTGCAGTTCCAACTGTTAGAGCAAGGCTTTCCTTGGTATAGCAACATCTCCAATCTTCTAACCAAATATAACTTCCCCACTCATTATTTTCAAAATCTAAGCTCTCTACCCAAATCAGTCACAACATGAGGAAATAATTTGTGGATACTTGGAAAACTGCCGCCAGGCATCCTCGCCAAAATTAGAATTCTATAATCAAATTAAACATGACTTTGAACAAAAAACATATTTAGCAGTGGTCAAGATCCCTGATGCTCGAAAAAGCTTATAACAAGGTTTCGTATTAGCTGCCACAACCTGTAAATTGAGAAGGGCCGATACGAAACCTCCCTAGTACCAAGAAAATATCGATGGTGCACTTACTGCTTTTTCAGCAAGGGCTTAAGCCTATTGATATGAGGATCGACGACCATTATGTTTTAACTGACTGTTAACTTTACCATCTACTCGATCCTCAGTTAGGGAAAAATTTAGCTTTTATCCCAAAAATATGACTGACCTAGCCGGTTTGCTTTACAATAGAAATCTATACCCTGTCAAATTGACTGTCACAGCAAGAGCAATTCATTCAAGCATGCTTGATTCACGATGTCAATCCTTTGCAGCTCGGTGAGGCACAGTGGTGCATCTCGCCGATCTACCGAAGGTTGCGAGAAGAATTATTTGATGCGCGGCGCGACCGAGTAGTACATCGCGCTACAAGAGCATGCTAAATCACTCAACAGTTAATCTTCGAGATTGTGTTCCCGATCCATGACTCAAAGTGCGAAAGGCACTAAAAAGTCAAGGACAAGGGTTAGCGAACGAATTTTTTTCGTATATAGTAGCTTGCGCCGGCCGTCGTGCCTGCTGCAACCGTGCATACTACTATACGTACCCTCGATCGCGCACAGTTATCGCCCACATTCCTACATCCTATAATACCTGCTACCTCCTACCTGCTACCTGCGCAATAAGTTATTTTGAGCGATAATTCGAATTATATTATTGCTGAACTGACCAATGACAAAGTACGGCGGGTCTACAACTTATGAAAAATACCAAATATGAAATACATTGTTAATTTCACCTTGGATGACTTCGCCGCTTCGATGTTGCTCTAACCAGAGCCCTCTCGCTTGCAGTAGCGCGCGACCGCCGTAGACGGCAAAAGATCTACTATCTACTTGTGAAACAAGCGCGTCACGCAGTACGCGTAGACACATGGCTATGTGAAGCTTCGATGCGCCGCGCAAATTATCATTTTTACTTCGAATCTGTAGGTTTATAATGTATAACCTATACTACCAAAACGCGCGCGCCGAGTTGGACTCTTCGACTGTCTTTATATATTTGAAACAACTATTTTACGAGTATCACCCGTTAATGGTTAACTTTGCATCGCAGACGAAATCGTTGCTTTGTTAATTCGCAGAGCAACGATCTAAATAGGAAAAATTGAATGACATCGTCGATCTTGATGGATGTTACTCGTTTAAATTTCTTCGAAGTAGCGCGCGCGCCGCTTTCTTCTTGAAATGGCAAGTGCTACGAAGCCAGACCATTAACCGGAACCGGGCCAGACCTGCATTAACAACATGGTCAACGTCGATCAAATTTCACCGTGTAATGCACGTATCCCATTATTATATAGGCACTTGATTTACATAATGTCATTGACGGATGTTACTCGTTTAAATTTCTTTGACATTTGAAGTACAACTTGATACATGTTTCGTATCCCGCGCCTCGCGCGCGAAAAGTGGCATGAAATGCAACGTATGTCAAAGTACAACGTAGCGCGCTCCGCGCCACTTTGTTCTTGATTCACGATGTCAATCCTTCGCAGCTCGGTGAGGCACAGTGGTGCATCTCGCCGATCTACCGAATTTACCGATCATCTACTAGGTGGTTGCGAGAAGAATTATTTGATGCACGGCGCGGCCCAGTAGTGCATCGCGCTACAACGTTCAATATGGAATTGAAATTATATTAAGGGGCAGGGGGGTCTTTATGAAATTTCTCTCGTAATCGATTTTCTATTTGCTTCTGATAAATAAAAGGAGAGTATTATCCATCGGCTGCTTTTGGTCCCATGAAAAAATACATTGTTCCTAGCCGAATTTTTTGCCGGTCAAAGGTCAATGGGAGGCCCCTCTCTATTATTAGGGGCCAGGGAGATCAGATCATGTCACTAATCAGTGACGTATAATTAGTGATGTGATCCATCAGTAAAATTTAACTGACCTAGAAATGGGCTAGATACAGGGTAGAGTTCACATGTACATCATAGCTGTGCATTAAGAAGTAAACATGATCTTTTAAGATTTGACCGCTCGACTCTTATATCACATATAAGGGACGGGAGCTCTTGCTAAAGGGGGGTTCTCGTATCTAGGGAGGTGAGACGTACGTGCCAAAGGCATGCAACGGGAGTGAGCCGATCAAGTGTTTTTAGGTATATATACTGGAAGATGATTGACGGTTGTTACTCGTCTAAATTTCTTCGATGTTCGAAGTAGCGCGCGCCGCTTTCTTGTTTCTTCTCGAAATGATGGCACGAGCTACGAAGTAGCGCGCGCCGGGCCAGATCATTAACAATGGTCAAGAAGATGATAGACAATAGTATCGCATTATATCAACATGCCTACCTTCTCCAAATTTATCTCTGGTCGGACAGGATGTAAACAGCTACTCGACTCTGATGGATACATTTACTCCCGGAAGAAGGACAAGTATTCAGCCCTCAAGTCTGCCTAGCGGTGCTGCAAGCACACTCCTCTTTCACAGAGGATTTAAATCCCGAGTGCATCGTCCAAAGACCTCTGTTCAAGAGTATGTGCGAGCTATCAAAGTGCAGCAAGTCATTACTGACTTTCACATCGACAGGTTGAGTGTTGGCAAGACACCCGCTAAGAGGCGAGTTGCCATACCCAACTCCACGATATCTGTTCTTTCTACTCAACATACTCTAGCAAGATCGAGTATTTGTTTACTGTAGCCTCAATGTTTGGGCACGATATTTAGTAAACTATAATTGATGTATTCAGTATTCAGTATTCAGTATTCAGTATTCAGTATTCAGTATTCAGTATTCAGTATTCAGTATTCAGTATTCAGTATTCAGTATTCAATAAATTTGATTAATTATCCTACGAAAAAATGTGTATTGACTTGTTAATTTAAATCAAAAGTAAGGGGTAAAACTGGGCTAGATGTAGGGTAGAGTTCACATGTTCTGTAAATCGTAGCTGGTGGATCATATCACTAATTATATGCGCTCCCTAGGAAAATCGAGTCTAAAAATCTATCTTCTCCTACATTTTTTGAGTAATCACCTTGAAACTTTCAGGATATGTTCATGTTCTAAAGACCATTTAGGAGATTCTGTTCGATCAGAATGTTACAGTTAAAATAGGCCTTAGAAAATGTTGTATTCGATTTTGAAAATCTTGGACCTCGTTTTTTGACGATTTTTACTTTAATCAGCATTTACTTGCAAAAGGGGTTGCAGCGTGTGTCAAGCATTTACTATGATGCCAACGCGCACCGATTCAACCTCAGACTGGTTCTGATGCTTTGTGGCATGTAGCCTCTGTAACACTAGCAAGAGGTCAGTGGGTCGAAAGACTGAAGAGATGCTTTAAAATTTGTATTAGACGATGGTGATTCCTTAAATCTGCATGCTTCCCGCCATGGATTTTGCAGTAGTCAATCTGCATGAATCAATTACATTAATAACGATTCACATGATCGACTTGGCAACAATATGTTTGTCTAATTTCTAAGTTATAAATATAAATTAGTGAATCTTCTATTTAGCTAGGTCATAGGTGTTCCAATAATACATAGTAAATTTGAACGAAAAAAATCTTTATTGTAATCGTTAAATAATGTGTTCTTAGTTTTCATTTGTACATAACATCATCCAAAAACTGTACATAAAAACTATACATCGTATATAACCATATGTCCTCTCGGATCGGTGATATGCATTCAGTTCAATGTTAATAACATGTCCATATAATCTGGGATATATTCTATAGTTATAGCTTAAAGTGTAAGCTGCCAGTTTACAATCAACTTTCAGGAAATGTAAGGAGATCAGAAAAATTGTTATCACATTTGAGTTATGTGTGCAAATATATGATTCGGAAGTATATCATTGTCTCAAATCATAATTCTCAAGTAAAAATTAAACCATCCAAACCCACTGTAAGTGTAAGTAATTCAAACCTAAAAGAAAATTTAAGCTAAATTAAAGTTTAAAGCTTCCTAAAAATTAAACATATCAATAATATGAATAAGAAGAGGTATGGTGTCCACCGATTTAAAAGTCTATGTTACTAAACCATGAGCCGGCACCCGGCAATATAACGACTCTCTTTCCACACGTTGGAGGTGCCAGCGTTTTCATAACATTTCTTGCACTGTTCGCAGCGTTTGTATTTGTCGCATTGATCGAGCAGCAGCGATCCTGTAGAGGGTAATGTTAGAGGAGACCTTGGTTTCCGGTAACAGATTGAGTTTTACCGTTCGTACATAAAAATCGTGCGGAGTTGAACCAAATGTTCTGTGCGATCAGCAATATCAATAGAATATACGTAAAAAGATGTATTGATGAGGTTATATTTTTAAGAATGTGACTATCAAGAAATTTCTATGGACTGCACCTGGCACCAGAAATGTGAGAGTCTACAAATGGATAAGGAAGGATATGAAAATAGTTTTCAGTGATAAGTTTGGTCAGATTTAGGAAAAGATTTGAGTGGCTACGTACGCTACTAAAGATAATATGCGTTGTGTGTATGATTCATATACTATTATATAAGTAAATTGAAAGACAAGTCCTAGCATAATTCCACTAGAAGGTTAGAAAAATGGCTCGAGTATTCAAATGCGCTGCACTGACAAAACGACTGCACTAAAAGGAGTGATCACCTATCCCAAATGTGAAGCAGAGTCAACCCTGGAGACATTCGGTCAAGTTAGAGCTTTGACATTTCTTAAGGTGCTAAGCAGTGAGCGGGGAATCATGATTTTAAAGTTTCAATCCTGATCAGACAGGAGTGAAGTGAAAATTAACCTGATTTCATCCGGTGTTTGAGTTCGTCAGTTTCACGTGACACCTTGAGTTGGCTTTGTGCCAACCAGCTTTTCTCCAAACCATCTCTTACCCCCTTTCTCATCAAATACTTCTTGTAGCATTCCTCTCGTAGCCTATAAGATCAGCAACTGATTATTTTGTACACAATAATGTTGATCAAAGTTAATAAGAAATAATATGAGGTGGATAATAATTCAAAAAGTAGACTTACTCTGTTTTGGCTCGTTCCAAGAGCTCAACTTCATATTTCACCGAATTCTGCTTTTCTTTTTCTACACCGTTTTTCTTGTCCTCCATCGCTTTCAGCTGATGTTTCATCACTTCTTTTGCCCTCTTTCGCATGTCCCTTACTCGTTCCGGAGTAACGTCGATCTTACCAAAAATGGGTCCTTCTGAATCGGGAACAGCAGGTGGAAACCGGAATGGCTGGTTTTGAAGCTGGCTATTGAGAGCGGTCTGGTATTGTTTTATGGCGGAAGCTTTGGACTCGATAAACCGCTGTTTGGAGGCAGCGAGCCCCTGAGTGAGATACGTCTGCTCGGCGCGTTCCTGCTTGTCAGTCTCACTTTTCTCTTTCTGGTGGCGGTCTGTTTTTATCTTTACTTGTCCATCCAGTATGTTGCTATATTGATCTTGTGTCAAATATCTACGCGGTACTGTTCCGCTTCGAGCGAAAATGTACGATTGCTGAAATTTTGCTGTGGTCAAGCGTACATGGATATGATGCCATATTCATGAGCATAATAATAAATAAACAGAGATTGGTAAACACTAAACAGCATGACATCAGCAGACACCAAATAAATGATTTCAGATTAAGAAAGCACGCGAAAATGTTAACATTTACATGGAAGGCTTTGTCAGGAACTTTCTCTTGTCGAACTTTTTCTGCCAGAACAAGATTAGACTCAGCAACTTCTTTACACATTTCCTTCTCGCGTGAGACATACCGCTGTAAAATATTAGCGTTACACAAACCAGTCAGTTGAATCAACCCGGCATGATATTCTGAAGACTGGGAATTTTAAACAACACTATTATTTGTACACTGCCGATTTTCATGAGAATTTATCGAAAAGTGGAAGAACGGTAAGCCGCAAACCCGTTCTTGGTCGTAAAACTGATCATCTTTAAACATCTGGTACTGTTGCAGAACGCGGTCTAGTTCCTGCTCGGCCTTGGCCTTCTCCTCCGTGAAGGATATTGGAATATTACGGCGCTGCCTCTGGTGACACAGATAACACAGCTCCTGGCCAGAGTTGTGCTTGCAACCAGCCGCCCTGCAAATATTGGTAAATTTCAACTAACTACAGATTTTAACTAAATCAAATCATACTTGAACCAACTCTTGATATACCGTTCGTTAGAAGATTTAAAACACCAGTTGGTAATACGTAGAATCAGCTAGGCTATTATTATAAGTATAGCCTTGTATTATTGATGGCCAAATACCTGCGCCCGTGTTTAACTTTACGGTTATCGTACATGTTGAGGAGGTACATGTCGAGGAGGTAACGATACTATGAAGTGAGACAGTGACATTTATTCGAATAGATAAAACGATGGGTGTTGCAGCTATGACAAAGGCATATAGCCGAAACGTCGACAATACATCATGTATTTGGTTTTACAATTACAGTGAGTGTAGACTCTCATTTCGTCTCCAGTATTGTCAATTAATTCCGAGATACAGTAAAACCCCAATTTACGGCCAACCCGGTTAACCGCGGCAATTTTCTTCCCTGCAAATGGGGGCTGAACTATTAACAATAACATGCATTACTTGAAAAATCAAAACCCCGATTTAACGCGGTAAATTGAGCTTGAGGTTTTACTGTATGTATGCTTTTTGACCAAAAAGACTGTTGGTGTCATAGATACATAACAAAACAAAATGATAAATACTCTAACTAAAACCGGCTTCAAAGTGGACTGAAGAAACAGAAAGGCATGAAATAGGACAGATCACGCTGCATTATGGTAGACTGCTTAACAATTAGGATGATTTATAACTTTATAACCTTATAATGGCCTCTAGTAAATGCCAAGCTGATCTTTGTTCGACGCAGACGTTTATTTGTCCATTGCATCATTGAGCTGGAGTACCCTGTGCACTATGGCAACGGGCCTGGCTACAATGTAAGATGTCGACGGGGACAGCGAGGGGCTTGAATATTAATAAATGGTAAATGGTTTAACTACTGAATCTATTACTTCGTTACCTTCTTAGTAATGTGACATAAAGCTTTGCTAATTACGACTCACAATTCTGGCGACAGAGGTTTCTTGGCTTCTTCCTCGGAAACGATGACAGTTTGTAACGGATCTTTAAACGTTGTCTTAATCTCCTTCTCTGGGAGCGGTTCTTCCTCTTTTACTTTTACTGGCTTCAGATCTGCGTAGCACGGTTAATAGTGGGGGGGGGGGGGGGGGGGGAATAGTAGATTATAAAGTAGACTGTTAATTATCTGGGTAAATATTTAATAGAAACGATAAGACGAATAAACAAATCTCTGTGTTCTAATTAACGAGGACAGACAACCAAATGAGCATCTCTGGGGGGAGTAGGGGCCTATCTCCTGCTCCTCGTACCAGCCAAAATAACAAACGAACAAACAAACTACCAATTATGAAACGTGAATTACAAAGCGATTAAAAACAGTTAAGAAGTAAGATAGGCTCCAAAGAAATGAAGTTACTTATGAGACTAGCCAATTAAACGACTGAATTGCTTAACAAAAGAAAACTAACCAATAAACAGAACAGATGAAAAGTATGCAATACCTGATTTTTTGATCTTGCTTATATTTTCCAGTTTTGGTATTTCCATCCCACCGTCGTAAGCTAAAACATCGCTACAGAAACTAGATCTAGTTGGCGGTGCTGGCAGATCAAACTTCACCTCAAGTTCATTCGGGACCTCGTCCTGATAATGAACATGATTAGAGAATCAGTAATCCTCCCCATCAAAAAATTTGCGAAATCATCGATATCTGAATAATAGGACTCACATTTATCACTTTAAATTTAAGAATATTTATTAGTAATTTCTAAAATACATTTCAGTAATGTTTGAATTAAGTTGTACCTCATCGACGGTTCCAAGAGGCGAAAGGGTGAGGTTTCCACCGTGGTTACTAATCACTGATGGGGGTCTATCTGGTATTTCATCCTCAGTTTTTGTGTTCGTCCAGATATTTCTATTGCTGGCACTTGGTAAAACGTATGTGTTAGGTCTCATGCTAGACATAGAGCTCATCATCGAACTTCTCGAAATGAAGGAGTCAGTTGTATGGGGTCGAGATAAAAGATGAGATGTCATCAGAGACCTGGTTCCATCTATTGTTCGTAGGAAATCTTTAAAGAATTTCATCTTCGCCTTGCCGTCTTTGACTACCAACTGACCGATGTCTTTGAATGCGAGATACGAATGTTTTCTCGAGTTAACTGTGCGTGAAAATGTAGATATGAGCTCTCGAATGCATGTGTCAACAACATCTCTGTCTACGCCAATCTCCATCGAAATGGCAGCCAAGTTCAGTTGAACAACCGGCACCTCTCCTGAGAAAATGTATCATGAAAGGCCAGGGGTCATGAAGTCGAATACTCTGATTTTTAAAAAGTTGGTTTCGGATGTCATGACATAAAATTGTTTTAAACAATAGGGCAAAGCACATAATTTTGTCATTTTTTGGCAATTTTCCGACTGCCTGATATAAACCATGGGTTTTAACCTCGTCTGAAATTCCGATTTAGATGAAACCTCCACCATGTTATAGTAGACAGTTGCAGTCTAGGCAAGTTCTAACACAAAAATGATCGAAATTGCTGGGGTTGAAGATGTTCAAAAAAATTATTTTGAAAAAAATGACAAAATTTGGTGACTTTACTTAATTTTGTCACCCCGAACCTAATTTTGTCACTTGAAGATTGTGCAAAAAGTAACCGTTTCTCGGTATTTTAGACTACCTGGATGCATCATTCGAGCGCTTTTTTACCAACATTGACCTCAAAAATCCCAAAGATATGATGTTTTCATAGTTTTGTAGCTTGATGAAAAGATGACACTTTTTGGGTATCTAATCTTAGAAAATAGCCCCAAATGCCCCTGAAACCACTGGCATCTTGAAAAACGATTGGTTCTAGGCCTAGGTTGAAATTTTCATGTCTGTAGATAGATCACTTGCTTAGTAATTTCATCAAATATTTTGTTAGTCATTTTAGATTGAAAAAATCCACCTAATATTTCTCGGCGAAAATATGCTATTATAAGTGTTATAAGTGCCTTATACATATCCTATGGGCAAAAAAACTTCAGAATAGTTGTATAAGGCCATTTTCAACACAATCTGTGACTTACAAGAAATTTGAGAAAGGTCGATTTTTTTGACAAAATTAGGTACTTTTGGCAAAATCGAACCTAATTTTGTCACCCTCTGTAACTTGAACAATAATTGCACTAGAGACTTGAAAATTTGTACGTATACTTCTGCTGTAGAAAATATTTGAAATATGCAATGGCATGAAGCTAGCTCAATTACTTTTGAAATAGCAATAAATCAAAATTTTGAAAATTCCTTAAGAAAACCTTAAGGATCTTATTTATTTTTCGGGTTAACAGTTTCGCCTTCATTTTTGACACAGATGCATAAGAGCTATAAACTTAAACTTTGTACGAGCAGTTTCAGCAAAGTCTAAGCTTTCTTTTTATACACAATCCTTTTCTTTCAAGCTGAAATTCCGAGCCGAGGCAGTTTTTCAGAGCAAAATGACAAAATTAGGTACCCTGACAAAATTATGTGCCTTACTTACCCTATGTCCTTTTTGGGGGATGGTATGGTTCATTTCAAGATTAATAATTTAGTCATTGAGCGAGGGCGCGCAATATAAATCGAATCGCGTGCGTAAATAGAATGACAATATTCATCACGAAAATGTTCTCGCGGCAGCTCGCAAGCACACAAGCCAAACGTGTTCCAAGTAATATGTTTCCAAATATTATCATTATGATTGAGGCATACCGCATAAGGTCACGCAAGTACAGCCCTAGTTGGTTTCTGACATTTCCAACATTAAAAGGTTTACTTTCAGAGCATAGCCAATGGAAAAATTGTGTGTGTGTCTGAGCTGGATTATCTTTGAGTCTTCAAGTAGTGAGTAGTCTTATCAATACTGCATGTATACCGCTAGTAGACTTGAAGACTACTAGTCTTCATAGTACCAACATGTAGTATTTAATATAGGACAGATGGAAGTTTGGAGCTCGTATTGTAGTTTCTCTTGAATTTCTACAGAGAAGCCTTCGCAGACATCAGAATCAGCGTATTTTCTGAAGACTTGGGCGGGGATTGGAACTTCCACCCCTCGACATTTCACCCCTGCTCTACAAACAAGGCTCGAAGGCAAAGATAAGAGCTAGGGTTAGTGATGGTTTGGGTCAGGGTTGGGAGTGGATTTAGGACCATGCTTAGATGCACGTGTAAAGTCACATCTGAGTCTTATTATTTTGGATTGAAACGGAGGATCAATTAATGTCGTACACCCGATTCTGTCTGATTTACCGCAATATGACAGCATAACCAGTGGATCAGGGTAGACGAAAGAATGAGCCCATAAATATCCTGTCTCCGTGTAATATGCACCGCTTAGTTTTGTTCTTAACCACATGTAATTTACATACTTTAGTTAGTTTAGGCCACACAAGGAAGAAATCTGAACAAATAATTCGTTTATTGCTGTTGTATACAGACCATGAGCTACAATATAATCAAATCTATTTGAGGCGGGAACCATGGCACTGGCAACTTACAGAAAGCTGCTGTGGCTTAGGTGCCATGCTGCACCAACCGAGTGAGTGAGCATTTTCATTATGTGGCCAGAGTAGTAATCAATTTATCTGGTTTTATAGCAGTTTTTGAGCAATGAAACGATCTTCTTTTCTTTACGTGGTCAGAGAAGTAATATTTTTTGGCTTCTTCACTGAGATCTTGAGTAGTGTAACGAATTTCATTTCTTTGTGTGGTCAGAGTGAGAGATACTGGGTGTCTAGTTCAGGGCAAGTGCAAGCTGGTCATACTTAAACTTAAGCAAGGACATTCTATGCAGCTATTTTGAGTCTATTTCATGAACTTGTACATTCATCTATTCATGATCATTCGGTCAGACCGCAAACTAAGTCTGAAAGCCATTCACAAAGTGAGTATTATCAGGGGGAAAGGGAGCGAAATGGATGAAATATGCCATAATGCAGACTTGGTTTATATTTTACAGTAACCGATCGTTCACTTATTACGTAAGATTTTGGCCATTTAAGATCCCCTCTCCCTCTGGCCTCCCTAGCGTATTACGTAACTGGGTAACAGTAGGTCTGAAATTATACACCAAATTATAAGTTGCATTCAAGCACTCCACGCGAGTTAAGCTGGCTCCCTACACGTACCATCAAATATTTCAAATTTCATATCATAATCCGTCTAGTTGTGTAAAAGCTTAAAAGCACGATTAGTTGTTAAAGAAGTTATGGAGAAGTTAGGGAGGGAAGCAAAGTCGCAAGCAAGCTTTAAAGTGTGTTTTAAATCAAAGCTTTTATCACTGCCAATGCTTGCAAGGTGCAAAACTTTCCCACAATTATTAAATAAAGGTATTTTATAGAATAATGGTGCACGTTCCATATCAAATTCAGATTTTAAACGTTTTTCTTGACAGAAATTTACCATCGATTTTACAGAAGTGTTAAAGACTTTCTTCTCGCGAAAACTTTACAGTGAAATAAAAATAATTTTAAAATATGAGTTGCGGTTTGATCCTTTGAATAAAATGAACAATTCACGAGGAAAGATAGTAAAATCCATAACGTGACCGTAAATAATTGCACAATGAAATGTGTTAATTGAACAAAGAAATGTTAATCTCGTAGATTAAGTATGAAAAGGGATACTGCACTGATATCTTGGTAGTTTTAATAGTAGTTTAATTTCAAATGTGTAATGTATCAAGCAAAAAATTATTTTCAAATGCCATATTTTGATTTCGTTGTCAAGTCTCCTTAAAATTAATCATCTTCATCATTCCTGATTTCGACAACGTAGAAAAAGAGCGTCCTCGGACATAGTTCATAGAAATACATATAGGAAAGTAGCTCGTTAATAATGACCTACTTTAAAATCATTAAAAACTTATTTCACTTACCAGGAGATTGATATTTAGCGTAAGTAATTCCGTGTAGTTTGGCGAATTTCTCTGACAGTACAAAGATGGGTCTCTGAACATACACGCGTCGGTCACTTCCCAGATCTAGGGATCTCTTCAGAACAGAGAACATTCCTAACCCCGTCATGTTAACCGCCTGAAGATAGGGTTATTGAGAACATTCCTAGTACCGTAGTAGGTGCACACTACATTCCTAGTACCGTAGTAGGTGCACAGTGCAAACTGCATTAAAGCATTAAGTATAGCGGTTACAAATGTCTTCATTTGAAGGATGGTATGTTTACCACACTGTTCGGGGTTGTTCAGGACGGCAGTAAAATGATATATTTACCAGATTATTCAGTATAAGAACTGTTGAAGATGGTACGTTTATCATATTATTCAGGATGGTAGTATGGGCCACATTGCGACACGAGCCATGCTTGCTACATACTCACTCCTCTTCACGCTACCAATCTAATGAATTAAATTTTAGCCAGCAAATCTGCTTTATTTCTCAAAATAGCACATAGTGTCTCATCCTAACATGTACACATGTACGCGTACGCTCATTGCTCGCTGCTTTCTTAATTTCCCACCGTGTTTCGGGAAAATTCGACAACATATTCAGAGAACTCGAAAATGATGCGCATTACACATATCATGCTAAAACTGCACAATCCTTGCACAGGATTGAAGAGAGGAGACCAGGGACAAGCAGGAGAGCAAGATAAATACAGTGTGTTTACTTGTTTGTTATTTTGCAAGCACGGTCAGCGCCAGATATAATGGAAGTGGCAAGTTGGTGTGTAGCCATTACATCACATGATCGTTTCAACATAAATAGCGTCCTGGCTACAACTCAAACATTGGTGCTCGGACTGGTATTTAGGCATTGGAGCACAGCTTTATTAAAGTTTACTTTATTTATTTATTATTTATAAGTTTTGACCTATATACAGCATGACAAGGGATTACTACAGTGAAAGGTTGGCAGTCAGAGATTTTCAATTATTATCATTATTAATTATTCAAGAATTAAGAAATGGCTCAAATTCTAACCATATGGACCACTTCATGCAAAACAAACCGCGAGTAAGATCAGTTTTATACATAAACCAAGTTGTACAATGAGAGCTGAAAATTTCGCTGAGAATTTTGACTCGTCATGATAATTCAATGAGACTTTAAAAATAAATTGAAAAGATTTAATTTGCACAATTACAATCAATCTGGTGATCATTGTGTTAGCTATAACTGTTACCACGTCTCTGACCGGCGGTTAAGTAAAACTTAACGTTGAACACCATCAAAACAATTACAGCTGTTCTAGATACTTCCCTTTAAAACCGCTGAACACTGAACAGAGAGAGAGAGAGAGAGAGTTTAAATGAAAACCCGACCTGGCGAAGTGTTACAAATTGGATGGTTTAGTTTGTGGTGGGAGAGACGTCAGCTACAAATCTTGACGAATGAAGCACCTGCAAAATGGAGGAGTGCCCAAGATTGTGCCTTAAATTCAGTCCTTTGGAAGGAAACCACATCTAACTTCAAAACATGCACGTTGGTTTTTTGTAGCAGTTGTTTCCAAAACAAAGTCTGTTATTCCTGTGTTAAAGATACTGCATCTTAGACAATATCTGGTTAATATTCGTGGTTTATTATATGTAACGGTGTTGAACTAAGTAGGTCACCATAGAAACTAAATGCTCTTAATTCGCCAGATCCTGTTACAGCGATTAGATATTCGGGTCACCTCACAACAGCCAAACAAATGAAATTGGCGTACTATAACTTAGATATTTGCAATTAGGAAGTAGAGCTGTAGTTACAGAGATTTATTACCTTGTTCTGCAGGAGCTGTCTGACGATGAATTGCGAGACATTCTGCCAGACGAACAAAACATCTGAAATATAACAATTATCCTTTTTAGTGTATATTGTATAATATGTAATTAAATACAACAGTACTTCGAGACACAACATCTTCACAGAGTCTGTCATGCTTAACATTGAGAGACAGGAGCTTGCTTGTCAATGAATTATAATACAAATAGTGGTTAACTCACAAAGTTAGTCGTTTGGATAATGACAATTGTAACGAGATAAGACAAATAAGACAAATATTAAACTAATTATAAAGGTTTTGTATAGAAACCTACTCGGCCTGCACAGAGTATAACTGTATAACAGCTCATGTTTCAAGACATAATGCCGGTCCCCCAAAAAAGGGCGGTTTACTGCAAGCATGACGACTTTGTCAAGGTTTAGTTTAACCTAAAGCTAACAAGTAGTTATAACAGATTCTGGATTCATCGATTAAAATATTGTCAGAGTATCTGAGGGTGTCTCACTTTGAGAACTTACCTTCAACAGAAAGGTTGGCAGGAATAAGGGAGTATTTGCATTTTTTAGCTTCTTGAACAAGTGAATAGTTGAGCTCACCCGACATACTGTCTGGACATTCTATTCCGAAGGAATTATATACATTTCAAGCCTAAACCCTGTGAATATTTGTTAAACACACTTAGATGAATTTGTCTTTTACTAAATCGCGTTTCAGGAAGCTTTTTTGCTGACTGTGATTGAAAATAAAACATTATTTACAAATCTGTGTTAACTCTACATGCTAGGTATCGATTGAACTGTTTGTGATTATCATCAGATTGTTTGGATTAAGATATTAACATGTATTAACACCGCCCATTCATTCTAAACTGTTAAATGCGCTGTATTTATGCCGTGGTCGCCGACGAAAATTTGATTTTTTTCTCGAATTAATTAGCTTAAACGTGTGACTCGGCATGGTGGTGTCTAACCTTGAGTGTTGGTTGATAAGCAGTGATGCAGCAAGAAGCTTTACTGCCCTCTGTGCCGAGAAAATGCCGCCACAAAACATCAAATGTACAACAAGCTACCGACAACTTTGTTAAATATTCAGCAACATGTATAATTTCGAAGAAATTTGAATGTTATATCAAAAAATTTGATTTCGAGGAAACTCTTCTTTAAAACAGTAAACTTGAACAATATCCCCGCTTCAAAGCGTTGCAGTAAATAAATTGGTCAATCATCAAAATCAAATAAATCCATATCGCACTTTTTGGAATTTTCAGCGTCACTAAGACAACAATCCCAAAAGAAGATGTGTCTATTTCCATCCTGAAAAGGTTGCGTGTAATCATGATGGGACTGTTCAATCCTGCAGCTCATAACACTACATCTCCACCTTCCACAATGAGCCCCACTGTTATTACCATTCTCTGTTTCCTGCTGCTGCTGCTGCTCCAACAGGGATATCTGTACTCTCAGCGACGTTAAGGACTCATCAACCTGGTTCTGATTAGCGTGTCTGATGAGGAGCCTGTCGTTGACTTGTCTGGTCAGTTCATCTGACCGCGTGTCCTGTTGCTGGCGGATATGCTCCTCGTGCTGTTCTTTAAACAGCTGAGACAAAACTGCGATATCATCAGTCTGGTTCTCCAGAAGATCTTGTAGGTTTACAGGAGAGGGATCTTTATCTGTCGTTGTTGTCATCATGGCAGTCAGTTTACCGGGTTGTAACCCATTGCTGTCCGGTTAAATTTCAAGCACAGAACACAGTAAATACAAACTGCATATGAAAACTAAAGTTGTATTTCATTGATTACTTTAAGACGCTTTAATTTAAATATCGCAGAGAGTCGTCATAACAAAAATAGTATGCAGAATCTACAAGCATATAAGTTAAGATAACACATTTAACAGTACAGTTTGTTTTGACTGTAGAGAAGTTACAACTCACAATCACTAATTCTTAACCGAATTCACTTAAATCGTTAATCAATCGCAGGAATGTATTCCAGTTTAAACCAGATTTCACCTAACAGATAAACTCAATTCATATTTCATCCACTACAGACTTCATTTCAGAGGTATCTGCAGCGGATAAGTTTCGATGCATATAAAATCATAATCAACCAAAAGCTCATAGCTAAGCAAGTCGTTAGAATTTTACCAGCTATCGGCTTGCGCTGTACTAATGAAACTGATAAAAATTGCCCTCAACTACGCAACATGGCAATTTCTGTACGGGACTGCTCAAAACTCAGAGCACCACCAAATAGTTACCGTGACTAATATCGCTAGCTGGCACTGCAAATGTGTGAGTGCATCATTGCAGTGATGGCTGATTGTAAAATTCCGCTAAACCGACAACCGCGACTGGTTTAAATAGTTGGAGTAAGCTTGAAAGCTGGCAACATTAGGAGCAGCAAACGTGGATGGGATTCATCAGCAAATGATCAAGATGGACGGGTCTGCACCTTGAATGAACATAAAACAGTGATAAGGGTTCCTGTTCTTGCCGGGTTCCCTAAATGTTGCTATAGAAATTTTCTACTCCGCATACATTTATATTGCGCAAAATTGCAAGTAAAAATAAGTAAAGGATCACGCGCGGCGTGATTGTGTAGCTGAAAGTGAGTCATAAATTAATGAATATTGATTCCCATTTTAAAGTTTTCTAAATGAATTTTACAAATACTGCTTGTAAACTTAATTATGGTGCACATTATCATTACATTACATATAATTTAATAAATTATTTAAAAAACTTAAGGTTAAACATATAATAAAGTTAAACATTTTTATAAATCTTAACAAAAAAGACGCGCACTACACTTGGCACTATGTTTTTTAATAGCGTATTTATTATATCATATATAAATATAAAATATTTTTAAAAATTAGATTTGGCAACATAAATCATGCAATGATTTTGTAGCGCGATGCACTACTGGGTCGCGCGCGTATCAAATAATGCTTCTCGCTTAACCACAAATGCAGATCGGCGAAATGCGAAGGATTGACATCGTGAATCAAGCAATGATTAATAAAATGTAACATTTGCATTTTAGTGCGGGACTGTCATGTGCACGTGATGCAAAATAAATATAAATATAAACATAAACAATAAATCGGACGCAATCGATTTTATTAAAAAGCCCTAGTCTGTCACTTACCGGTACTGGGCACCCTAGGCTAATATATTCATAAACATATAAAATAGAGATTTGGCGGAATAACAGCTGTTGAGCGCCGCCCAATAAGTTGGTCACTTGTACTTGCCATATTTATGTTTTCAAATAAAAATTGATAAAATTTTCCTTAGAACAGCAGTGATTTCTTTCCGGGGAGACAGAGGGGCGAAAAAAGACTTTGTGGATTTAGAAAATTTAGATTTGAACTTGGAGCCACAAGGCTAAGGATGAATTGTTTCTGCCAATATTTTAGTTGGGGAATATGATACATTTTTGAAGAGTTCCATTTTATATAGGGTGATTTTTGGATTAGGGTCTAAACTGCGGTGTGGATATACCTTTTTTGATGATAAAGTTACCGAACACTTGTTTCCTTGTTAGTGCGTAGGCTGGGCATCTGGTTAAGAAGTGTTCTGTAGTGTCTATTTCCTCTTCACATTTGTTGCAGATGTTGGAGTCAGCATCACTCTATGGTACTGGTTGCTAAGCACCGTGCTGGCGTCCAGCAGAGAAAAGGTATGCCTGGAACCGCTTATTATATCAGCTAAGGAGGTTAAAAGCAGTCTAGAAACTTGGCAGTAACAGTAAATTAAAGTATAAGTTTATCGATACGTAAATGTAAGGGTGTGGAATAAACCTCTATTTTAATAATGAAATTTTCGGACACGTTTTTCCTTACTAGTTCGAAGGCTTGGCATCTGGATAGGAAGTGTTCTGTAGAATATATTTCCTCTTCGCATTTGTTGCGGATGTTGGTAGATTCATTACCTATATTGTATTTGGAAGTATTTAGGATCTGCATTAGAGATTTTGAAATTTGTAAGGGCACACTTCAGTACACATTGTATATGCAGTGTTATATTATGTAAACACACCTATTCATATCTACAAACTAAATTACTTAATAATAATTTGTTTTTTTACCGATATAACTAGAATTAAATTATACTGATTCGTCAAGGAATTATCAATTTTGTTGGGTGCATTGAATAAGCCATCACTGGTGTATGATTCAGCTGCCGACTAGACTGTCCCAACAGTTATCTCGACAGAGCAAAAGAAGGAGCATAACTAAACCAGCCAGCCCGACAATAATTCAACTATTACGTGGAGCTGGTCAACCAGTGGCGTAACGAAGGGGGCCGCTGACCCCGCTGTGCCAGGGGGGGGGGGGGGGGGGGGGTCGCCAAATTGTCATTTGAATGTGGGACAATTTTGAAAAACTTAACTGAGGTACTAGCAAAACTGCGCATTTTGCTCTAGAAACACACTTTTTTGAGATTTTACTGCTCTAAAATCACCTAATTTGTTCAATTTCAGGGAGGGGCGCCAAAAGGGGAGAGGTGCCAACAGGGGGCGCCAACAGGCAACGTTACGCCACTGGTCAGCACGCAGCAAAAATATATAAAGCTGTTCAAGTGTAAGAGTTTTTCACTTATCGGCACAGCAAGGCTCTCCTACAAGGGATGGAAATCTACTGGATTCTACAGAGATATTGAATTGATTTAATGATAATTTGTTAAGAAATCACGCGATTATATTCACCAGCAACATTCTATCGTTTCCCCTGTAAGCTGTATACTAAAACCATCACTCTGAATACCTAGTAGATTGAATGGTAAATATGAGCTCAACTGTATTAAAACACAAACGTGCAACATTGGAACGATTAGAAAAATACATTTCTGAGATCTACTTTACAGATGTCAATTTATTTGGAAGGTGAGTGATAAAAAACACCTTTTAACATAGGTTTTCATTCGAATTTGTCATCTTGTAAGATGCAAAAATTGCTTAAAAATATGTTATTCTCAGACCATATTATCGACTATCATACTATGATAATTGTGAATCTATTGAATATTTCAGAGTGGATTCCAAAATCCCACATTGTAAGCTGTATCGTTCCCTAGCAAGAAAACAAACTTACCAGGCTTTTGAAAGTGTGAAAAATGGAGTATTCCAACTTATAACTGAAGGGGAAGAGTTTAAACCATTGTAAGTACGTATGATGATTGGAAAAATGTATCACATTTCTTGTGTCATAATTCTATTCTGTATACATTTTCATGATGGTTTTCTTTTGTTCAGTAAGCTCACAAGACAGCATTTTAAAATTAAGACAACATTTTATTTTAGATAGATAATCATCTGCGGGTTTATGGGTCGTTACCCTTCATTATGTAATATTAATCAATTGATTTTAGATGGTCTCAACACTGGGTAAAAGTGATCATTCCTGCCAATGTGTGTAACATGGAAAATCTCTACCTCCATTGGGACGTTAGTGGAGCTGAGTCACTTGTATGTGATAAAGATGGCAACCTAATTCAGGGAATGTCCCACAAGAGGAAAGAAATGAAAATAGTTGTCAAATCACATGATGAAGATGCTGTTTTCTTTATTCAAATCTCCTGTACAGGTGAGATATAATTTTATTTGATGTAAGTTTTCATATGAAAAATATTTATCACTTGCGAAGATTTTATTGTACAGGGGGGGGGGGGGAAATTCAGTGTGCCAATGTTAGCCTTAATAGCTCAGTCACTGGGTGCCCAATTGAAATAATTCTTTCTGGTATGACTTACTACCATCACTGGTTCAAGGAATTTGTCAAATCGAAAAATATTCGTGTTCATTTTTTTCAAATGAAGGTTCATTTTCACATTTATTTGATAGTTTGGATAGTCGGATCGAGCTACATTTTATTTAATTGTGTTTGGCCATTCGAATTACATTTGTCTTGAAAAAATTAGAGTTGTAGCTTCTCAGATGACCGAGATATGAAGCATAACGAGTTTATTCATTACGTGTGATCAGGTGATTGGTTTACCTAATCACGTGATTAGGTGACCCCGTTAACCACCCCGTTAAACATATCACATATGGGAAGTGTTAAGGGTGCCCAATTAAGGTGTCGTGTCACGGTGTCACATAATCACCCAGTCAATTTTGTTAACGATATGGACACGTTCATTGAAGTTTGAGGAAATTGGTAAATTTCTAAAACAGCGTTTTTGACGATAGTGGTTTAATTTTAACATATATTAATCTAGCGTGTTCATAAGTTCTGAACATTAGCCACGTGACCCATACTCCCATATGCACTGCTCAAAAATAAAATGTATTGCTTTTAGGCACTATTATGTAAAAAATGTCACATTTTTGTGACATTGTTTACCATAGCTGCCCAATTAGCATTTTTTGGTCTAAAATATAGTAGATTAGGTCAATCTAACAATTTTGATACAATGTAGGCCTAAAGGGCAGTGATCGAATGGCTTTAAGGCAACATTTCGTAAACTTTGTCACACTCAGAATACGAGACCTCTTTTCTACTGTGAGGTGTCCTCAAAACCCTTTCAACTCATTATTTGATAGTTCTTCTGCCAATCATAGCACTAAAATATGTTGTTTTGAAAAGTTAACAAATACATGCACTTGGCTATTGGGAAATGATGTAAATTCTGTCACATTATATGAAATTTGAAATTCTGGGTGAATTTCCGAAATCATTTATACCTGATTTTTGTTTGGAAGGCGGGAAAACTATATATGAGGACGATACACGGATACAGTTGATTGAAGTATAGGGCAGTTGATGTAAACATCGTCACAAAATGATACGAAATCGTAAATGGACACGTTCATGTTGAAGTTTAAGGATATTGGTAAACCAAAAAAAATAGCGTGTTCAGAAGTTCTGGACATTAGCCACGTGACCCATACTTCCATATACACGGCTCAGAAATACAATTTATTGTTTTTAGGCACTATAATGTAAAAAATGTCACATTTTTGTGACTGTTTTAACCATATCTGCCCAATTAGCATTTTTTGGTTTAAAATATAGTAGATTAGGTCATTCTAACAATAATGATACAACATTTGGCTAAAGGGCAGGGATCGAACGGTTTTAAGGCAATATTTCGTAAACTTTGTCACACTCAGAATACGATACCTCTTTTCTACTGTGAGGTGTCCTCAAAACCCTTTCAACTCATTATTTGATGGTTCTTTTACCAATCATAGCCCTAAAATATGTTGTTTTGAAAAGTTAACAAATACATGCACTTATTGGGAAATGATGTAAATTCTGTCACATTATATGGAATTTAAAATGTTGGGTGAATTGCCGAAATCATTTATATCCGATTTTGGTTTGGAAGGCGGGAAAACTGTATATAAGGACGATGCACGGATAGAGCTGATTCAAGTTAAGGGCAATTGATGTAAAAATTGTCACAATAATAATAAGGGCAGTTGATATGAAAGAAAATCTATCTAACTAATGCAATGGCTGATGTGACGAAATTGACATTTCTTGACCCTATTTTGAAGAAACATGCCTCGATTAGAATTCAATATTCTTCCAGGAATTATTAGTAGGTTATTATTCAGCAGATCATCAGAACTCAAGTTTGACAATTCTGAGTTTATATATACTAAGTTACCGAAATGTGACGAAATTCACTTTTCCTGCCCCAAAAGTATAATTTCAATGTGATGAAAAATGGGCATGGGTTTCTATATTTCCTTTATCTCTGAATTAATCATTTCAAACTATAATTAGGACTGTTGATGTGAAAGAAAATGTATCTACATTTTACAATGACGTATGTGACGAAATTTACATTTCTTGACCCTATTTTGAAGAACCATACCCCGATTAGAATTCAATATTCTTCCAGGAATTATTGGTAAGTTATTTTTCAGCTAATCAGAACCCAAGTTTAACAATGCTGAGTTTGATATCACTAATTTACCGAAATGTGACGAAATTCACTTTTCCTGCCCCAACAGTATAATTTCAATGTGATGAAAAATGGGCATGGGTTTCTATATTTCCTGTATAAATCCATTCCAACTATAATAAGGGCAGTTGATATGAAAGAAAATATATCTAACTAATGCAATGGCTGATGTGACGAAATTTACATTTCTTGCCCCTATTTTGAAGAATCATACCTCAATTAGTATATAATGTTACTTTATCACCATCAATATGTCGATAAATTAGTTATTTTGCCAACACGGAGCAAATAAAGTTATAATATTTTTTCTGTGACGAAATTTACAAATTTTTACCCTGTTCAGGTGTTGAAATTTATCCAATGTTAACATATCACTGCCATATAATAATTTATATGACCGGCGTATGGTTGAAATATCTTTCATTGATCCATAGTACGTAATATAGGGTGTTTAAATTGGTATACTAATATTTACTCAATTTCACACATGTTGAGATATCATACAAATTTATGTGACTAAATTTACCTATTTCTGCCTTCTGTATTTGTATTTGCCTATAACAATGAAATATGTGAACAATTCCAAACACATTCAGCTCACAAAATAATGCTAGACTATTCGGCATTTCTTGTCAGAATGTCATAAACATCCCTTATATAAATTTCTTAAATGTGTGACGGAGTTTACATGGTGCTACCATTTAAGGAAAAAAGTCGCTAAATATGTAGATAATAGTCATATACAGCCATTCTATGAATTGGAAATTCGAAAATTTGGTCAAACACGGCAACAAGGGGTCCATATAAACTCCGTCACGTTTTTATAGTGTGACAAAGTTTACAACTCACTGCCGGCCGCATTTTAGCGATATCTTATCGTCTGATAAAGATATCGTTATGCGACAAAGTTTATCTAGAGGATGAAACGATTATCTTAGGGTTAGAGGGTTTATATAGTTTCATAGTGTGACACATTTTACATCATCGTGCCATTCAGTAGGGTCACTTATATTTACCAATATCCTCAAACTTCAATGAACGTGTCCATATACACAAAATGCATGATAACTTCGTCATTTCTAATCCGTTTTGCCTCATTTTTTCAGATCAGATGCAACATTTAATAATCTACCGTCTCTGGAAAAATTGGGCGTCCAGCATGTTCAGAGATAACAATATAGGTGTTTAATATTGAATGGGCGTGGTCTAAAATATTCGAATTTTCAAATTTTGGCGACAGAATCCTCGAACAAGTAGATACAGTATACCATCTGCAAAGCAACAACTCTCAAATATAAAACACGGTGGAGGTATAAGACCCAACGTTTGAACACTGACTTTTGGCCCCCCCCCCCCGGCCCCCCCCCCCTGTATATACATTTAAAGTAATCATTCTAACCCTTTAGGTCTATTTGGAGCTGGTCTCAACGGAATGATCAACGCTCCAGATCCTAATAAAACATACAACCTTACAAAGGCTCACATATTTGTACGAGATCAAGCAAAGTATGCAGTGTTCATGGATCTGTCTGTGTTGTATGATATTGCTAAAGAATCAGATGACAACACTTCATTATGTTATGATGCTTTATACACTGGCAATGAAATCATCAATGTCATAACTTTGAATGATCACTCACCCGAATCATACCAACAAGCTATACAAATTGGAAAGAAACTTTTTAATAGTGGAATAGTCAATGGTACAAGTAGTAGGGACACCATTCATGCCATTGGAAATTGTCATATTGACACTGCTTGGTTATGGCCCTACAGGGAGACGATAAGAAAAGTGGCCCGAAGTTGGTCTACAACAATATCTATGTTTGAAGCTGGAATGGAATTTAATTTTGCGGGATCACAGGTTGTTCAGTTCAGTTGGCTTAAGAAGTTCTACCCAAAGCTTTTTTCAGCTTTAAAGGCACAAGTTGTGAAAGGACATTTTTCACCAGTTGGTGGTTCGTGGGTTGAAATGGACACAAATATACCAAACGCTGAATCTATGGTCAGACAGTTTCTCTATGGTCAAAAGTTTTATAGAGAAGAATTTGGCACCCATAGTGACATTCTTTGGTTGCCTGATACATTTGGGTACAGCGGACAACTTCCACAAATAATGCAGCTCTGTGATATAAAATACTTTTTGAGTCAAAAATTGAGCTGGAATTTAACTAACACTTTTCCTCACCACACTTTCATTTGGAAAGGAATTGATCAAAGCAAGGTCTTGGCTCATTTTCCTCCTGGAGACACATATGAATCAGATTTAAAGATCAAAGATGTACTCAAAACAGTTTCAAACAACAAAGATAAAGGCAGAACTCATGACCAGATGTTGCTGTTTGGTCACGGAGATGGAGGTGGTGGGCCTACTCCTGAAATGATTGATAGGCTTGAGAGAATCTCTTCAATAACTGGAATGCCTCAAATTGTTCGGTCAACTCCTCAAAAGTTCTTTACAGCAGTTGAGAAGTCCTCAAACATGCTGTGTGAATGGTGGGGAGAGTTGTATTTCGAACTGCACCGTGGAACCTACACTACACATGCTAAGTTGAAGGAATCAAATAGAGTAGCTGAATTTTGGATGACTGATATTGAGTTTTTATCTTCGTTGGATGTCAAAGGTTTGGTCTCTTGTTCAAAAATTGAAGAAATGTGGAAAACCGTCCTTTTCAACCAATTTCACGATATCTTGCCTGGCAGTGCAATTGAGCAAGTGTTCATCGATGCCATGGAGGACTACACAAATTTACTGATACTGTACAACGAAGAGTGGGAAACAATCAGAGATGTTGTCATGCCAGATTCCAAGAGTTTTGTTGTTAATCCGTACAACTGGGCCAGAAGACAAGTTCTCACAATAAACGAGGTCGAAGAAGCTTTGGTTGAGGTTCCTAGCACTTACATAGGCTCTATATCCCTCGTTACACCAACAGACAAAGCTGGGGCATTTGTTCTGGAGGATGGAATTTGTCTGTGTAACAGTTTGATAAAAGTGGTATTTTCACTGGAAGGACTACTAAAGTCTTTGGTACACAAACCAACACAGCGGGAGTGTTTGGAGGCTGGAGGTATGGGTAACCGATATGTGATATTTGATGACGTGCCTCTGTTCTGGGATGCTTGGGATGTTATGGAGTACCATGTTGAGACCAGACAGGAGTTTCATCCTACATCAATTCAGGTTTGTAGTTTTCATAATTATGTTGAAAAAAAAATGTGCCATTTTGTCGTGTTTTGGTATCAAAAATGGCACATAGAATTCAGATTTCAAAACGCTTTTCGAGCTTATTAATCCATGGGATTATCATCAAAATGTTCATTTTTTAGATCAGTGAAAACGTTTAGGTTGTAATATAATCAAGATAGCTTCTTAATACTTAAATTTCACGCATTCATACTGTTTATAGGTACCAATAAGTGTAATACTTTACAGGTGGTAGAATCAGGTCCACTTCGAGCCAGTGTTAAGATAACAGTTCCCCTTGGTGCACACGGTGACTTGACCTTCATAGCAACTGTTCTTGCGGAGACACCATATCTCTCATTCAAGGCAGATGTAAGAAAATTTGCTAAATTTCAATGTGTTTTTCTTCAAAAACTTCCTTTTTGTTCTGCTACTTTAAAAATAGAAAACAGATACCCAACTCAACGTGGAACTTCTCAATCGTCTTAACCAACTAAAATATTCCAAGGTGTCATGGCGGGCAGCTCACAAGTTTTTAAAAGTAGAGTTTCCTTTATCAGTGAGCTCTACTGAAGCTCAGTACGAGATACAGAGTGGGTTTGTCAGCCGGCCTACTCACGCCAACACTTCCTGGGACTCTGCTAAGTTCGAGGTCGGTAATATAGGTCGTCTGGAAAACTCAGATATCTCTCGCATTTTGTAGTTATTTCCGATGTAATGTTTTACAATTTTCTTGGTTTTATTACTTTATTAACATTAATCAATAGTATGCACTATTTCTATTCCTCTTATTTAGGTATCGGGGCACAAATGGGCCCACCTAGGAGAGCCCAACTTTGGGGTCGGATTGTTAAGCAAATCAAAGTACGGTTACAGTGCCAACCACAACTGTTTGACCCTCTCACTGCTCAGAAGTACCAAAGCACCTGATGCAAATGCCGACATGGGTATGTTGAAACTGATTATCACTGGTATTAACACATAAAAACAAAATCTATCATTAATTGTTAAATAATTGCATCTAGAATAAATTCATCTAGAAAATACCTTTTTCTCTATAATAACATTACGATGTTTTTCAGATGACCATGTTATTGAATATGCCATCTACCCACACGCTGGACCTCTCTACACCTCCAGAATTGTACAGCATGCTATAAATTTTAACCACCCCCTCCTCCTGCACTCAACACTGCACGACAATACCATACCTCGCTACAAACCAACCCTGAACCCGGCCCGTCTTGTTAATAAAACAAGCTTGAGAGTGTCTAGTGAGGAGGTCATTGTACAGGCTATCAAGAAGGTTTGTTTTAAATTTAGGTATTATATTTTTATATAGGTTAGTGTGGCTCTTTTTAGAGATGTAGGAAATGGTTCAGTCATTCACGAATAAACTGTTTTACAAGTAACTTTATTTAGTTGTATTATATGTTGTATGTATAGATGTGGGGCTTACTATTAAACAAACATGTATCACCTCCCCGCCAGTAATCAGTATCCACATCTATAATAATTAGTCGTAATTATAGATTTATAGTTACTATGTTGCACTACTTTCACAATTAATGCCAATATTATTTTATAACACATGATTGTCTGGTGAATTTCGTATGTTTGTCCGTAGCCGAGTTCAGAATATCATCACAGCTTTGCTACAAAAAATCGTAAGATATATCATCATCATAACGATTGATAATATTTCTGAATCTTGTCCAGCAGTATCGTGGAATGTCCACAAACACTGCTAATGAACTTGCGATGAATTTCTTCCTCAAGGTCGGATTCCTTTTTACCAGAATCATGGGAAAAAGGACAGCGTTAAGCAGAGGCAGTGTGAATTCTGAGACTCCTGCAACGCGACCCCTTTTTACCATGGAATAAGGCATAGATTTCCCTGCGAAACCGTACTTCACAGCATAGAGAATAATGATCATTGCAACAGTGAAGTAACAGAAAAATGATAAAGTTGCAACGAGTACAACTGTAATTGAGACATGTCTCACATCTGAAGTCATCAGGCAAGTCATGTCGTGTTCTCTAGTGGATATGTTCAGAAATATCACTAAAATGATGGTAGATACGAGGTAGACTAAAGGAGGGAGGATATCGTCTACAAGAAATATCAGACCAAGTAGAGTATTTGCATATGGCCTTGTCATATCAGGATTATCGCACAGATCAGAGTCAAAACCTTCGCAGACCAGACCTACTAAACTAGCAACTCCTGGAAAATAAATAAAAGTCGGGATTATAAGGTGAAATTCATAGTATTTCTGGTAGTTCTTGGATATTTCAAGGTAAAGAAATGTAAGGCTATCACAGAGGTACAGAACACCGAGTGCTACAGTTAAGGAAGCAACCCACAGTCGTATTTTCCTGTAATCAAGTCTCCTGAATGGATCCTTAAACTGAACCGTCATGACAATAATCAACACAGCATTGTAAATTTTAGAGCAGCTCTGAGCAAGTCCAGCAGTAGCTATGTTATAGTAGATGCAGTAGTACAACATCTGAACATCCCACATGTCGGCGACAACCAAAATCCCGGCTACAGACACGATGATGCTGCCTTGAGCTACTGCGATGTCTGCTATTGCAATGGCGATGTACATGGCAGCTGAAAATCTGGCTCTTTGATCCATGTAACATTTGATGATAAGACTGTTTTGTAGAAGTATTGTAAAAGATAGGAGGAGGTTTGTTGAACTGAGCTCATATCCAAGTGCCCCCTTGTAGTTCTCTAGTATCTCTGTCTTATTCTCGGTAAAGCTATACATCATCGCCCTCTGAAATTAGTGCACTTGTAGGTTTTAGTGCCACTATCGGTAAGTTAAAACTATCTTAAGCGAAAAGCATTTAGAATAATTGTAAGTTATATAAGTATTAGGCATAAGAAGAAAATATTGCTCAAAACGTTCAAGTAACAATGTTCAACATCAAAACGATTCCGTTCAAAACTGCATTGAAGCTTAAAACTGACAGCAGCAGAGCCACTGCCTAACAGATTCGGTCCCGAATAGTGAATACACTGCTGAACACATACGCTAATCTTATGAAACATGACTCTCCCGTTACCTAGAGACTTCACAACAGAACTTAACCAGAAGTTGTAACGCTGCTCAAATTGCGCTGGTATTAAGTTTCATCTGAAAAAGTTATTTAATATGAATATTGATATGAATGACGGTGAACTGGAATGTACCTTGTAGAATGTAAAGGTCACCTAAAATGTAAATTCCCATTCACCGCAAATTTCAGACTACTCCAATAAGATGATAACAAGTAAATTTAACACTTTCTCCAGGGGGAACATGGCAGTGGCCTGGTAGTTCGGCTGTACGAGCCCTATGCGAATACTGTCTCCAACGTCTTTATTTCTCATGATCTACTCAGTCAAGCTTTCAGGTGAGATATCCTTATTTTTAATTCATCATTTGATCGAAATTAATGTTTATGAGAATTAAACAAATAGTTTCTAATATAACCTTGGTGTTACAGATTTAAAACTTTAAATACCTGTATTTTTAAATAACTGCTATTATTTCAGCATAAATGCTGTTGAAAGGGAGTCATCTAAAGCTCCTTTGTCTACAAGCGAAAATAAAGTCGGACCGCTTATATTCAGACCATTTGAAATAAAGACGATTTATTTAGAGCTGGATGCGACTGTAGATTTTACAAATGGTTCTTCTTCTAAGAGAGCTAAACTTGATGAGTGAGTCAATTTTTCCTAATCTATAGGTTTGCCACTTTTTTCCTATATAATATTCAGATATTCCAATAAATTATCTCAGATTTACATTATTATGTATTTAAATGTGGTGAACCATATTATTTTATCGATAAGCTTTATTCAGACAAAAGACGTTGAAAAGGCTTTTAGTTTTAAACTTACTATCAATATTTATTTCTAGATACTTGACCTTTTTAGTGTAGCTAAAAATTCAGACCATCAGTATTTAGATTACCGTTCTTTATATTTATTCGTAGATAACAAAAATACAATTGTATTTTGCATGTTATATTCTTTTTGGGATGAAATTTCAGAATAATGTGTATTGTTTTCCCATTGTTTTATATTGATATTGTGTGACCTTCATACTGTTATCGTTACAAATATTTATACTTTTATTTCAAATTAAGCATTCAAATTATGCATTTCATTGAAAAATACAGTTTAATATCATCATGATTGATTCACTAAACGTTCAAGTTTTAGCATTAAAAATCAAATATTTACAAATTTAAAAAGTTCGATAAAATAACATTCTACAGAGCCTTGATTTTCAACTGAAATATAGAAAAATATAACCTTAAATAATTAAAATAACATAATTCATAGTCATGCCATGTAATGATATCATGGTCTCGTAGAGTGATTCGGTGACTATGATCATATTAGCTCAATAATCAAACTCGCTCAATAATCAAACTCGCTCAATAATCAAACTCGCTCAATAATCAAACTCGCTCAATAATCAAACTCGCTCAATAGTCAAACTCGCTCAATGATCAAACTCGTTCGTTTGAATTTGATTATTTTGACATAATTCTACTATAAATCTGCAGAACATCAGATTAGAAACCACACAGTGTGATTAGGGGTCGTTCACATATTACGTAATAAATATTTTGGTAATTTTTACCCCCCTCCTTTATTAAAAGCTATCACAACGGATTAATGAATGAAATAATCGCAAAGCACTTACTAAACGAAAATTGGTTTAAAAAACGAAAATTTTGATTACATAATTAACGAAAATTGTCCAATTGGTATTTCGAAAATCGGTAAAAAATTAAAATTTTGATTACGTAATCAACGACCAAAACCCCCCCCCCCCCCGTAATCAACCGTAAGCATTTGAAAACTCCCCCTCGGCTGATTACGTAATATGTGAACGACCCCATTAATGAAAATAACGACACTGCTACTAACACATCTATACTTATATAAAGCCTCCTCCGTAATAATGCATAATATTGCAACAGCAATAACTAGACAACTATTATTATCACCACATCTCAAGTGTATTCGTTGATAGTCTTTCTCTCCCTTTATATTATATTCTGTGCTTCTCCGATCATAACATAGCTGCAAGCATCACTAACAGCTCTAATATCTGAAGTACGTTCAACACTTAACTATACACGTAAAGAATAGGTGCAACATACCGGGGGGGGGGGGGGGGGGGGGGGGGGGGGCAAATGCAATGAATACTAAGCCAACATCTCGCAACAGCAGCAAAATGTTTCACAAACTGCCTCGAAACATTTTGAATTGTCCTTCTCCCTCCTCCTTGGAATATCTCCTTCTTCAGACTCGCAATCATTCAAATTAGTCATTTCCTTCGCCAGGATTAGAAGACCAACTGCAAGAATTACTCCCCCCAAAGTCAGGATTATCCACATATTTTTACCTAGTCCTGCATTCTCAGTGTTTACATTAGCGACAGCTCTCCTTTTCTCTCTGTCACCGTTACCTGACAATTCTTTGTCAGCGAATGTTGCAATTTGTACCAAAAACACCGTGCCGATCACGTAGAAAGACCGAAACTTCATATCGGAGATATATAGGTTTATCAACTAGAACGTTTTAGAAAGCACGGCAAAGGAAAACAACACGGCAGAACGCTAAGCACGGTAGCAGGTTTATATATATTGAGTTTGGAATTAAAGTATCATATGTCGTGATCTAATTGCACTTATTGCAGCTCTGATGAATTACAATCACAACAGTTCCCACTATTTCTACTTACTCTATAATGTTGATCAGTGGTGGAGTATAACTTACTTATTTTTATACTTTGATGGGGTTTAGCCAGAAGAGTCAGTCTCCTCGTACTTCAAGTAGACCGCCCGACTAGATAATAGAGACCTCATTCCAATACGGCCAGACAAGTAGAATGTTATTTCCTCTCCCGCTTTCTTTGAAGTGATGTCTGATAAAATATCGTGATGTCTCCCATCAGTCCATATTTTGATATTCTGATAGATGTCATTCCCTTCTATTAGAAACAACTAATATGTCGATTTTGGGAAAAGTTTGAGGAAGACTCCCCTACACGAGGTGAGAAGGTGGTGACGTATAAACCTTTCCTCGGAGGAGAGCTACATCTCTTTCACTTTCGAGAGATTTGGAAATCTTTGTGTTATCAACAGGAACTCAGGAACAATAAAGGTTCCAGAACTGACCCCTGAGGACACCACTTAGGAACATCTATAATAAACGACCGTTTCTATTAATAAGGCTGTTCAAAATTTTACATTTCATATTCAGAGAGAGAGAAAGACAAATAGATAGTCACATTACTATTGTGCAGTCACATTGATATGTATCATAAAACTGTGGTATGAACTTGCTCCATGGGTGAAGAACAAAAAGGTAAAAGTCGTCATAAACAATGAAAGTAAACGTTATTTCTATATTTTATACAAAACTAAAATAAAGGTAAATTGTTGGTTTTTCCACTGTAATATACATTTATAACATCAAACTAATCGTCAAAATTTCCGTCAAAAATCCCATCAAAACAACCACCGCCTTCACTAGTATCATTTGTCTGTGGTCGATCTTCATTTCCTTTACATAATTCAGTGCATATTTCAGCGCATTCCCAACCTAAGAGGAGAAATTAATGAGATGCTTATTTAAAACATTCATTTAAAATATATCCTGCAATAGCATTTAATTTCTTACGTTGCCACATTAATTCGTATTAGTGCTTTTCATTAACAAATGAGACGCAACCTTACATGTCACATTTCCCCAGCAACTCCTCTTTGTCCTCCGTCTCCTCTCTTCTTCTTCTCTAGTTCTTCTTCTGCCATAAAAACTCATTGATACCATCATAAGACCGGCTACTAGACCCACTCCCCCTAAAATCAGGATCACACATTTGTCGCTGTTTGCTTCTACGTTTTCGGCCAAGGCTTTGGATTCTGTGTCAGTGGAATCTGCTATTTGTAGCAAGGAAACAATGTACAAGGAAACAATGCCAATCATGAAGGAAGACCAAACGAAATGAAACACAGACCAGGATGACGAATACAAAATTCATAGGAAAGGGAAAGAACCCCTTCGTATTGGAGGACTACTCACTAGCAGCTTCTAGGTTCAAGTTAAAGTATCGAATGTCTCAACTCCGATGAGTCACAATTTGGCCCCACAAGTAGGAAGTAAAATAAGGACCTCTGTTCAAATCAAAATAGATTCAAAATAGTCAGACAACTCAAAATAATAACAAAATCTGATTGGCAGTCACGCTGCACGTGACTGCCCGCACGTGACTGTGCGCGTCCAATGGACGTAATGAAGGAAATTTGTTATGGTTATCGCAGGAGAGATCACGTTTAGAGTGCGTCTCTCTGATTAGCCCACGTCACTGCACACGTGACTGTGCAGAGCCAATAGGGTGCTATGTAACTTGTGTAAGGTGTGTACGCTAGGTGCGTGTAAGGGACATCTAATTTACTATTAAACACAGCTGGCCGGCAGAGAATTGAAAATATAAGGATTTTTTATGGATGAAAATCGAAATCGAAGGGTATCCAATCCCTCTCCTCTCGGTGGACCTGGTGTTGTCGTGGAGATGGATGAGGCCAAGTTCGGAAAACGCAAGTACAATAAAGGAGCTTACAGAGAAGGGCAGTAGGTGCTTGGAGCTGTAGATCGGAGCAACGGTAACTGTTTCCTACTACCCTGTCCGAACAACAGCAGAGGTGCATCCACACTACTCCCTCTGATTAGACGCTGGATCCTCCCTGGTTCTGTTGTCTATACTGACGAGTGGGGAGCCTATAACAGCCTAACTACCGCTGGCTACACTCATCACACCGTCAACCACTCGATCCAGTTCGTGGACCCGGCAACTGGCGTTCATACTAACAAAAATTAGATATAATCTTCATGAGTTGACTTATGGTGGTCCATGGACCACTGTACCTTGGTGAAGTGGTCCATGGACCACCTATAGTGGTCCATGGACCACTGGTCCATGGACCAGTCGAGCTTCTTGGAGACTGCCCAAAACTGCCGAAGGCAGAGTATTGAACTGTAAACGAATTGTTCTATCTAATCCTAGGAAGAGATCAGCTTTTTTGTTGTCCGATTCAGACTGATGACGATGTATTTCATGAAGTGCTAAAGTTGAATAAGTTCATCTACTGTGTAATTACTATATAATCGACTAGCATAATGATTTGGCTAAAATATAAATCTTGATAATATGATATAAGAACGGGAACGAAGTATTTAATTTTAATACCCGTGTTATTATTATTTTATTATTGATTGTTATTTTACTATTGATACGATCTGATACTCCTAAATTGCCCTTTGAATTATTATTACTAGCAGGAACCCGTCTAACCCTAAAGTGGTGTCAAGATTCGAGAGACTAAAATAATTATTACCTATTTAATTCGCGTTTTTGACACCACTTGGGAGTCCAAATTTTGGGCACTAAAATTCTTATTCCTTGGCCAATTTTTCATTTTTTCATGCTGATTTGAAGGCCATTAAAGCATTTGACCCAGTCAAAAAAGTTTCAGTTGTATATCTTTTACGGTTTTTGCGGAAAGTCGCGTTAAAAGGTTAAAGTTGATGCCGTGGTGTCAGTAAAATGGCACGGATCCATATATCCATATATATCGTCTCGCTTTATATATAGTAAGATTGATAACTATAAGTCACCAACTGTTATCTGGTTTAAATCCTGTGGCCGCAAAATTTGTTCTTCTTTACATTCGAACTTAATAAATGTAATCCCTAACTCACTCTGGAATCCACTCAAGTGATATTCTGGAAGGTCTGCCTAACCACGGAAGATTCTATTCTAAGTTTTCTCTCTCGAATCTCTAATTGTAAATGTAAAATAATAAGATATACTTGTAGTTAGTTAACTTAAGGCCAAGGTAGGGTCTAAGTGATGCAGGCGTCCGTCCTTTTCGCTCTAAGAAGTGCCGAAAAAAACATGACCATTAATGTCAGTAGATGAAATTTTGACAAAACTGACATTGTCATTAATGGTCATTAATGGTCATTAATGGTCATTAATGGTCATTAATGGTCGTTGCAACCCCCCAACAAGATTAAACTGGTTATAATTATCATACTCAAGGGCAAATTGCTTTAAAATGTACTTGAATGTCATAGATGCTATTATACGCTTTAACCGGCTTATCGAGTGGCACCAGTCTCTCTCGCCAATATAGTTCTCAGCTTAATTATTATCGGGCTCGTGAAGGAAAGATCTCGAGTTCAGAGGACGAAAATCCTTTTCCCAATTATTTGCTAACATTAACGAATACGTATATTAACCAATATCAAAAAGGACTACCAAAGATTGTATCGGGACTTCTATAGTATAAGCAGTATAAGCGGTATTTCTAGTCCGCAGTTTTATTCATACGGGTATATGCCTCACAGAATGGCCAATAAAAAGGAAGGTCTCTCAAAATCACAAAACACACTTTATTCCAGTTTTTATCTCATAAGAAGCTAAGTTGACACTCATATTTTTCTTCCCGGGGGTTGATTTAATCTCATAACCATTTTTTCTTTGAGAAAAATTGGCCGGAAAATCTTCCTCCAAAAAAACATGCCTCACAGAATGGCCAAATCTGAATTTCTATAATTTTTTGATGGAGATACTTTTTAAATTTCTATCACCACACGTTGTTAGAAAACCTATTAAGGAATGGGGTAATAACCTAAAACTCACGAAAAAACTGAGCTGTGAAAAATTATTTCACAAAAAAGAAAAAATGCCTCACAAAATGGCCAAAAAAAAATGAAAACGAGAAAATCTTTTTTTCTAAAACCTTTGGCGCTTGTTTCAGGCATGCTGCTGGTATTAATATGCCTTGTTAACACCCCCACATAGGTGAAATTTCTTAGAACTGAATAAAAAGGGCATAATTTCCTACACCAAAAATGGCCATTTTGTGTGGTGTTGTTCATATTCCCTGATTTCATGATTTATAACCTTCATTCGGCTGTAAAAACACTCCATCTGGGGTGTTATTGTATGATAAATAGCTTGTGAATACTTTAGACTTATTGTTTCATTGAATAAAAGGAGTTTTAAATTTTGGCCATTTTGTGAGGCATATTTTGGCCATTTTGTGAGGCGTTTAGCCATTTTAGCATTTTTTTCTTCCTATATTGAACAATGTTCGTTTTGTTTGATGAATACTATTCTTTAAACATCTTCTGTCATACTGGTGCCAGAAGTTCTCACCAAAATGCAAAATTAGTTCAAAAATTTGAAAACAAATTTTGTGAGGCATATTTTGGCCATTTTGTGAGGCGTGTAGCCATTTTAGCATTTTTTTCTTCCTATATTGAACAATGTTCGTTTTGTTTGATGAATACTATTCTTTAAACATCTTCTGTCATACTGGTGCCAGAAGTTCTCACCAAAATGTAAACTTAGTTCAAAAATTTGAAAACAAATTTTCAGTGCTCAAAATTTCTACATAAACAGTCATATTTATGCCAGAAAATGTGGTCCTAGTTAATGATTTCACCACAGGAAGTGTTGCCAGAAGACTTTTGTTTCATATGGTATCCACAAAACCGACCAGTCTTATATAAAAAATTAGTTACAAAAACATTTACAAATTTGGCCATTCTGTGAGGCTAGCCATTCTGTGAGGCATTTACCCGTAGAGGTTTTATGATGAACTAATTATTATCATATGACTGTGTTAGGGCTACTTACAGATTGGTTGACGCTCCTGTTAGCGCACATCACTGCAAACGTGACTGTGCAAAGCCAATGCAGTGCCGTGTGTGTAAGGAGCGTCTATCCTGCATCATACCAACTCCATAGGGACCACACTTTCATTACAGAATGGAAACTATGAGAGTAATAGGTGGGTTTGCCGTTTATACAAGAGAAATTCCTGTTCGTTTGTAACAATCTAATCATATAGCAGTTTGACAAAAACCTTTAAGTTAAGTTTTTTATAATTTAGGCGTTCATGTATGATGTATATGTTTCCTTGGATATAAGTGGATACATTTTTGATAATTGAATACCGGTCTTCGTTTGCATCTAATGCTGGAAGTCAGTAGCAAAACATAAAATCATAAAAATCTAAGGAATCTGAATTAAAATTTCTCCCAGCCGATAAGGGCAACGCCACTGTGGTGTTAACCCACGAACAATACATAAATAAAGTTAATGAACACTTGACCTCAGGTAGCCCCAGGTCAAGATTTATGCGAGATTGCGAGCCAGACTCATCGCACAAAATTTGTAAATAAATGAGGAAACAGAAAAAGTTTAACTTAAAAGTTGAGGGAATTAGGAACTTAACATGTATTTTATACTCTTAAAGTTAACGTGTATTTTATCACTTGTTTATAGCGTGAAAACTTCGACGTAACGCGCGCGAGATTTTTGCCAGATTTTTGCGAGTTTCGTTTAAATCTCATAGCTAGGCTCACGATATCGTGAGATTCTCCGGGAGATTTCGGCACTCTCTTTCAGCACTACATATTTGGTCGCGCGCTTGCATTTTCATCGCTTTTCAGCGTGTTTATTCACTGTACTGTTTAAGTCTTAAAGGATACTAGTTGTTATAAGATCAAGATTCACGGTGGTTACTATAGTTACCATGGTTACCATTAAAGGAGGTACTATTCCTGGCTACAGCCTACTCCATCTTTCTCAGAATATACTTGATACTGCCATAGGCATAGTGAATATTTCTTCATTAAAAGTTTGAGAAAGGGTCTCTTCAACTGGAGAACTGACTTATTAATCCTAGCAGGTAATTAACTCTGGATCCTTATCACATGATTCCATTCTAAATTCTAGTATAGTACTACCTGAAGTTGCAGGAACGCGCGAAGATATATATGTAAATATTACATCGGTACATATGGAATCGTGGCCTAGTTGGTTAATCCATCGTTTCTAGATTAGCAGATTGCGAGTTTGAGTCCCGGAAAGGATAATTTTTTCCACTCTTTTGGCAATTATGAATAACTATACTAATGAACTAATAACTATACTAATGAATAACTAAACCTCTGTAATATAATTAGCATATAATTAGCAAAGTGAAATGAAATTGTTATCCGGCCGCGGAGCGGCCGAAAAATTTATGGTAGTCGTTTTAAAAATATATGGTAGCCGTTTTTTCTTTCCAGACTGGATTCCTAGTCCCTTTTTAAATTTATGTCACTGGGAACCATCGTGCTACGAGAGGCTTACCACGTTTACAATATGTAACATAATATAATTCATAAAAATACGCACGTAAATTTTTCGTTATTTATGGATCCAATAACAGCGACATACTTACAATTCTGAGAAATAAACATCGAGCGACATAAAGCAACTTACTTACAATTTCGCTTACAGAGGGACTCGCGAAATCTTTTTAAATAGAAAATAATTTGTGGGGCAAGAAATCTTGCAGGCTGGGGGGGGGGGGGGGGGGGGGGTTGGTGGGGAGTACATTTCGCCACTGCACGTGACACGTGAAAATCGCACTTTTAGTCTCAAAATTCAATCTCATCGCACTTTTTTTAGAATCTTGATAGGGGCAGGTAGCTACACCCTTTTGAACAAAGACCCCACACAATCCGTCACAAAAAAAATCACCACAGACCAACTCAACAAGATGCAGAACCTTCACCCTAGATGGCCTCAACTCTACGGACAACCCAAGATCCATAAACCTGGCGCACCCATCCGTCCCGTAGTTAGTTTTTACAACACTCCCCTTCAAGCGCTCCACAAAGTCCTTGCCACAGTCCTCAAACCCCTAGCTCAGAACGCCTTAAAGACTCCTCAGACTTCAAGCACCGATTCGACTCCTCCCTCAACCCCTCATACTCCTATCACTCCTCTCTAGACGTTAAGAGCCTCTACACCTCCTGTTACATGCGCCTGGCCCTTAAAACAGTCATCACATCCTACGAACAAAAACCCACTCTCCTCCCCTCCAACCTCACCACCACCACCATAGAATCGCTCATCAACTTTTGCCTCGACAACTCCTACCTAGAATTCAACGGCTCCTTTTACTCCTAAGACGAAGGTGGCACCATGGGCTCCCCCCTCATCGTAGAACTAGCTGAAATACGTCTCGCAGAAATAGAATCCTTAGCCCTCTCCTCATGTCCCGACCCTCCTCATACCTACGCCCACTTCGTTGACGATGGCCACGGATCCTTCAGAGACAAACAGCACGCAGAATCCTTCCTCACTTTCCTCAACTCGCTCACCGAAGACCTCAAATTCACTCAAGAACACCCTTCATCTGATGGAACCATACCTTTCCTCGACGTCCTCATTCACCCTGACAATTCCACCTCAGTCTACAGAAAACCCACCCACACCAACCTCTACACCAAGTATTCATCCTGCACCACAAACTCCTCGAAGAACGCCGTCATCCGATCCCTCACCAGAAGAGCTTACAACATCTGTTCACCTCGACACCTCGAAGACGAACTAAAGACTGTCAGACACGTTTGCCTTCAGAACGGCTTCCCACCCCTCTGCATCACCACCATCAAGGACGAAGTTCACCGCAAGTTCACCAACCCTCCCCGACATCAATCCCTAGCCTCATTCTACCGACAGACCAGAGATCACGCAATCAGCGTTTCCCTTCCTTTCCATCCCTCACTCTCCAAACCCATCTCCAAGATACTCGGACAACACGACATCAAAGTGACCCACTCATCAGCCACTACTCTCCGCAACCTTCTCACCAAGACGAAGACCACACCCCCCACTCAACTCACCCCCAACACCATCTACGAGATATCCTGCTCACAATGTCCCTCCAAGTACACTGGACAGACCTACAGACCCCTCATCCAACGAATGAAAGAACACGAAAGATGCTACAGACTCAACAATGCCTTCGACGAAACCACAGACAGGATCAAATCCGCCCCCGCCCATCATGCCCTAACCACTGGACATTCCATCTCCTGGAACAACATAGAAGTCCTTAAATCACTCACCATGCACGATCTCAACTTGACCTGACAGAACATGCTGCTATCTGCAGATAAGACAACCCTCCATGAACCGTACTGATCGTGCCCCTAAATGTAGCTCACTATGGGACCCCATCCTTCCCAAGATCGCTTCATCCCTCAAGACCAGGCCATCTGGCATTTCCTTTTCATCTATCTCACAAGCCTAGTTTTTTAATGTTATTGTAATGTAATCTGAACACTTTTTCCACCCTCACCACTCCACCCTTTCACGTCACACACCACTCATCATTGACACCACTACATCATATATAATCACCAGAGCTCGACCGGGATTTGGCGATTTTGTCCCGGTCCCGGTCCCGGCCGGGATTTTGTTTTTAGCCGGGATTTTAGCCGGGATTTTTCCAAAATAAAGTCGGTTTTTGAGCGTATATTTGAGCCCGAATTTCACGAACCTGTGAACATTTTCCGAAAAGTTTAACTACAACAGTGCTCTACAGTGCTTCTTAATAGTTAGATCATTTCACTTTCTCGTTGCCAAAAGTTTATTGAAAATTCAACTTTCAAGTCTTATGTGAAATGTTCATGTTACATGATCAAAATTCTATGAATTTTGATCAATGGTAGTTGGCAAATTTCAAGTCAAACAAAATTTACTAATGTTCAAAATTAATTATATGTTCAACTGTTCACTTCATGAGTAACAAATTACAAAATGTTAAAAGAAAGCTGAAGTCCGAACAAACTTAGAAATACTCAAGAGTCAGGGGCCTCGCCCTCATCAGCTTTTTCATCTGATGAAATAACTATGTCCACATTGATTTCGCGCTCTCTATCTCAGAGATAAAGAGAGAGATAGAGAGAGAGATAGAGATAGAGAGAGATAGAGAGAGATAGATAGAGAGATAGAGAAAGATAGAGAGAGATAGAGATTAGAGAGAGATAGAGTAGTTACTACTACTTACTGTCAATTTTAACTTGACATACCTCAGTTTGTTCTGGAAGATTTTATTTAACATATAACACTGTTTCATTTTAACTGAGATTGAGAAATATTGGAAAAATCCCGGTCCCGGCCGGGATGAAGGTCATCCCGGCCGGGACTAAATTTCGATCCCGGTCGACCACTGATAATCACCCTTCACAACATCATCCCCAGTTGAAAACGATTTATACAAGTATTTTGAAAACTCCTGCTAATACAATCTTTCGTATCACTTATATGTTTTAAATATCCCCCTCCGATCCAGGTTGGTTAATATACGTATTCGTTAATACTTACTTGTACTTGATTAGGTCTCCTCAATCATTCGAGTGGCCTGCACCAATGAACTCCCGTTTGTGACGTATCATCTCCCTCCAAAGTTTTCGGTCACTAGCCATCTCGCTCGCTCCTTTTAGGTCTATGTCTGTGTTTCCTGTAAACGCTGCAGCATCTTCCAGCAAACATTTCCTCCAGTTCTTTCTTGGACGGCCCCTAGATCTTCTCCCATGCGCAGGGGTCCAGTTAAGCAGGTACTTAGGAAGCCTAGTGTCTGGCATTCTGGTGACATGGCCAAACCACCGCAGGCGGTTTGCTCCTATGAACGTCTCTACTGGATTTATCTTTGCACGCTCCAGCACTTCAGTGTTTCTAACCCGATCGAGCCATCTTATCCTAAGTATTCTCCTCAAGCAACGCTGATGGAACACCTCAAAGCGATGTAGCTGCTTTTTGGTTGTGTTCCAAACCTCACTACCATATAACAATATTGTCAAAACCGCTGCCTTATAAATCCTGATCTTTGTATAAGACTGGATGGTGCGGTTTTTCCATATATTACTCAGTTGATTGAAGGCTCCGGAAGCTTTCTGAATCCTAGCTGACAGCTCATGGTCGATAGTACCGTCGCTGGAGATAATTGTACCTAAGTACGTAAAATCACTAACTTGCTGCACTGGCGTGTCTTCAACAGTGATGTTCACTGTGGCTTCTTTCGTGTATGGCCGTTGAGAGGTTGCTTTACCAATGACCATAGCCTCAGTCTTTTTTACCATTGAATCTGATACCTCCCTGGGCACCATACATATACAAAAGGTCAGTTGTTTCTTGAAGACCTTCCTCGCTGTTATCCAGTGCAGCCATGTCATCTGCATAGTCTGTATCTAACACAGTGATATCATCAACAAGCGGACTGATAGATCTTTGAAGAACCGCTCCGTGGGACACCACTTTGTTGCTTTCTGTTCTCTCAGCAGCCACATTGAGGCAGACATTAAAAAGTGGGGGACCCTGAATGTCTCCTTGGCCACTGCCTAAACTTACTTCAAACCATTCTCATAGTTCACCATTGTGTCTAACAGCACTGACAGTTCCATTAAAGAATGCCTGTATTATTCGAATGTATTTACATGGCAGGCCAAAATGAAAGCTTTCCAAATATAATTCCTGTCGATAGAATCAAAAGCTGCCTTGAAGTCCACAAAATTTACATACAAGGGGAGATTATATTCAATGCAGTTATGTATAATAGTGCGGAGTGAATAAATCTGATCAATGCATGATATTTTCTTTCTAAACCCACACTGATTGTCTCGTAGCAAACTTTCTAAACCGTCACTCATGCGTTGTAAATTGTAATATAATGATTTGATACAGTTTAGATGCTGTAGATCTTAGAGTGATCCCCCTATTATAGGAGCAATGAGAGGTATCACCCTTCTTTGGTACAATTATCACGATGCCTTTCAACCAGTCGTCAGGCACTGCTTCTGAATTCCAAACTTTTGAGAACAATTTCTCCATCCTATCCACAAGACCACTTGCCCCATACTTTAACTGCTCATTAGAGATTTCGTCAATCCCAGCACTTTTGTGGTTCTTCAATATTTTGAGACAGTTTAAAATCTCAAGTCTAGTGAGACAGTTCCTTAATCCCAAATATTCGTTAATGTTAGCAAATATTTGGGAAAAGGGTATTCGTCTTCTGAGCTCGAGATCTTTCCTTCACGAGCCCGATAATAATTAAGCTGAGAACTATAGTGGCGAGAGAGACTGGTGCCACTCGATAAGCCGGTTAAAGCGTATAATAGCATCTATGACATTCAAGTACATTTTAAAGCAATTTGCCCTTGAGTATGATAATTATAACCTGATTAATCTTGTTCAGCGTACTCGAAAACATAGGGTTACAAGGTTTTCGCTTCGATTTTCATCCATAAAAAATCCTTATATTTTCAATTCTCTGCCGGCCAGCTGTGTTTAATAGTAAATTAGATGTCCCTTACACGCACCTAGCGTACACACCTTACACAAGTTACATAGCACCCTATTGGCTCTGCACAGTCACGTGTGCAGTGACGTGGGCTAATCAGAGAGACGCACTCTAAACGTGATCTCTCCTGCGATAACCATAACAAATTTCCTTCATTACGTCCATTGGACGCGCACAGTCACGTGCGGGCAGTCACGTGCAGCGTGACTGCCAATCAGATTTTGTTATTATTTTGAGTTGTCTGACTATTTTGAATCTATTTTGGTTTGAACAGAGGTCCTTATTTTACTTCCTACTTGTGGGGCCAATTTAAGCCAATAGGCAGTACTTTTGATTTTTGCAACTATTTCACCACTGTATTTTATTTTCATTTTATGGTCCATTATATGAATTTGATGGCGTACTACCTTTTGGAGATAATTAAGTGGAAAATCATGATAATTAATGTATTGAGGTGGGGTCTGTAATGGTAATTAATGTATTGAGATGGGAGTATCATAATAGGGAATATAAGGGATCGTTCACAATGATACAATTGCGTTTAAGGACCTTGCTTACAATTACGTAATATATCAAAGATCTTAATCGATTGGCGTAGTATAGGATAGTTTAGGATATCTTACTTACTCCGTAGTTACCACCTCATTTAATGTGTATGTCTAGTTATCCTTAATAATTTGAATTACGATTAAATGTGACATGCTCCTTATTTATACGTGTTACGTGTGGGATTAATCTCGTATCAGTATAAATGAAAATCAGCTTAATAAGTCGTAGGATTGTAATATTATAGAAACACCCAATAATTCACACAATATAATCTAGTTCATGAATCGGAATTTTAATCCAAGTGCCCGGGAGAATATTTCAAAATGAGTTTTGTGTCTTGATGGGGGGGGGGGGGGTCACCCCCCTTGATGGGCTTGATCAGTCAGTTACACATTATCGATTCCAAGAATTGTGTTCAGCACCATGGCAGATGTGGAGCCAAGAGTCAGTCCCAATAACATGCACATTGTCATCAGATTCCCTGCAAGAAGTGTCACGTGTTAGTTAAATATTAGTCGTGTAGATATCTACCAGTTTCCACTTTAAGTTTTAGATATTATTCTAAACACAATTTCTGCATCACGAATATATCTCCTGTTACTGTGTTTATCTATGAACGACATAAACTCAGACAGTAACTCAGACACTATAATAATTTTAATAATTATAATAATGATATCATTATATTTTATTATTACAGTATAATCACCACACGACCCACCTGCCATTTCCCGCTCCTCAAGGTCCACCTGGCTGCTAGCCGCACACATGGGAGTGGATCCCATGTAACCCGTAGTAAACCCCAGAACGGACATGACTATTATAGGGACCCCCTCCCCGGGGATTATGGGGTTTGCAGGGAGGACGCACATGAGCAGGACAGGAACCAGGAGCCATCTCAGAGCTCCTGTCAGGAGGAGGATATTGTCCGGCATCTTGTAGGATAAACCTGTTGCTATCTGGGGGATATTGGGATGTTATGATAAGTGGTTGACATGCCAACAACTATGTTTTATGAGGCACGTTCACTGATTTATAACACTAAAATGTAAGTTCAATAAGCACAATTAAATAAGATTCTCTCACCGTGCCCCCGAAGTCCCAGGCATTGAAAGCGAAGACAAGTGCGACAGATAACCATCCGTTAGGCCAGGAAGTCTTGATAATACTAGCTACACCCGGGTACAGGAGATTAGTGACCAGGTAGACGTTCAGTATTCCTATCATTAGCTTCCAGATCTTCCTGCTCACTGTCATCCTCAGCCTCATTCCCTCTGTAGTCGGGCATTTTCAGGGATTAAAATTCGGGAACTTGCATATTACATAATATACAAGTGTATATTTAGATACTGATTTCTTAGAACCAATTACTAGATAGACTGGACTAACCTTTGAATGAAGACCAAGCGGATTGGTCATCTTTCACGATGAGTGGTGTGAAAGAGGTGGCTGTGACTGACTGCAAGTTAACTGCCTGCTCCTGGGCTTCGTAAAAACGAACAAAGGTGCTTTCCTTGATGTATCGGTGTAGGAATATGCAGGCCTGACCAATTTGCTTTGTTATCAATTTGCTATGTTACATGAGTCCAAGCAATGAATATTCAAGAATTTGATTTAAATATCAGAACTGATAAAACCAGCTCTACAATATCATGATACTATGTAAACTTACCACTTCACCTATGATCGATAAAGAAAAGAAGATGATAGTATTAGTAAGGTTGTTTTCAATGGTAAGCTTGGTGATAATCCTGTTTATGGACACTAGAAGACCCGAGAAGGCTTCACCCAACATCACTGCTCGGGTATACTTGCTCGGTAACATTCCGGAGTAACCGTAGTAACTCGCCTCCTGAACTGCAGTTACAAATGTTTGTTAAAATTATGATTAATTTACTGTTATCAATAACTGACGATTCTCGAAAGTTGCATCTCCTGCTAAAATGGTTTTCAGTTTTCAAAATGATTAACACTTTCATTGTTACATATATCCTTGTAATCAACACTATAGGATGTGTCCTCTCAGCACTTTAGTTGGCAGTGAGACTGATTTTTGTTCAAACTCACCTCCACATCCTATGCCAGTAAAAATAGTTGCAACAATCGTAAAATAGAGCCCAAAATCGTGACCAACCACTCCAAACTTAGTAAGAGCAACCAGCACAGCCATACCTCCTAGAGATATCATGAAAGCCACGTAACCGAATGTGATCCGCCTAAAAGTTGACATGAGTTTATTAAATATACAAAACCGCGGGTATCTAATATCTTGGATATGCTTTGCAAAGTGGGATTGACTATAAGTGGGAATTGACGTAAATTGTCATTTTGGAAGCATGTTATTCCATCTCGAAATGTGTATACAGAAAGCTACCCCGAAATGTATATTTCGCATTCAGAAGACACAAAAGCACTTACGCGTGCATCTTAATCTTGTTAACGAGTACTACGTTGAGAATTACAGACGCACACACCATATAGGAATTTGTTGAGGAAACCAGAAATCCCATATCCTTCCGTTTGTAAGCTTCTTCAAAGTAATCCACCGCTGCTACAAAACTGTTGTATGGCAAGTGGAACCCTAGCAAAACAAATTAGTGCAATCATCATAATATTAGGGGGAAAACACGGAAGTAATATATATATGGGTATACGATTATTTTAGTTTAGATTGAGGTCATTAATGAAAGATTGCTTATTTTATTTTTTCACGAATTGTCTTGTTTTTGGATGCTACAAACCTGCACCAAGAACCATAAAGGAGATGAAATAAAAGTTGTATCTATCTTTTGGCTGAGCAGCTCCCTTATCATTACCAGACATTACATCCATTTTGTTTGCTTCTAGTGTGCTGTTATTATTCTGTTTGAGATATGCCTGTTCGGTCTTTGTATCCTTCTCGTCCTCTTGTAGGGAGGCCTCTGAAGCACATTGATGTTGAAGAAACTATCGATTATGAAATAAGTTGTTATAATCTTACCTCTTAGCAAGCTCAGAAAATAAAACTATCCGTTGACGTAACCACGTATTATGAAAAAACCGAAAGATTAAGAGACAGTAGATATTAGTAACAATATACTTAATTAAAAGAACAAACGAAAAAAATTGAAATGGATACAATTACATACAAGCGGGTGTGCTGTGTTATTTCGCAATGTGGATAGTCAAGTTTTCAAATCATTATGCTAGAAACCTATCATCTTAAAACTATAGTAAACTGGAGAGGTTTGCAAAGTTTTGTTTGGTCTATTGATCCCGGTAAATGCTATGGTTGGGATACGCTTTAGTGGATTTGAATAAGGTAAATCTTTTGTTTAGAAACTGGTGCGATATGGTTCCGAGAAGAGGTGATACTTTGTCGAGATGGTGTTATTTCAGTAAAATATGATGCAACATCGTCATCTAGGATTCTTGAATGAGCTGTTTTGTTTGGGCACAGAGGGAAAAAAACACGAATAAGCCTTAAAATCTTCGTTGGATTTATATCTTCGGAGCGTTAAATCAATAAATTATTCGTCAAATACTAGCATTGAAAGTATGTATAGTTGATAACTCATATTTTTAACATTATAAAGTCACATCACGTACCATCTATGTTTGGGTTTACTGTTACGCACCCGTTCATAATTTCTGGTGCTATTTTCACAGAACTTAAACCAACTCAACCGGTACAATAAACAGAAAAAGGACCTAATTATCAATCATAAATTATAATCTGCAATGCTTTGTCCGTGCAACAATGAACATCTTAAAATTTGAAAAGTGTTACTTCTGAGAACAACAGCTTTAATTAAGAATATAACCCAATTTAGGCTCCTCTGAATCATAACTGCCAAGTACATAGTTAAGTTGAAGTTGTTGGCCAGTTCTGTACTTGTCAAGGAAAATTCGATTACCAGGCACCATCTGGCATCACGAAGCATATAACCAAATGATTGTATTCAGGACCTAGAAGGTATCATAATTGTTGACTTATTGTATAATATAAACTTCATCATTCTAATTCAATCAAAATTAAGCTTCCAATTTACATCGTTGTAAAGTACGTCAAAGAACGGGTCGAGAATACGCTGTATTTCAAAATTCTAAGAAATACGTGAAGTACAGCAACATTTTGCGGCATCAAAAATACCTTTTTTATGTTAAATTTCGTCCGAATACGCACGTATTTCTTTCGATAAACAAATTCGCAAAGTATGCAAGTACGTCACTACGCCCTGAGCAAGGTTCAAGAATGGGCACCGCGCATGCTGCAGCATTGCTAGACCTAGAGTACATAGCTTGTTGTCACTTTTTACATGAAACACACAGCCGAGGATCGAGTAAGGGGATTTGGATTCATTTTTACACCCTGAATGACTGATTGACTTTTTGTTACAATTCCATTTACAGGTGCTCTCCAAGTCTCCGAATCTAAAAAAATACCGGATAACGGATTGCCTTCAGTTCCCAATTGTAATGATGATTTCTACTACTAGAACAACCCTTACCTTGAGCAGCCAAGTTTTCAATAACATTAGACGGTAAGTCCAAGCTTTTAGGTTCGGAGCTAGCTAAACCATCGTGTAAACATTGTTTAGACCGGATCTCGAGGAAGTTGGGAAGGAATATCACATCCACCTTGTTGAAGACAATCATGTTCGTCATGTCATGTGACCGTACCCGTAATAACTGATCGCAATCCTGCCGACTGCAATCCACTTCCTGGATAAAACATGTAAAGTTCTACAAGAAAACGAAGAAAGGAAGCTCCCTTTGAGGAGTATGTGTAAAGTGAGCCAGTGCAATATAGCTTCATTATTGCGAGTATGAGAGAGGTGACAAGTTGAGAATACATAGTCTACTGAAAATTGCAAATTTAAATTGTGAGATTTGCGGTATGATACAGTTGGTTGAGTGACTTGTTGCCTGTTGGGATAATATTGCGTTAAATATGTCTGTCGGAGATGTTGCATAACATATGGTTATGAAAGATATTTCATCAATTTAGCTTTAAAACCGTTTAAATACGGATATTCTGTCATATTGAAAACCGCTTTAACATATTATATTCGATAATATTAAGCAGCTAGCTGAAGCTATTAACAATTTCTGATAGATTGACTTAAATCCCTGGGCAGCTTTTGATTTACGAATACTGCGGAAACACTTAATTATGCGCCAGACATCAAATTAATGATTTGTCATTTTAAATGATCATTTTTTGAGGAAGAAATAATCTTCGAAATATTAAAAAATAAAAAATAAAAAATACCAAATTCTAAAATATCTGAAGTATGGCAATTTATAAACCCAAACAATCAACTCACCATGTATCTCCAGGTAGAAATGACAGCCCTCTCGTCGCTACAAAGCAAAACTTCTGATCTGTTCAACTCTAAGTTTGGAGCAGGTCCGGGTCTGAAGGCTGGTTATGCTCCTGGTCGGGTTAATTTAATTGGAGAACACACGGACTATAATAATGGGTACGTCTTTCCCATGGCACTGGCTAACATTGGCACCATCGCTGTGGGCAGAATGACCAAGAAAGGTGAGATTAACATCGTATCCAGTGCAGATGTTAGCCCTAATTCCTTCCAATACAAATCAGTCACTACTGAGCTAGGAGACATTCCTCAGTGGGCCAGGTATGTGGTCGGGGTGGTGAAGTGTTTTGAGGATCTGGCTAATAGGAAGGTCAGTGTTGACCTGGCTATATCCTCCAACCTACCAATGGGAGCTGGACTCAGCAGCTCAGCTTCCCTGGAAGTTGCTGTTTTCTCTCTGCTGGAAAGCTTGTACGATGTTACTAACATCGCCAAGATTGATAAGATCAAAGCATGCCAAAAAGCAGAGCACAAGTACGCAAATGTGCCGTGTGGGATCATGGATCAGTTTATAGCTACTCTGGGGGATGTGGACCATGCGCTGTTTATTAACTGTGAGACAGATGATTATGAGAAAGTACCATTTGGTGATGAGAGTTTGTTGCTGGTTGTGACAGACACCCATAAGAAACATGAGTTGGCCGGGGGAGAGTACGCGAACCGTAGGGCAACTTGTGAGGCAGTTGCTAAGTCTCTAGGTGTGCCATCTCTTGGGGAGGTTAGTATAGATCAGCTAGTCAAGCATTTCTGTACGCCAGGGAGGGATTTGAGCCACCTCCCTGACAAAGCATACCCCCGGTCTCGTCATGTTGTCACAGAAATAGATCGAGCTAAGAAAGGGAAAGAGTGTTTGGTAGCAGGGGATGTTAGACTATTTGGTCAGCTGATGAATGAGTCACACAAGTCCCTGGCTGATGATTACCAAGTCACGTGTAAAGAGCTGGACGAGGTGGTGCAGGTTGCCTGGGAGACGGAGGGAGTGGTGGGGAGCAGGATGACGGGGGGAGGGTTCGGAGGTTGTGCTATCACGCTGGTTTACCGACATGCTGAACAGGCTTTGCTTGATAGGTTGAGGGAGTTTTGTCCTTATAGCTCGTCTTTTAGTACTACTGCAGGGCGAGGGGCGTACTCTTGGGACTTACCTGAGTGAGGCAGAGTTATTTATGTTTCCATGGAAAAAAAATTTTAACAACATATTTTAGAGTGGTTATCAGCATGAAAAATGGTTTTTGAAATGAATAATAAATGTATTGTGCTGCAGCTTTAGATTGCAATGTTTTGCTCAGTTTGATTTGAAATTTTTATACTTTTTATATGGTCAGGTATTTTATGAAACCAAATATAGTTAATTTTTGTGATGTTTTTTTTCTGAGTGATTTGACTGATTTTATTAAATTAATTTTTTGAATGGGGCTGTGCTGTCAATTTTGACTTCCTCGAACATGCATGATATGCAATTAAATATAGATTATATATGTCGCTGTAATATGTATAATGTTTCATATAATTTTTGAAAGCCAATGGTTTTGCTGAACATAAAATGCTGCTGCGAATTTATTAAATCATCAATTTGACATAAGCTCATCGCATCAGTTGCAGTGGAAAATTATTCATTCAGGTATTAGTGTAGAGAATAATAGTGCCGTTTTATTTTAGAATAATATGAAAAACTTCAGGATAGGTACAATATGAATTGTGACACTAGTAATACCAGTGAGACTGAGGAAACAGTTGTCTTATCAGGTAGGGTGTCCTTTAACTTTACTTCCTATACATAATGTATATTATATACATTATATATATACAATATTATATATATATACAGGGTGGGCCAAAATTCAGTGTGCAAACGTTGGGTCTTATACCTCCGCTGAGTTTTATATTTGAGAGCTGTTGCTTTGCAGATGGCATACTGTACTTACTGGTTCGAGGATTCCGTCGTCAAAATTTGAAAATTCGAATATTTTAGACCACGCCCATTCAATATTAAAACACCTATATTGTTTTCTCTGAAAATCCTGAACGCCTAATTTTTTTAGAGACGGTAGATTATCAAATGTTGCATATGATCTGAAAAAATGAGGCAAAACGGATTAGAAATGACGAAGTTAACAAGCATTTTGTGTATCTCGTTAACAAATTGACTGGGTGATTATGTGACACCGTGACACGACACCTTAATTGGGCACCCTTAACAATTCCCATAATGTTTAACGGGGTAGTTAACGGGGTCACCTTATCACGTGATTAGGTAAACCAATCACCTGATCACACGTAATGAACAAGCTTGTTATGCTTCATATCTCGGTCATCTGAGAAGCTAGAACTCTCATTCTTTCAGGGCAAACGTAATTCGAATGGCCAAACACAATTCAATAACATTTAGCTTGATCCGATTATCCAAACTATCAAAAAAATGTGAAAATGAACCTCCATTTGAAAAAAATGAACGCGAATATTTTTCGAGTTGACAAATTCCTCGAACCAGTGGTGGTACTAAGTCATACCAGAAGGAAGTATTTCAATTGGGCACTCAGTGACTGAGCTATTAAGGCCAACGTTTGCACACTGACTTTTGGCCCACCCTGTATATTGTATATATAATCTTCTGTGAAGTCTTAAAGTCTGAGAAAAGTACTCAAATTATTTTGCAACGTGAATACGTACTATATAAGCAAATAGAGAAATAAAGTAAGCTTATAATTGTCGGCACTACTATACAGCAAATGCTAGTAACTTGGCAGTTTTATTGGGGTATTGTTTAATTTTGATTTCAAGTTCTCCTCCAACTACATAAGAACGTGATTTCCAAAGTTTCACTCAGGAAAAAAGAAGAGACATCGCAGAAGAAACCTTACCAACCGATCTAGGCGAAAAATAGAAAAACGTAAACTACAAAAAGTGAGAAAGCAAAAAGTGTAAAGGATAAGATATTATACATTTATCACATGCCTTCTCATGCGATATCAAAACTTTCGCCCACGAGGCTTGCCGAGTTAGCGAAAGTTTCGATATTTCCCGAGGCTTGCCGAGGGTTATATCGACATTTTCAATCACGAGGCTTGCCGAGTTTTGAAAATGTTGATATCGCATGAGAAGGCATGTGATTAATGTTTTATCACACTTTCTTTGGAGCCAAATTTGGCCGGGAAAGCAGAATTTGATCAAACGTTAGTTATAAATGTCACCAAAGCAAACTAGACATGTCGAACTTATTTATGTTTATAATATTCAAGCTATATATAGCTCTCGATGAGTTAGTATTTCAGATATCGAAGATACAATACGTACAATTAAGATCTCACGTGCTCATCACATTTATGACACAGTGAATGCTGTATGCCGCGCCCAATTTGCTTTATACTCATATGTGATACGTAGTGCATTGAATATTATTATATTTATCGACCATGGGACTTGTACTTATTGGCGTCTAGAATATTCCGCCACGATCACCGCGTCTTATTAATCACAAATTATATCCTGCATATTATAATCGGTGTGAGGTAATTTTATACTTAAGATCATTACTACCGAAAATATACAATGTATAGAACATCCGTTCAAGTGTTGATTAAATACATCAGAGTCCTTATCATAAATGTGTATCTGCGATAAGGTGAAAGTATTTCCTAGTTCTTGTATTTAAATAGAGGTGTGGAGCTATAATTAGTGTCTATAATCTATCAGTCCACATTATACACCACACGCCCTAATTCACATCAAAAATGTTATCGTCCGTCTTGATTCTTGACTGTCTGTTATTTCAGAATGATTTAATCAATGCAACTTGTAATCGTTGACTTAGAATTTTATTGAGTATATAGTCTGCAGTCTGCTTTATAGTTCTTAGTCAGTATTCATCTTCCTTGCCATAATTTGCCATTATTTGGAGCCAAATTTGGCCGGGAAAGCAGAATTTGATCAAACGTTAGTTATAAATCTCACCAAAGCAAAACTAGACATGTCGAACTTATTTATGTTTATAATGTCCAAGCTATATATAGCTCTCGATAAGTTAGTATTTCAGATATCGAAGATACAATACGTACAATTAAGATCTCACGTGCTCATCACATTTATGACACAGTGAATGCTGTATGCCGCGCCCAATTTGCTTTATACTCATATGTGATACGTAGTGCATTGAATATTATTATATTTATCGACCATGGGACTTGTACTTATTGGCGTCTAGAATATTCCGCCACGATCACCGCGTCTTATTAATCACAAATTATATCCTGCATATTATAATCGGTGTGAGGTAATTTTATACTTAAGATCATTACTACCGAAAATATACAATGTATAGAACATCCGTTCAAGTGTTGATTAAATACATCAGAGTCCTTATCATAAATGTGTATCTGCGATAAGGTGAAAGTATTTCCTAGTTCTTGTATTTAAATAGAGGTGTGGAGCTATAATTAGTGTCTATAATCTATCAGTCCACATTATACACCACACGCCCTAATTCACATCAAAAATGTTATCGTCCGTCTTGATTCTTGACTGTCTGTTATTTCAGAATGATTTAATCAATGCAACTTGTAATCGTTGACTTAGAATTTTATTGAGTATATAGTCTGCAGTCTGCTTTATAGTTCTTAGTCAGTATTCATCTTCCTTGCCATAATTTGCCATTATTTGGAGCCAAATTTGGCCGGGAAAGCAGAATTTGATCAAACGTTAGTTATAAATCTCACCAAAGCAAAACTAGACATGTCGAACTTATTTATGTTTATAATGTCCAAGCTATATATAGCTCTCGATAAGTTAGTATTTCAGATATCGAAGATACAATACGTACAATTAAGATCTCACGTGCTCATCACATTTATGACACAGTGAATGCTGTATGCCGCGCCCAATTTGCTTTATACTCATATGTGATACGTAGTGCATTGAATATTATTATATTTATCGACCATGGGACTTGTACTTATTGGCGTCTAGAATATTCCGCCACGATCACCGCGTCTTATTAATCACAAATTATATCCTGCATATTATAATCGGTGTGAGGTAATTTTATACTTAAGATCATTACTACCGAAAATATACAATGTATAGAACATCCGTTCAAGTGTTGATTAAATACATCAGAGTCCTTATCATAAATGTGTATCTGCGATAAGGTGAAAGTATTTCCTAGTTCTTGTATTTAAATAGAGGTGTGGAGCTATAATTAGTGTCTATAATCTATCAGTCCACATTATACACCACACGCCCTAATTCACATCAAAAATGTTATCGTCCGTCTTGATTCTTGACTGTCTGTTATTTCAGAATGATTTAATCAATGCAACTTGTAATCGTTGACTTAGAATTTTATTGAGTATATAGTCTGCAGTCTGCTTTATAGTTCTTAGTCAGTATTCATCTTCCTTGCCATAATTTGCCATTATTTGGAGCCAAATTTGGCCGGGAAAGCAGAATTTGATCAAACGTTAGTTATAAATCTCACCAAAGCAAAACTAGACATGTCGAACTTATTTATGTTTATAATGTCCAAGCTATATATAGCTCTCGATAAGTTAGTATTTCAGATATCGAAGATACAATACGTACAATTAAGATCTCACGTGCTCATCACATTTATGACACAGTGAATGCTGTATGCCGCGCCCAATTTGCTTTCTATTGATACGTAGTGCATCGAATATCAATATATTCACGCCTATGGGTCTTGTACTTATTGCATTCTAGAATATTCCACCACGAGCGCGTATTTTAATCATAAATTATTTCCTGCATATCAATCGATGTGAGGTGATTCTTATACTTTATTTCTATTAGATATATTTTGAGTCATTAAAACTGAAGATGTATAATGTATAGAACATCTGTTTTAGTGCTGATTACATCCTAGTCCTTATCATGTAATACTAATCTGCGATAAGGTGATAGTATTTCCTGGTTGTTATATTTGAATTGGGCTGTGGCGCCATGGCCCATGATTGCCTATTCATAAGTCCAAATTTTCAACTGTTCATGTTGTACTTGTACTACACGCCCTAATTCATATATCAACAATATTATCGCCCGTCTTGATTGTCTGTTATTTCAGAATGATTTATCACTGGAACTTGTAATCATTGACTTTTATTGAATTTTATCGAGTATTATAATAGTCTGCTTATATTCATCTTGCCATTATTTGCTTCACTAGAAATTATCAGAACAGCCGTAATATAATGTATCTATTCAATTCAACTCTAGATTGTTTTAATATCAAGAGCAGACATGATCCGTACTCTTTAGTATTGTTTATGAAAGTAACTCTTGACTTAATAGCCCGATAATCGGCCTGGTAATACCATTGTAGAACGCACTTCACCAGCCTTTTATAACCACCCTGGTCATTACCAGGCAGTTCACCCGTACTGTTAGCAATATTGAATTGGTCTAAAGAATGGCAGCATATCAATCATCGGACCTAAATTTGCCCCAGCGACCAGACCAATTTATAACCGGATTAGCGGATTAAGTTACGCCATTCGTCCCTATTGATATCTTTATATACATAATATATTTTATAGAATGTTTTTATTGCACTAACTAAACTTCAGTTAAAACTGGTGCAGGGATAGAATTTTCGCTCTTTATTGTACAGAATTTATAAGTCTCTTTATATATCAGCCACGAATTTCGCAAGCCATTCTAGGGGAAGCCGGTTTGGAAAAGCCTAGTATAATTTCTGCACAATTTCTATATGGAATATGGCTCACAGAAGGGATCAGAGGGGGTTAAAAGTGAGGTCTGAAATGGCTGAAATGTGGCTAAATTGATATGCGAATGATCCCACATCGTAATGTATCACAATTTATTACGTTATGATTTGCTGACCAGCCCTTTATCAATTCTTGACAATAATTTTCTTTCAAATATAACTACTTGACACCAAGATTCTTGTTTTGTGTGTTTTATTCGTTCGAATTAATCAAACATCGTTTAGTGTTTACTATTTTTTTGTGAGGGCGACTGTAGTTTGTTCTGACACTTCCTTTTTAATTTCAAGTAAGCGATTAAGGAAATTAGTTAGCCTGATTGATTGTATCGCTGACAAGTACCAAAACTTTGTGCAACTTTCAAGTCTGCTTGTAAACTTTGATCTCGTTTTCAGTAACCTTAAGTCGCTTGAAACTCGTACAAACCAGGGAGTTTTTACTTTGTTTCATCATCCGAAGCCTAATTAGGTTTTGAACTATGAAGTGCAGTAAAAAAGCAACAGCTTGAAAAAGTTTTACTACAAAAAAATGTATTTTGCTTAACACATCTCAAACGCAAGGAAATGTTTTTAAAACAAGGTATAAATATATATTTTTCCTGAATCTGGAAAGTTTATCTGATCATTGCATTTACGGTCATAGACTACTTCAGGTTGTTGATTTAAATTTTTACTTAAATCAGCACCTCACAGTAGTAGAACAGTTGTTGAGAGTGGGCTCCTTGTTCCTAAGGGAATATCGGACTCTCTCTGAGCAACTGATTGATATTTCATGCCCCCGGGTGAGAGCCAGTGCTCCCCATCGGGGCATGTAATATCAATTCTGCTTTCCTGCCAAATTTGGCTCGAAAGTGTGATAATATATATTATATTATAGTATATAATAGTATTATATGTAACCTCAACAATTGTGCTTACTCATACTGACATTCACTGATTATCAGAAAACATAACTGATCCTTGAAGTGTCACTTATTAGTAAAAGAACTTAAACATTAGTTTTTACCATTGATAATCTTCCCAGTTCCCACAGTTCCTCATTCCAAATGCACTTACAACAGTGAATAGTTTGACGAAAACCAACATGCTTCACCGAGCTTGTGAGCAGGGGGATGAGGAAAAGACGAGGAATCTTATTAAAAATTTGACCTCGTCCCAGCTTCTGAAACGAGATACATCTGGTGAAACTGCTCTTCATATTGCCATTAATCATGGTAAAAACCTGCAAAATAGTTTCCTGTTAGTATAGCTGTATAGGTAGTGTAAGAAGACATAATATGAGTGTTCTAATAATCAATATCCCATGTGATCATTCAAGAACGTTTTTGTAAAAAAAATTTAGCCGCTTTTTTGTTTGCAGCTGATCACATGACACGTGCTCACACAGGTCACGTGGGATGTGCCTTGTTGATACTAAATAATCCTGCACTGGAGGTGAGTAACGAACTCAGCAGAGAGCTTTATGTGTCTTGTGGAGCAGATAACCTGGCTGCACTGCGAAACCCTGAGGAGTTGGAGCTAGAAGGTTAGTTCTTTGCAATTATTATTGTACAAAATGCTGGTCGGATAGGTCGAATGATAATCGGTGCAATAGTTCACTATCGTCTTATCGTTATTTCTGTGCACAAAAATTTCATGTATATTGAATACATAAATTGGTTGAATAAATTTGTTGAATAAATTTTTGGAAAGATACTGTAAGATGATCGATGTATATTTATTTTGCAGAGTCAGGTGCAGATAACATCGAACAGAGTGGTATAGTATTAACAGAGGAAGAGATGAATACGGAGATGAATACGGAGATGAATACGGAGATAAAAACAGAGATAAAAACAGAGATAAAAACAGAAATAAGGGAGGATATCTGCAAAGTAGAACAGGAGGATTCGCTTGAAAGATCACATGGTTTTATCTGTGCTGTATGTTCTGCGCACATCCTTTATGAGAGCTACTTTTTAGAACACATCAAAGAGCACCATTCAGGTGATCATAATATTCAAACAGTGGAGAAACCCGGAAAGAAATTGAGATGTCCAAGAATCAACACATACGGGTGCACAAGATGTTCTTATCATACCAACAATAAATATGATTTGAACAAACATAACATAATAGTGCATGCTGGTCTAAAGCCTTATAAGTGTTCGCAATGTCCCTTTGCTTGCTTCTGGAAAATAAATATTACCAGGCATGAACGGATACATACTGGAAATAAACCATTCAGCTGTAATGAGTGTTCATATACTTCTTCTAGAACAGATCAACTCAAAGAGCATGCTCTGAAGCATAGGAACGAGAAACCTTTCAAATGCTCTGAATGTGGTAATAAATACGTACGTAGACGTGATTTAGCAAAACATCAGCGACAAAAGCACCAGGAGATGAATACAGACTCTACCATCGAACGTTGTGATCCTCTTAAGAATCGTCAGATAACATTGAAAAATGATGCCCCCTCCGAAAAAAAGAATTTATTGGGTGACCTGGAGCAACCGAACAAGAAGCCATTCCGCTGTAATGAGTGTTCATATACTGCTTCTAGAGCATATCACCTCAAAGAACATGCTTGGAAGCATAAGAACGAAAAACCATTCAAATGTTCAGTATGTGGTAATAAATACGTACGTAGATACGATTGTGCAAGACATCAGCAAAACAAACATCCGGAGATGGATGCATACTCTACTAGCGAACCGTTTGATTGGCTTATAAAGCGTCAGGTAACGTTGAAAGATGATGCTACCTCTAACAAAGAGAGCCCGGAACAAACTCATCAGCAATCCACTGCGGATAGTCCTTCAGAAAAACGGGTTCGACGTAATAAACAGTCTGAAGAAAAGCCATATAAATGTCCAGGGAATCGATATGTCGTCAGAGACCCATACGTTCTAAGAAACGCCATGTAATCTATTACCTAATTAACTTATTACCTAATTAACCTATTACCTAATTAACCTATTACCTAATTAACCTTTTACCTAATTAACATATTACCTAATTAACCTATTACATAATTAACCTATTACCTAATTAACCTGTATAATGATTAATGTACGTGATTATATGATTTTTCATCTGAGTAGAAGAATACCATATTTAAACATTCTTCTTCAATCCACGCAATATTGTTTAATTTGCTCATTTTCGGATTAATGTTCAATTAGTTTCAGAGTGTTAAATAATTTTAACTTTTTAAGTAGCAGAAGTCTGAATTGTATATATTCAAGCAAATCATTAAATCGTCCTTTGGTACTCCTCAAAATATGTTTACGTTGAACTAATGTTAAAACTTTAACTGCCAATGGTTTTGCTGAACATAAAATGCTACTGCTAATTTATTAAATCATCAATTTGACATAAGCTCATCGCATCTATCAGTGGCAAATTATTCATTCAGGTATTAAAGTAGAGAATAATAGTGCCGTTTCATTTTAGAATAATATGAAAAACTTCAGGATAGGTACAATATGAATTTTGACGCTAGTAATACCAGTGAGACTGAGGAAACAGTTGTCTTATCAGGTAGGGTATCCTTTAACTTTACTTCCTATACATAATGTATATTATATACATTATATATATACAATATTATATATATAATATATATTGTATATATAATCTTGTGTGAAGTCTTAAAGTCTGAGAAAAGTACTCAAATTATTTTACAACGTGAATAAGTAAGTTATATAACTATATAAGCAAATAGAGAAATAAAGTGAGCTTATAATTGTCGGCACTACTATACAGCAAATGCTAGTAACTTGGCAGTTTTATTGGGGTATTGTTTAATTTTGATTTCAAGATTTCCTCACTCAGGAAAAAAGAAAAGATATCGCAGAAGAAACCTTACCAACCGATCTAGGCGACAAATAGAAAAACGTAAACTACAAAAAGTGAGAAAGCAGAAAGTGTAAAGGATAAGATATATATTATATAGTATATAGTATATGTAACCTCAACAATTGAGCTTACTCATACTGTCATTCACTGAATATCAGAAAACATAACTGATCCTTGAAGTGTCACTTATTAATAAAAGAACTTAAACATTAGTTTATACCATTAATAATCTTCCCCCATAACAGTTGCTCATTCCGAATGCACTTACAACAGTGAATCGTTTGACGAACACCAATATGCTTCACCGAGCTTGTGAGAGGGGAGATGATAAAGAGACGAGGAATCTTATTAAAAATTTGACCTCGTCCCAGCTTCTGAAACGAGATGCATCTGGTGAAACTGCTCTTCATATTGCCATTAATCATGGTAAGAACCTGCAAAATAGTTTCCTGTTAGTATAGCTGTATAGGTAGTGTAAGAAGACATAATATGAGTGTTCTCATATAATAATCAATATCCCATGTGATCATTCAAGAACGTTTTTGTAAAAAAACATTTAGCCGCTTTTTCGTTTGCAGCTGATCTCATGACACGTACTCACACAGGTCACGTGGGCTGTGCCTTGTTGATACTAAATAATCCTGCACTGGAGGTGAGTAACGAACTCAGCAGAGAGCTTTATGTGTCTTGTGGAGCAGATAAACTGGCTGCACTGCGAAACCCTGAGGAGTTGGAGCTAGAAGGTTAGTACTTTGCAATTATTATTGTACAAATGCCATGCTGGTCGGATAGGTCGAAGGATAATCGGTGCAATAACTCACTATCGTTATTTCTGCGCACAGAAATTTCACGTATATTGAATACATACATTTTTGAATCAATTTTTGAATCAATTTTTTGACATATTATATACAGTTCAATGTATGTTATACAGTTCAATGTATGTTATATAGCGATTGAATGCTATTTGAAACCTAATTACCCCGTTTAGTACACAATAACCGTATACTATATTACACGTTGGTCACCCTCAGATAATGACAGTTCTCATTAAAAAGGCTGTTACAGCTAATGGTCATTTTGCGTCACATTCATCACTGGGTTATTAATATGTGTAACATTGATCTACTCTTTGTGGGCAGTTTTCATGTGATGCCACAAGTTACGACGCTGTTTGTATTTCTTATTGCATAGGTTGCACTCAACAAAGTTATTTTGGTGAACTTCCTTTATGTGCGCATTGAACCTATGCTGTTCTCTATCACCTTTACCACACACAGGGCAGTATTTTAACTGAATGTGTCCGTAATTCGGCTTGTGTACCTTTCGTACATGCGTGCTTCCTTAAATTAGCAGGAGAGGAGTACCTTTTCTCACACACCGGACACACTGTTTTTTTGCCCACCACAGGAAGACTTGTTTCAACTTCAACTTCCTTTGCAATTCCTGTGAAAGATGAAACAAAAATGTTCAGTCAGTCTGCTAGCAAATAAATATAATCCGAGTTCAAGCACACAATTAACCCTAACTCTTTTGCCGCAGATGGAAGCACAAAGCCAAAACCACGCCGGAAGAGGAAGCGGGCAAGTTTAAGTGGTTTGTCAAAAGCACGTCTGGCAAAGAAGTATTTACGATCAACTCCAAATATCAAGAAAGTAAGCCATGAATAATTATAACATATTTTAAAGCGATCTTAATTTTTAAAAGGACAGGTATACAGGTTGCGAATTAATTATTAAAGGCCAAGGAGTTTATAAAAAGAAATAACTAGCACCTTTATTTTCAGAGACACGAGGCGATGAAAATTGTTAACCACGCACACAGTATCACTGCACTTCAGCGAGCTTGCTGTGATGGAAATGATGAACAAGTCAAAACATTTATAGATGAGCATTTGACTGACGAAAACATCTTGCGTAAAGATTTATGCGGCGAAACTGCTTTACACGATGCAATTAAAAATGGTATAGCTTCGGATAAATTCATTTTTGTTAACTGAGACCTTTTCACAATATAAGATAGCCGAAATAGATAGACGACAGGTTAATTGATCTAGGGTTATTGGGTAATCAACTACCACCATGACCAGTATGATAAGCCAAGTTATAATCATGAACATATTATGACATAAAATCAATCTTTTTTTACAGGGAACACAGAGTGTTGCATGTTGTTACTAAATCGGTTACAGAGTCCTATGCCAGCACAACTATCTCAGGAGCTTATAAATATATGTACTGAGGATTTGTCTACAGTAGCTGATAAACTAAGTCGAGAAGGTAACTTTCCTTAATCTATATTAACACCTACAATAAGAAGACAGCTGAGCGTTACAGTTCAATGTATGTTATATAGCGATTGAATGCTATTTGAAACCTATTTACCCCGTTTAGTACACAATAACCGTATACTATATTACACGTTGGTCACCCTCAGATAATGACAGTTCTCATTAAAAACGCTGTTACAGCTAATGGTCATTTTGCGTCACATTCATCACTGGGTTATTAATATTTGTAACATTGATCTACTCTTTGTGGGCAGTTTTCATGTGATGCCACAAGTTACGACGCTGTTTGTATTTCTTATTGCATAGGTTGCACTCAACAAAGTTATTTTGGTGAACTTCCTTTATGTGCGCATTGAACCTATGCTGTTCCCTATCACCTTTACCACACACAGGGCAGTATTTTAACTAAATGTGTCCGGAATTCGGCTTGTGTACTGTAATATGATCGACGTATATTTATTTTGCAGGGTCAGGTGCAGATAACATCGAACAGAGTGGTATAGTATTAACAGAGGAAGATATGAATACGGAGATGAATACGGAGATGAATACGGAGATGAATACGGAGATGAATACGGAGATGAATACGGAGATGAATACGGAGATGAATACGGAGATGTATACGAAGATGAATACGGAGATGAATACGGAGATGAATACGGAGATGTATACGAAGATGTATACGAAGATGAATACGGAGATGAATACGGAGATGTATACGGAGATGTATACGAAGATGAATACGGAGATGAATACGGAGATGAATACGGAGATGTATACGAAGATGTATACGGAGATGAATACGGAGATGAATACTGATATGAATACGGAGATAAATACGGAGATAAATACGGAGATGAGTACGAAGATAAGTACAGAGATAAAAACAGAGATAAAAACAGAAATAAGGGAGGATATTTGCAAAGTAGAACAAGAAGATTCGCTTGAAACATCCCATGGTTTTATCTGTGCTGTATGTTCTGCGCACTTCCTTTATGAGAGCTACTTTTTAGAGCACATCAAAGAGCACCATTCAGGTGATCATAATATTCAAACAGTGGAGAAACCCAGAAAGAAATTCAGATGTCCAAGAATCAAAACATACGGGTGCACAAGATGTTCTTATCATACCAACAATAAATATGATTTGAACAGGCATAACATAATAGTGCATGCTGGTCTAAAACCTTATAAGTGTTCGCAATGTCCCTTTGCTTGCTTCTGGAAAATAAATACTACGAGGCATGAACGGATACATACTGGAAATAAACCATTCAGCTGTAATGAGTGTTCATATACTGCTTCTAGAGCAGATCACCTTAAAGAGCATGCTCTGAAGCATAGGAACGAGAAACCATTCATATGTTCTGAATGTGGTAATAAATACGTACGTAGACGTGATTTAGTAAAACATCAGCGACAAAAGCACCCGGAGATTAATTCAGACTCTACCAGCGAATGTTGTGATCGTCTGATAACGTTGGAAGATGATGCCTCCTCCGGAAAAATGAATTTGTTAGGTCACTTGGAGCAACCGAACAAGAAGTCATTCAGCTGTAATGAGTGTTCATATACTGCTTCTAGAGCAGATCACCTCAAAGAACATGCTTGGAAGCATAAGAACGAGAAACCATTCAAATGTTCAGTATGTGGTAATAAATACGTACGTAGACGTGATTGTGCAAGACATCAGCGAAACAAACATCCGGAGATGAATACAGACTCTACCATCGAACGTTGTGATCGTCTGATAACGTTGGAAGGTGATGCGTCCTCCGGAAAAATGAATTTGTTAGGTCACCTGGAGCAACCGAACAAGAAGCCATTCAGCTGTAATGAGTGTTCATATACTGCTTCTAGCGCATATAAAATCAAAGAACATGCTTGGAAGCATAAGAACGAGAAACCATTCAAATGTTCAGTATGTGGTAATAAATACGTACGTAGATACGATTGTGCAAGACATCAGCAAAACAAACATCCGGAGATGAATGCAGACTCTACTAGCGAACCGTTTGATTGGCTCAGAAAGCGTCAGGTAATGTTGAAAGATTATGCTACCTCTAACAAAGAGAGCCCGGGACAAACTCATCAGCAATCCACTGTGGATAGTCCTTCAGAAAAACGGGTTCGACGTAATACACAGTCTGAAGAAAAGCCATATAAATGTCTAGGGAATCAATATGTTGTCAGAGACCCATACGTTCTAAGGAACGCAATTTAACCTATTACCTAATTAACCTATTACCTAATTAACTTATTACCTAATCTAGTCTAGTATATTATAAACATCGCTATTTTTGATAGCTTCAAGGAATTCACTTGAGGAATCTATGCTCCAAAACATGTTTATACCGCTGTTGTTGTAGATTGCCTAATTAACTTATTACCTAATTAACCTATTATATATACTCGTGAGAAACCTTTCAAATACTCTCGTTTTGCTTCCTCCAGATAACACGTCATTAATCAAAATATGTAATCGAGGAAGCCTCTTCATTGTGAAACTACTTACACAACATCACAATCTAAGGGTGATGATTTTACTCCGGTATTGCACTGATTGAAGGCAACAGGAACCGTATTGAAGGCATCTTCTCTTCAAAGAAACGCCGTAATTTGATTTTACCAAGAATGATAATGAATATCACTATAACTTAGAAGAGTGGAAGAAACATTCTTCTTCAATCCACGCGATATTGTTTAATTTGCTCAGTTTCGGATCAATGTTTGATTTGAGTTTCAGAGTGTTAAATAATTTTAACTTTTTAAGTAGCAGAAGTCTGAATTTTATAATCGTCCTTTTGTACTCCTCAAAATATGTTTACGTTGAACTAATGTTAAAACTTTAACTGCATTATTTTACAGACGCTATGTAAGCGCGACTTAAAATAGCGACTTGTGTTAAATTCCACCAACTATTTATCGTCTAGTGGACAATTATCATTATTCATCTCTATGCTGCTTGTTTATCTTACCTTTCTGACACTTTTATAGGTTTCAAAAATGTTGATACATACGGGGGATGTTCAACCTAACTGTCAGCTTTATCCGGATCTCAAGAGAACAACGACCGAGGAAATAGCTTCATCTCTGGGTACGTAGTGGACACCAACTGCTTAGTTTTTATTCCAAATGTTTAACTTTTAAGATAATAACTTAACTTATTTTAACTTGTTTAAGATAATATTAAGTGATTGTTTTGTTCAGTTAAGTTAAGTGTGTCTTTACTGAACCAGCTCAACTGTGATTATCTCTATGAACGGTTTTCATTTTCGTAGCTCTGAACTTAGTGCAGCTGAATTTTGTATTGAATTCTCACATTGAATAAAAATCCAATTGCCATAAAATTATACGCAGAATAAAGTTTAAATAAATCTAAAATAGGAAACAATCTGAGAAAATAAAGAGAAGACAAAAGATAGGGTTTCACTGACAGTTGAACCCACTAGCTGACCACATAAGCTCCCAACCCATATCAGCCTGGCTGATATCCCCCTCCACATAAGCATAGAAAGAGCTCCCGTATCTCTGTCTGATAGCCACTCCGCCTGATGTCAGACTGGCGTAGAGTGGTACATTCAGTGTAGCAGTCACTATCGGAGAAGACACAAACTTGCAGGCGGAGATGTCCACTTTAGTGTACAACTTACCCGGGTAGTTGTTAGAGGTTCTCCAGTTGTCATGTACTCCTGAACACATTGTAGCACAGGGTTCCGGGTAGGACTTACCGTCCGACATCTTCACGATAGAGAGACCTGCCCCGCTGGTGAGGGTGAGTAGACTCAGTAGGAGGAGGAGTAGGAGCATTGTGAAGTACTGCTGAGTGTGACACGTACTGGAGCTAGAAGCGAGTATGATAGGTACTGGAGCTTGAAATGGAGTGCTGACAGAGCGTTTAAAAGATCTGACACGAGACAACTAACCTTTATCACAGACAGAATATCTTTACTGCGTGTTAGTAAGAGCTTCACATACAATTCCACTAACTTACAATCACTACAATTATATTTAGTGTGACATCTGTGATCTGTCAGTAGAGCCGATTGTCAGTAGTTGGCAACGTTTCACTGATTGTTCATGGGAGTAAACAGTTACAGCTGCACTTAATGCATGGTGCTGGCTATTGTAATGGTGGTAATTATAATTGTATCTGTCTGTATCTGTTTGTTGTTGAGGCAATATAATTCTAGATTGTACAATATAGAGGGAACGTGTCAACATGACTAAAAACTAACAGATTACGGAATGAGGTATCAAATCAATTAATTACAGTGAGCGCTCAAATTCAACCCAATAAAAGCTCGTGTGACCGTGAAATCGTATATTGACCTAGATATATGTGTTTAATAATAATAACAATAACCAAAGTGCCGTAAATGTCATGCAATGATGGGACAGAAAATGTCGTGTGCACAATCTCCGCTGGAAGGCACATCTCTAAAATGTTGATAGAGGGTAGCCCTAAAGGATATGGGCTTTTCAGTAATGCTAGTATGCACATATTATATGCACAATAAACATCTGGAAGTCTGTTCAAACTTACCTAATTTCCATAAGATAAGCTAAACGGTTCTTTGATTCGATGAGCTCGCATGGTAAAGACAAAATTATCCCTGTATAGCTTGCCAAGAAATCGAGATACATAACTTAAAGTGGACGTTGTATTTCCGTTGGCACATACTGCTCTGCATCTAAGGTCTATTGACGAACTGACACTGAACATTATTTTACAAATTTCAATCTGGGTGTTGTTATTGTTAATCACTATAAGGGGCACGATGAGACGGATAATGGTTGCTCAAAGTCTGAGAAAATCGAATTTAGTTCTTGTATGCTTTTGCTTACATTTGTGACATTCAAAACATTTGATCTTTACAAATAGCCGATTGTAACTGATCTAGCTTATCGCTGATCGAAGGCTAAACGAACCGTATTTTAAGACATCTTCTCGTCAAAGAAACGCCGTAATATACTAAGAATTGGGGCTAAGGAGTATATATAATATATATATTCACAATATGATCTCGCTAAGCTAGCTTATAATTTTACTTAGTAAACCGGTTAGACAAGTTCTCCCTGTTATAATACAGAGTGGCCCAGAAGTAACTAACTTATAATATAATATTAGTAGACTAGACGCCGAGACGGTCACTATTAGTGACTCACTAACCATACAACATACATTTGATATCCGCTTTCATAAAATTACACTACGCATTTATGTACAATGAAAATATAGTTTATCTGTCTTTATGAGAATTCTGGCTAGTATAGAATTCGTAGAATCTTATGAAAATTATAAAATTCGACGAATCTTCGACGGGTGCGTGGTCAGTAAAAATAAAGAAGGCAGTTACAGAGATCATTCAGATGACTCGCATATAAGCCTCTTATTTTATACATTATATATCTCCGAATATACCGAGGATACCGTCTTGTTTTGCCTCTCCATAGTTTGTATTTGTTGCTGTCGTTATCTGACCACTCAGTCTAATAGACAGTGTCTATGGTTTAGGTACCCGTTACGTTTTACGTGCGACGTTTTCCAATATTATTTTGTTGTTACTATCGAAAATATCAAACTAGAGTCCAGGTAGCGCACTCTAGTTCGACAGAGTCGAACTTTAGTGTTTGTCGGACTACAGTACGTGACGAACTACAGTACGTGTCGAACTACAATACATGTAAAATTACCGAAGAGCTAAATATATCTTACCTTAACAGATATCATTATTGTACGTCATCTTGTTAAGCTGTTTGTATGTTAAATGCTTTTATTTATCTTTGCATCGTTGTTCATAGTAGTTGCTAAGTTGCATGGTTGTTGATTTTGCGGCGGGACAAGTTTTGTAATTTCCTCAGTTGATTAGTTTGCGTCTGTCTCGTTACCTGTCGTAATTCGTATTTAATTATAAGCAAGTCGTACAGCTGATCATTAGTTGATCATTAGTACTTACGATATAAATGTTCGTATTTATTAATGCTCTTTTCCTACTCCATTAATGCAATGTTGTGCGTTGCATGTTTTTTACTTTTTTCTAGTTAATGTAAAAATTTTTAGCTTACGCCTACTTTTTGTTTTGAATCGTCTCACAACATATTATAAAGATGTAGATATTATCTTTATTAAAGTACGTGTTGTAATAGGACTAAGTAGATACCGTTATTAGTAACCACGTACTGCCATCCACGGAGAGGAATATCAAGTATCATAGGTAACCTATTTGGTAACATATAGGTAACCTATAGCTATGTAACCTATAGGTAACCTATTTGGTAACCTATAGGTAACCTATAGGTAACCTATTTGGATGGTATGTGATCTGTAGATCTATTTTAAAGATCTTTAGCTTCCGGCCTATTATCGCATTACTTTCTTACTTATAAGTAAGAAAGTAATGCGATAATAGGCCGGAAGCTAAAGATCTTTAAAATACAATGTAATTGTGTATAACAGGCCATAAATGGCCTGTTATACACAATTACATTGTACGCTCCACCACTATTGTGCAAATGTATCGCATATATAGTAAGATGTATTGCTGTTTGTTTTGTTTATTCTCCCACTTTTGTTGATCAGATATTCATCTGATGATTGCGGGAAATTTTATTTTTATATTGTATTTACAATTGTACATATATCGGGACCCCTTTTTATCGTTTATTATTTTATTATCTAACATTGCCATCTATTTAAATTTAGCTATATTTACTCCATATTTAATTTGTAAGTTTCGTTTGTTATTTCGAGTAGATGTCACTCACTCACTGGTCCACGTTTTAGTTTCTGAGAAAGAGGCGGCAGATGGCTCAGACACTGTTTCTACGAAATGATAATTTTTGCGAACAATGCTCAGGAGGTTTCTGACACGATTTACAAAAACATTTTTTAAACAGTTCGTTATTAAACCTAAGTATAGTCAGAACAGAATTTATTTTGTAAATAAAGCTCGATTCAAAGAATTTTCAACTTTCAATAGAACATACGGAAGTGAAATATTTACAGCTATAATCTAATGAATATATTGCTCCACATGAATAATTAGTTCGCATAATCTCCTCTTCATTACCACATAATTCTCTTTAACCCCTCCCCCTTCCCACAGCACTGAGACTGTCCACTAAGAAGACTTGCCAGGAGAATTGTGGGGGTTCCTGTGTCTGCGTGCTTGGTACGAACACTGAACACACTGGACTTCCTGTCGGAATACCCAAAGAGAACATCAACCTTCAAGTCAAGGTGATCTTACGGTCCTTTATGCAGAATCTTTCAGCTTCATTTTTAGGATTGTTTTCCTCTTTGTGAATTGTTGTACATTTAGCTTTACGTAAGTCCTATCCTATAATTAATTTTTTTTTTTTTAATGGTCGAGGGCGCTCACTCTACCTCCCCGGATTAGCAAGGAGGCTACGTCCGCCTTGTGGCTAACGTCTGATGGAGCTCCTTTGGACTGCAGGCTTTGTACCTTTTGCTCTGCTTGGCATGGGGTTCGCAGAGCCCGGTACGTCCAAAAGACATAACATAGTTATGACCCGGTGGATCGGCGATGACCCTAAGGTTATCTGCCATAATGATCCGTCATCGAGAGACTCCATAGAACCCGTCTGGAGTCAGGTGTCGAAACACCCTCCCGGAAAAGGTAGTGCGTTACTTCGAGGAACTACCACCGCATTATGCTAGCGGGCCTGCCCTGGTGATCCTCGAGGTTGTGTCGTGCTTTTAGTATTTAGGAGGATCGAGTTGAGATGATATTAAACTCGAACCCTGGTGTGATGTTCCTTTGGTTTATCTTTGGTTTCACGAATTTATCTTTTGACGTCATGTGATGCCGTTTGTGAAGTAGTCTATAGTTGCTCGTGAAAATATGTTCGTGCGCGGTATTTCTATGCTAGTTTGCCTTGGCGCTTTCCAGACTTTTCCTGTTGTAGAGCACTCACTTTGGAGTTTTAGTGATATTCCGTGGTTTATATGGTTTTGCGGCTGGTTCAATAATGTCATTTTTCATTGCTGCTGGCTGACTCGCCAGCAGCAATGCAAGTCCAAGAAGAAAGAAGGAGAGACACTGTCCGTTTTCTGGGTGATCCACCACCGACAGTGCTCCCACTTCTGTGGGGCTGAGGGTGTTGGCTCCAAGAACCAGCCGTGAGCGAACAGCGCCTGACCCCCTCTGTGGTTAACTTGAGAATAATAGGACTATGCCATTCTCCAGGCCAATCCGTTCAGTAACCAGCTGACCCAGCACCACCTCTGATGGAAGATGTGGTTCGGATTGGACTTCGCTAGGATTTGTCAGTTTTTCTGTAGACACTAATGCTCCCTCAAGGAGAGACATGAGCCCCGGCGAAACTGACCAAAAAACGTGACAAGGATTCTCACCCTAAACATTCGTCAAATTTCTTAACTTCTGATTGTTCTGCAGTTGTTCATATCAGAGAAGACGACAAAAGAGAACATAGTGAAAGCAGTTGACTCAGTGTTACAGGAATTCAGTGAGCTGGATCAGGTTGATCAGCTCTTCATTTCCACCGCTGATAAAACCAACAAGGACCTCCTATTAAAGTGCTGGCCTTGGCTTGAGGTATATTTAGAATTGAGAAACACTTGGCTTCGTAACAATTGTTTTGGCAGTTTTTAAACTGTATAGTGCATACCTTAGTCAAAAGTCGACATGTTTGCAGTTTCATACAGACCTTTGTTAAAGATACTCAATACTGGCGCATAATTATCTAACCTGTTTAAACTTTCAGGATCTAGCAAAGGCCGGAAAAGTAAAACATTTAGGCTTGTCCGATCCAAGATGCCAAACGATCCAGCCTCTCATCGAGAGCTGCAAGATTTGGCCCAAGAGCATCCAGGTAAATATCACGTTAAAATTGAGTCTTATAACATTTTCAGCGAACAATTCTGACTGGTAATACCATCTGAATGTGTGGATTCGCGTGTTTGGCTGATATTTGTTTTCAACCGTGTAATTGAGTTGGCATCAAATTACTTGATAAAATGGAGATGACCTTTCTCGGGGCCTGAGGTGGCACCGTTTGACTTGAAATTTGAAAAAAGGCCCCAACAATTAACTGCATTTGACTTATTATAATCATTTCTTTTGTAATGAGCAGGATGTGATAACCCAATTAATGGTGTGTTGTTGGGGGCCGGGGCCTGGGGCGTACTAAATACTAATACCCTGACTTTGAATTGCGGGCAAGGATATCAAAATCCATCTTTACTGAGATTAACGATTTAAAAATAATCCATCACTCTAAATGTCTCCTTTTAAGGGGGCCGGGGGGGGGGGGGGGGGGGGGGTCTTCATCAAAATTCTCTCGAAATTGACTTTATAGTTGTTTCTGGTAGAAGGGAGTGATATCTACCAGCTGCTTTTGGTCCCATGGAAAAATATTGTTCCTAGCCGAAATTATCGCCGGTCTAAGGTTAGCGCTTATGTGTAATTGTATTGCACGAGCCATTTTCAATCGCAAATTCTGAAAATCGAGTCTAAAAATCTATCTTCTCCTACATTTTTTGAGCAATCACCCTGAAACTTTTAGGATATGTTCTAGGGACCATTTAGAAGAGATCGTTCAAGCCAAAATTTTGAGATAGGCCTTTAAAAAATTTTTATTAAATTTTGAAAATCTTGGACCTGAAAAAATCGTAAAAAAACGAGGTCCAAGATTTTCAAAATTTAATAAAAAATTTTTAAAGGCCTATCTCAAAATTTTGGCTTGAACGATCTCTTCTAAATGGTCCCTAGAACATATCCTGAAAGTTTCAGGGTGATTGCTCAAAAAATGTAGGAGAAGATAGATTTTTAGACTCGATTTTCAGAATTTGCGATTGAAAATCGCTCGCGCAATACAATTACACATAAGCGCTGACCTTAGACCGGCGATAATTTCGGCTAGGAACAATATTTTTCCGTGGGACCAAAAGCAGCTGGTAGATATCACGCCCTTCTACCAGAAACAACTATAAAGTCAATTTCGAGAGAATTTTGATGAAGACCCCCCCCCCCGGCCCCCTTAAAAGCCTCTCACTCCGATAACTCCCTCAGCTGCTGTTCAAATGTGAGAACCTGAGTGACACGTGTATTGACCTACTAAAACTGGCTAATTACTACAAGATCCGAGCTACAATCCACCGTGATGACCTTACAAACATGACTGATTTAAAGGCCAACTTGAAGTCTTCGCTCGGAGTTTCTATTTCGGAGGTGGGCGGAGGCTCTGTTAACTATGTTATAAAAATGTTGTGTTTTCTTTTGTAATTCACAATTTACATGTTGCTAGTGGTTAAAAACATGGTAGCACGATGTTAAGTTGTATACATTAAATGCTGTCGTTTAAATTTAAATCAAGTCCAAATTATTGCAAGATAATATTGGTTAGATGAAATCTGATGAAAGTTTAACCCCGACAGTCGTGGTTGGCAAAGTATTCCATGTTCGACGCAAAACGGAAAGTTATTCTGAAGAAAGGGTATCTGGTGGAGATGGAGAATTTGGGAAACCACTGTTGTTCAGATAACACGATCACCGAATAGGAGGAGAGAAGAGAAACTTGTTGAACTTGTTGAACTTATCACCGATAATGATGATTGTTTTTAGACGATAGTTTTTCTTATTTAAACGAAACGATGTCATTATTGTATTTTAGCTTTTTTTAAATTTTGATATTATAGAACTATGATTGAATTTGATGTGCATGATAAAATCAGAAAAAAGTAGAAATAGTTCTTCCACCATCAGACATACTTTTCAGTTTTAGCATTTAAATATTATGATATACAATATTATCGATGATACATATCAAATTATGTCAAATTTGCATAATATTAATACGCATCTTAAAATTGCGTTACGATTCAATTTATAATAATATATTAGATTATGTATAATACCTTGAGTCTCGCCTAAAATACATATTAAATATCATAATGATTTTTCAGAAATATTGAACTTCAATTATTAGAAATTCCTTGTTTTCATTATTGTCCCCACTATAGAATATCCGTAGAGAATCCTTAATAGTTTTCAATGAAACGTATAACCGAATAAAATAAAAACTCGGGTATTCCCGGGCTGTATCTTTATCTAAAGTGCCTCTATACATGTATACTGTATAGTGCACCGATTTAGACAGACGGTTGAAATCACAGAAATATGTAAACGATCCTTAACACTATTTGCTCGTTCTTTTGATTGTTTCCTAGTTCCTTCAGCGAAATCATTCGATCCCAACGGTCAATTCTAAATAGGTGTACTATCATGGCAATCAAGTTAACAAAAAAAGTGATGGAATAGGATTCGATTCCCTGCATCGAAGAGTTGCTGGAGGCGGTGAAGAATAAACAGATCCAACAACAAGACTTGTGCCACTCTAACTTACCAAGTATGTGGACTAAAAATAATATGTTGTAAAATAATAAAATACCGTTTTTCTCTTATCTACCTCGCCGTATATTATTCGCTTATCTACACTTGCATTTCGTTACGATTTAGCTGTTCTAACACTGCTCCAGGTCTGAAATAGCTTGGGTTATTTACGGTAAGTAGTACTTACGGTAAGTAGTGCTTACCGTTATTGAACAACAGTCAACTTATGGATCAGTCAAATTGAAAAACTGGCTGAAAAACTCTCTCTGGTGCAGCCACCCCAATTCGAAGCTTCAAGAAAGTCTGGGGTGTCCATGATTTTTACACTGCTATTCGCTTCCGGTTGTTCAAATCTACCAAAAGTTACTCTCACACAATAGGCTTATTGCCAAGTTTTCATATGACGTAGACAGATGTTCATTTAGCGAATGTGCTTCCTACCAGTAATTGTGTTATTTATATTACCTTGCTTAAATTTAGAACACATGAACATTTGGCGTTTCCTAAGGTGCGAATCGCTACAGAATCGTGTATTAAAGTGGGCTCAAATAAGTGTACAAATGATTAACAGTATTTGTTTATTAACAATATAGATACATTTTCTTCGACAGGAACGCGTAAGATGGAGACTGCATTATAGACTAAACGATTGGATTGATCTCATCACAAAGCAGTGAGTTGATCCTCGGTGAATTGAAATTGGAGCTTGTGTAAAATGATCAAATGAGTAATTTCAAATCAAATGACCAGAATCATTAATGCAAATGAGGCGATGTTTTCTCAAAATTTGTGGCGCATTTGTGGCGGCCCCCATATTCTTGCCCCCATTTGTGGCGGGTTTTGCCCCCATCCTATTTTTCCGGTTTAGAGTGGTTCTGTGTATTTTTGGTATGGTATGTTCACAGTAGTTGCTCCTAAGATCAACCAAAAATATAAGGTGGTGAAATAAACCATCTTAAGTTTGAATAAGGTAGAATAATAACTCAATAATAAGCAAAATACATGATGGGGGGCAAGATTCATATCCGCCACAAAATCTGAGAAAACACCCTCTGATGCAAATTTCAGAAGGGTCTACACAAACAATGTTCAGGAATACGCGTAAGCCAAATTATTGACATCAAAGCGCCATAGCGCGCAGCACAACTGCATGCGCGCGCATTTATTTGCACATTTTCCACGTGATTATTCTGCAGGTTTCTCCCATTTCTATTTGACAGGTGCCGCTCCCTAGATGTTTTTTAAAAGGTCTACAAACCTTTTTTTTAAACAGCAAATCTTTAGAAATTGTTTATCGCGTTTTCAGCCATACATTACTTTCAGGCCACTTAATTTTAATCTCTGAATGAAAACAAAACGTAAAACAATTTAAAATATCAAGCAACTGGAAATCTGTGAATTCTGATTAAATGTTACATTTATTCTCAATCTGATAAAATTGTTAAATATTAATTTCCGATTTCTAAAGCAATGTTTATTGTTTTGTGAAACTTTTGCTCGGTCTCTTGTCTCTTGACTCTTATAATGCCTGCACTTGTAATTAATTATACTAACTTCCTTAAAAATCTAAATAAACATATTATGTTCATCATGAGGTATGATATCGATCACACTACACTACGATTCGCTGAATTTGCAGATTTTGTATTATTCGAATTGTCTTCGATCTGATTAAGATTCTTCCTTCGTTGCCACAGTTTGGCCAAACACCAAGCAAACGAAATTTCGATCAACTGGAATACTGTGAAGAAAGAAAATCCAATAAACAAATCCACGGTCCCTCCAAACTCTGCAATAAAGTTTTGAGGTTCGTATGCTTTCGTTTGCACCTTGTTCATAACTTTCAACTCGTCATAGTATATGTGAACTCGAGCCATGTTATCTCGTATAAACTCGTACGTCGGAGTTTCAATCGTGTAAACCTGATCTTTCAGGAATCTCTCAAAATATTCCTCTGATGGTGGAAACAATGTTGAGGCAATCTCTACGTTCCACTCATGATATTCACAAGGTTCATGGCAAGGTTCAAATGTAATGTCCCCATTCATGACAGCTGTGTCCAACTTCTTATCGCAAATGTACATTTCCACGAACCCACATGTTAATTGTGAGTAGTGCGTCTTGAATATTGGTTCAGAAGTTGCCCAAGCTGACGTACTCGTAGACTGTACCACTTCATCAGTTGGTGGGATATCTGGGCTATCCCGTGTTTGACGTCTTTCTCGTCCTCCGTCGCGCTTGTCCTGCTGCAATCGCTCACTGTACGCATCTAAAACATCTGTTTTATTCAAGGTAAATAGTCTCTCCGCCAGGTACCAAGGAATGCAGTGGCACATATCTAGCATAGCTTCCATTCTTTGCCTTTGTGTACATTCCCTGACAGTCTCGTAATGATGATTGTATTTAGAAAACTGGCTGGGAATATTTTCACACGTACCATGGGGTTTACCCAGTCTTGTATGTGTGTTTTGGGTAAGTTTTAGGAATGTTTCTGAGCCGGGTGAAACCATATAGCCCCCTCTGTTTAGCATGATAGTCTCATCTTGATCCCTGATGAAGATAACGAATCCTTTGCTTTTTGTGGTAAATAGGTAGTGATCAACGTTTGCATCCAAATCTACCGCCAATCCACCCTTCATTCCTCCAGAACTCTGTTTTAACGAACCATCATCATTCAGTTCAAAACAAACTCCAAGTTCTGTCATTTGGGAGAACTTGCTCCAATCCGTGTGATCAACGAAGTTTCCAATCCCTCTAAAAACATAGTCGTACTCACCAAACAGCATGTGATATAAACTTGGTCTGAACTTCAAAACAAGAGACCCTTCTTCGTGCTCCCAGCTGTTGAAATCAGCAAAATCTTCAAAACTTATGTTCAAGTTTCCGTCCGGTTTTGAGCTACTTTTCACATATTCGTCCATCAAATTTTCAAATTCCCGCAGCAGTCTGGTATCATTCCCATTCGTCAATCCCTCTTTAAGTCTTGTGTAGTTTAGCGGGTTGGTGTTGCAGATTGTTATGGCTGGTAATGTTAAATTTTTCTCCCATGAAATGTGGGACTCTACGAAAGATTTGTACTGGAAATAGTCTGCTAAAAGTTGGTAGACCATGAATCCTGTGAAAATCATAAGGATGAGGATGACAATGCCCCAGACAAAACGACACCAACTAGGTCTTGCCTTCTGTCTAATGACTTGGTAGTAGTCACTCGCCAAATCCTGGAACCCAAACATCTCATGAGTTTTGTCATGATCGTCTGGTGCACTTGGCGTGGCTCCATTCCAAGGTTCCACCTGTAGAACGACCATCCTATGTCCACTCGTTAGTTACATTCCTTTAGATCATAGGACAATATATGAGGGTTATTGTAATGGAATGTAGATAAGTTAGTTGCTCTCTAAAACAGTTAACTCGGAAAATGGGAATGGTGGAAATAAAAAAAATAAAAAAATAAATATATCCATAAAAAGAATCCTTGTTGTACAAGCAAAAGTTTCAATCAGCGAGATCACTCAACCGAATTAACTATGGATCCAATGCAAAGAGTAATAAATTATTACAACAGGAAACATTTAACAAGAAAGGTTAGGATTTTAGCAGGGACTGATATTTTAGACTTATAAAATTGAAGATGGAAGTAAATTATTGCTATAACAAGAAACATAACTTCAATATCAAAGCAGCACTATAGCTACTCCTGACAATCGTTATTTCTATTGACATGCGAATGAGTTTGTAAATAATCCCTAATTAAACGACAACACTAATGTTCTGTCTTTAATCCTATTGAATTAACTCAATAGGATCAAACTTAATTTATTACGTTCATTTATTTATAAAGCTAATCTATTAAGATAATAGAATAAATCTTAATTTAAGCCCAAACGGTAATTATAAAACTGAAAGAACCAAGCTCGATAAGAAATAAACGAAGGAACAAGACGTGTTGAAGAAAAAAAGTTTGATACTTTTTAAAGATGAAATAAAGATGTTTTAAATAAAGATGTTTTAAATAAAGATGTTTTAAATTAAGATGTTTTAAATAAAGATGTTCTAGATAAAAAAGTACTTAAGATTGAGTCCATCGCAATTTGCTAGAACAGAACGACGCTTTATTTCACAAGTATTCGCGTTAACTGGTGCTCAGTCGGATGATTTCAGCCAGTCTTTTAACAAAACTCTCGATAGTAAATTATTTAAACAATAAAAAATTACTGCCTTTCTTTCTGGTTTCTACGTCATGGCTCCTCATTGTTCCGGGAATTTATAAAACCACCGTGTATTACATGTAAAGAAAGCGGAGGAGACGGCAGTCAATAATATAGTGAGTCTTGTGACATCATTTGAACTTGCTAGATAGTTACGAACGTGGCGAAAAATTAAATAGTGGATTTGGAATAAAATGAAATAAAACAAGGTATTTATATCTCGCATGTACAAAAAGATAGTGAGAAGGTATAAATTATAATATAATCACAGATTACAGGGCCGCTCTCCTATCTAGAGGAAGTAGCCAGTAACTAAAGCGTTGACATCTAGTCAAGTGTTAAAGAGGGTACCTTGGTATCTGTTAGTAAGGAGAGAGGTTATATTTTGGCGAAACTGTCGGTTACATTGCATGTAACCAAGAAATTTGCGACTTGAATTTTCCCAAAACGGAGCTGGAATTCCCGATTTTTAGTAGATATTAATATTATTACACTTTCGAGCGGAGTTGCCCCCATAAAGAGCACTGTGAGAGTTACTATCAACAGTGAGAGTCTCACAGGGGATGAGATATCGATCGCTTGGTCAGAAAGCTCAATAGAACCGGGGAGCCAGCTCTGACCAACTACTACTATAACAGTAGTTATAGGTACTACTATAAGGTATTAAACTTTCTAGCTATTGTTTAGACATTATACAAACCGGCTCCCCTACATAATTTGGCAAAGAGGCCTAATTTTGTATGATACAGAGCGAAAATTTTGTCTCGGGACCAGTTTAAACCTTTTAAAAGTACACTTAGAAAATGATTTAGTCCAATGAAAAACATTCTTAATATATTATATAAGCATAACTAAAAACAAACAAATGGCGTAGCTTAAGTAGCTGATCCGGTAATGAATTGGTCTGGGGTAAACAGGCCCGGTGATTGATGTGATGCCATTAACCTTAGACCAATTATGGTAATAGTAAGGGTGACCAGTCTGACTACTACCAGCCTGGTAAATGGTAGTACACTACTTTATTACAGAAAGACAACATGTTGTGGACCTTTGAGTTCAACTACTACCAACTAATGTTGGTAGTAGTTAAAGAAAAAAAGAAGAGAAAACATACAAAAGATTCCATCCAATTACTTCAAGGTCGCCATAGGTTTACACGGTTCGTATTTTGGGAAAAAGTCACTTCACACCTATGGTCTTCTCTATAACAGAAGGATGTCTAAAAAATGTGGAAAGTTCCTCAAAAAACCGAGCTTAGAGCTTTAGAGGAAGATTCTTTCAACGCCCTTTAGAAATGAAGATTGTTCCTAAACCTCATTGCAGATCATAAATCTGACAACTGAGGAAAGAGGAAAACATTCAATTTTAAATTATTGTATAATGATATATATTGGGATATTGATTTATAATTTGGGGGTGGGACTCTGGTTGGTGATACAGCATGAACATTCGAATTTTGTCACATAATGCCTTAAACTGAATTTTGTTGAGATTGAGAATATGGTGACTATTTTATATTTTCTTATTAATTCAATTAATAGTTTTGACTTTATTTATAAAGCTTATGATAAACTGTTTTAAACGAGTTTACATTTAGCTATAAAATTATTGTATAACATTATTGATGAAAGATGTAATGCTTAAATTATTTTCAATTTATTAATTTGTCAATTAACATTCATGTTTTTAGCATGTTTTAATCTTCTTGCGCATATCTACTTATCTAGCTTTCTGTATTTTATGTCTTATTAAAACAACATAGCTCGTAACGTAATATTTAGTTATCACAAATGAATTATAAATTATAAGAATATGCAGAAATGCGGAAGTAGTAACTATGCGATTGGTATTACCCAGGCGATTGGGATTACCCAGATCCCTGATGGGAAACTAAAATTACTCTGCTATTTTTCAAATTTCACATCATTGCACATAACTAGATTCTCTCCTAGGAATGTAAAGTCCCGGTATCTCGGGGAAGCTATCTGAATGTCATGGCAACGTTATTGGAGGATCTACATGTTTGTTGGTACCAAGTAAACAAGCAAACTGATGGGAGTTACAAGATTCTCTGCAATGACGAGTGGTTGGAGGCGGTGAAGAATAAACAGATTCAGCTACAAGACGGAAACTTGTACCACTCCAACTTACCAAGTATGTGCCAATTACAATAATCTTTAAAATAAATAGGTAATGTTTGATAAAATAACGTTAACTATTATAGAATAATAGGACATTCTAGCACGAAAGTACTGCGTACGTGTTATTTTGTAACAATACTTTCCGCATTTTTGATTTCCCACAGCAATTCAAGAATTAAGGGAATGTTATTTTGCCCAGCAAGCCGTATGCATTTCGTGCAATTCAGCAGCTGACGGTATTTTGACGGAGAAATTTGGGTGAAATTTGCTTTCTCCCTAGGTCCGATTGAGTGTAAGCTGTTGCTGGAGCCCTCCAATACCGACCCTAGTCCTGCAGGACTGCACATTGTACATGTCTACCTCATTCCACGACAGGGGTATGTTTTACAATGGTATTACACTAGTTTAGACTGTGATGATGTAGTCAGTTATAGAAATCTTCCCAGTTTAACCCCTCCTGCTTTTACTCATCTTTTACTCATCTGTAGTTCATACCGATTTTAGACCTTTTAAACTAAGTAAAAAGGTTATTATTACTATTAGTATTGCGACCTGTGATAACTTATCAACCTTGTAACTTCCCAGCCGAGTACGATACAGTAAAATACAGAAGACGGACAATCTGTACACGGACAATAGTCTTGGTCAGCTGATGTGCCTGGTGGACTACGAGTTGATCCAACAGGAGAAGAAAAAGGGAAATTCAATAACTGTTCAACCTATACAGTCTAACACATTCTCAGAGGTTAATCAATCCTGTTATCAATAACTATTTGAGGCTAATTTCTAATACATTCCAATTTCCAACTAGAAGACTGATCGTTTGAATTAAAATTGGCTACTATTATTTTCCAGGAGGTGTTTGAAGATATCACAACTGTCTTATCGTCCAACGACCACCCCGGGTCTCAGTTTCTGGTCGGACATTCCATCTCGGAGACTGCCTTTTATCTCTGCTTCAGACACCATTCCTTCAGGTACTCAGAGCCAACAATCAACATTATTCTATTACAACATGAATCCACTTCGAATCGCGATTACTGTAGGTAACTTTAACAATTCTTACCCTGAATTTATTCTTGAGACAAACTGATAATTTGTCGATCAATTTATATATAACCAAATTAAATTGTTCTTTAATTTCTTACTCAATCAACCACTTTCCAGACTTAAAGATGTTATCTGCTACTCCCCGACCCTACTCATTGGTTCTCACAGGCCTCTCTTTATTGTCTACCAACTACTTCAATATCTTAGGTTTGGAGAAAATATCCAATATTGTTAACCAAATACAGTGGAACCCTGATCTTAATACAGTTTTTGGAATAAAGAAAATTATAGACACATCACTCATGTACATTTTTCAACTATCATTATTATTCGATGAAAATTAAAACGTTTGTTGTAGATTTAAAACGTTTCTTTACTTGTTTACTATTCCAGGTGGTTGCATAGCCACGGTCTGACTCATGACCACATCCGTACTACAAACCTTTATGTGGATGAGAAACTGTGGCTAAGTGTGGGAGCACCTAGACTAGGGCTTCTTCCTGTGTCTAGGGAGGAAGTAAAGCAGATAGAGGAGATAAAGGAGGTGAAGTTGAAAGAGAAGAGATTATTGTACCCGTTTACTGGGCCACCTGATTCCATTCTCAGTGCTTGTGGAGCCTGGGTAAAAGGTTTGCTTGTAATTGTATTCTCAGTGCTTGTGGAGCCTGGGTAAAAGGTTTGCTTGTAATTGTATTCTCAGTGCTTGTGTAGCCTGGGTAAAAGGTTTGCTTGTAATTGTATTCTCAGTGCTTGTGGAGCCTGGGTAAAAGGTTTGTTTGTAATTGTATTCTCAGTGCTTGTGGAATGTGGAGCCTGGGTAAAAGGTTTGCTTGTAATTGTATTAGAAATTTATTTACTTGTACTTGATTAGGTATCCTAAATTATTCGAGTGGCCTGCACCAATGAACTCCCGTTTGTGTCTCGTACATTCTCCCTCTAGTGTTTGTGGTCACTAGCCATCTCGCTCACTCCTATCTATGTCAGTGTTTCCTGAAAACGCTGAAGCATCTTCTAGCAAACATTTCATCCAGTTATTTTCTTGTATTATAATACGAATAATTACGAATCGTCACTGACGATACTTTTTTAGGGTACAAATCAGTACTGACGTTCTTTAATTTTAATTGCAGGATACCTGTCGAACCTGGACTATCTACTGCTCTTAAACCAATACAGTGGCAAAGTTTTAGGGGATCCCAATCTTCATCCTGTCAGTAAGTTATAGGATAAAATTCTAAAAAGTTCCGAGGTGCTACTCCTTTACTTTAAGCCATCTACTATGGGAATGTTTCATAGTGCCTGAGGAGCTCATCGACATATTATCTTGTAAAATATTTAAAATGTTTATCCTCATTCTTGCTGTTTTTAGTGCGTTTATAATCTCAGTACCGTGGGTGATGGATTTCTCCTCCTCCTACGGTGGGTGGAGAGATTTGAGTAAGTCAAAGTTCCGTCTGAACAAGGGAGACCAGCACTTGGACAGTACTTACAAGATACATGGAATGGTAAGCTGCAACTTATACAGAATAACAAAACAAATTACATATTTAAAAGAATTTAAGCTTCAAACAAATCATGCGGCCTTAACAGTACTTGGAACAGGGGGTTATAGGACTCGAACAAGAGGTGGCAAAATTGTCCCGGTCCGTTATCTCAGCTTCTGAGTGGTTTTATACGCAACAACGAAAAACCCACATTCATGGTTTTATAAACTATGGTCTTTCCGACAAATTTTAGGGTTCAAATTCAAGTGCATTTTAATCTGGCTGATCAAGTGAGATTATTTGATTGGGAAGTTGGTCGTTTAGCTCCGGACAGTCTATGCAACGTCTATGCAACGTCCGTGCAACAACAAAAGAACCGTCTATGCAACGTCTATGCAACGTCCCTGCACAATGAACACTCTATGCACACTCCCTGCACGGTCAGTCTATGCAACGTCTATGCAACGTCTATGCAACGTCCCTGCACAGTACCATATGAACACCGGCTACTAGCCGGCTACTAGCCGGCTAGTAGCCACTTTTGTAATAACAGCTCCTCAACTTCACATTAACAACCGGCTACTAGCCGGCACTTGAAAAGCGGTCACTAGCCGGCTACTAACCGGCTACTAACCGGCTAGTAACCACCAAGTGACTACTAACCGGCTAGTAGCCGGTTAGTAGCCGGCTAGTGACCGCTTTCTAAGTGCCGGCTAGTAGCCGGTTTGGAACCGGCTACTAGTAGGTCTGCTTTAGAGCTCGGCTAATAGCCGGCTAGTGACCGCTTAGTAGCCGGTTAGTAGCCACTTTGTGGTCACTAGCCGGCTAGTAGCCGGTTAGTAGCCGGCTAGTGACCACTTTTCAAGTGCCGGTTAGTAGCCGGTTGGTAATGTGAAGTTGAGGAGCTGTTATTACAAAAGTGGCTACTAGCCGGCTAGTAGCCGGCTAGTAGCCGGTGTTCATATGGTACTGTGCAGGGACGTTGCATAGACGTTGCATAGACGTAAGACGTTGCATAGACGTTGCATAGACTGACCGTGCAGGGAGTGTGCATAGAGTGTTCATTGTGCAGGGACGTTGCATAGACGTTGCATAGACAGTTCTTTTGTTGTTGCATGGACCTAAGATGAGAAGTACGGACTCGTTTAGGGGGAAAAGTACGTACTTGTACGCAACTTTGAAAAGTCCGACTCATACGACGTACGATTCAGATAGAATTTTTTTGTTTTTGAATTATTATCATCGTGTAAAATGTAATTATTTGCCGATGTTAGAGAAAATATACCGTTCGCGAACAAATTAAACACACAATTCTCAATTTCTCTTAAAGTTAGAAAGTTTTTGAAAACGCTCAATATTAGGCCGTAACATGCGATTTAGAACTCTTCCATCGATTTCTAGAAGGAGAACTTTTCAGTAGAATTGAAAAGTACGTACGATACGAGTAAATTGAAAAGTCCGACTCATTCGTACTTCTCATCTTAGGCATGGACGTTGCATAGACGTTGCATAGACTGTCCGGAGCTAAACGACCAAGTTGCCATTTGATTATAAGGCTCTACCTCCTAATTAGATTTACTGGTCAACGATAATTTGGCGACAAATCAAAGATATCATACCCTAATGATGTTTATTTAGCTTTCTAAGATGCGTGTAGGTCTATCAATAGGTGTGGATGTGTAATTAGATTTACTTGGGCTGAGTTCTAGTAGTCCACCTTTGTACGAATTTGAAAATAATACTTTTTTCCAATTCTAGGTAGATATAATGTGATAATTAAATAAAATGATTGCTTTCAGGATTCTGTAAAAGTAAATAAAAATAAAACTTGAATTAACAGACAGTTAGATAAAACCTATTGTCGAAAGATAACACAGACAATGTTATTATGCATGCTGATTAAATGTAAGGTTATGATAACAGACTTGACGTATTATAGAGATTTAAAACATGAAATACAGAGCTTGACCAAGTGCTTTTTAGTGCATTTCACTACCCCACATTTCTCGCACAATCCTGACGACTTGGTCAGGCTGTTTTTTCCTCTGTACCGCCCTGCAGCTTCATTTATGTCCCTAAGGTCGACAATACAGGAACCACAACGTGCTGGTGTCTGGCTACTTTGTCCCTTGAAGGGTAAAATATCATCGGAGTGGGAGGGTGCCGAGGACTCCTTGGTTGCTGCCATCAGGTATCTGTTGTCTTTCGTAACCAGATACATTTTCACCAGGTTGACAGGAGTTAGACCTGCTGTTCCTTTCTTCTCCAGGTACGGGTTGATGAGCCCCATTGCCAACTTCTTCCCGAATGCAAAACTGTCAGCTAGGCGAGGGTTTCCGCCGTTATTGAGTGTCACCAAATTCTGTACGTTGACTCTGGTGGTATCCATTATATGCGAGAAGAAAGCAACAGAAGATCTCTCCTCGCTGTTAACACACCCGTCAAAAGAAAGGTGGCGTAGTATCCATTTGAATCTGGGATTAAATCGAGGATTATCATTCTACTGGTCACATGCACTGGTAGTTATAGTAGTACTCTATTATTTCAATTAATTATCTTCGAATAAGTGCAAAATGATTTGAAACACAAGCAACATGAACAAATAGTTTACCTGTTTATCGGCAATACAGCTGAAAATACAGGCAGGTGATCAGACTGATACAGGTTGCTGAGCTTTGTATTAGCCTGTGAATAAAGCCCCCTCATTAACCATAGACCAAGAAAAGCTCTGAACTCCTCTAGGGTGATGAATTTTTTCAACTTCTGGCAGCCGGCTTCAGCAACCCGGTCGTCTTCAGTGAGGACGTAGTCTTCCTCTATCTCCAGATCCGCATGTATCCGTTCTACCTCTTCCAGATCTTCTTCTTCTTCTGGCTCTCTATCTTCAGGGTCTGCATCTATCCACGTTCCAATCCCCCTATCGTCTTCCTCTCCTCCAATTTCTTCCTCTCCTTCGTTATCAGAACCGTCCGTGTTCTCACTTGAAGCTTGCCGTTTCAATGTTGCCGCTATCCGCTTGTTGGTGAAGGAAATCACCTTTTTCTGGATATCAACTGGGAATGTTAATTGCATAAATATTCGATTGTTACTCTACGATTTATAAGTTATAATTAATTAGTCATGTCAGTTATACATAATATATATATTATATATTGTGATAACAAATTTGCGAAGAGGGTATTGATAAAATCAGGACCCACCTGTGACAAAGTAGTCGAATGCAGAAACTGGATCGTTGAGGTTTTGAGCCTCTGGGATCACACCTGGTCTCCCAATCACGATATCTTGCTCCGCCCGCTTTATCTTTAAATTTTTCTGGACGGAGTACCTCGTCGTCCTGTCTGCATCTCTCACCCTTTTACCCTTTGTCAAGGTGGTGAGGCTCTGAGGTTGACTAGCAGTGGCATCCGTCGTTGCTGCTACACGCATGGTGTAGTTTGCTTCAACTTCAGCCGCTGCCAAGCTGCAGACAGGACATTTGTTAATAGGGGTCTTCTTTACACGGGTTCTTTTCTTCTCTGGCTCTGAACTGCTGTTACCGGTATCAACAGTGGCAAGTGGATCAGGCGATAGGCACCTCTTCTCACTCTTGGCGGTTCTACTTGGTCTAATCATTACTGCACAATTCAACAGTTATATTTATTATAATATATACAAAGCCTTTGTCGAAGGTTTTATTAGTACATGGTACCCAGAACCGACGGTCACGAACTATTATGTTTTACTGAAATAAACCCGATTGATATCAATATCAGGGACTGAAGATCCAAGGAGCATATTGCATAAGGGCCTCAATATTAATAAATTCAAGAGAAACTTGACGAAGTCAAATTAAAACACGTACACAAGCGAATAAACTTCAAGGAAAACAAATCCAAACAAAGGAAGTGAATCAATACGTGGATCACGTCATAATAATATTATTATTCGATATAAATTCATAAGCGTATGCTAAATGCTTCACTTCCTGTATACAAGTTACGCAATCCTGGAATGCTAATTAAATAATTCGCGATACTTCCTACGAAGTTACACCCTCCTCCCCTATAATGATAATTCGATGAAATTATCAATTTCTTGGGACCTAGGCCGGGACAAAATCACCACCTCCTGTATTTGGGGTATTTTTTAGGGTTAGGTAATTTTAATTGGTTTTAATTAATTTCCTGAGTTTGACAGCTAAATAAATTTTGAATGGAAATCGATAGAATTGAGGATAGATCGAGTATGAATGTATTTGGTCTATTGATTGTGAAGTTATATTGTGCTTAAGTCGTGAGAGGGCAAAAATACCACCCACTGTTCCAAATACTGTTAATTCAGGGACCGTTAGATAAACAAAAATTAACGTGTGTAAACACTAAATACTAAACAGCAATTATTTTCAGAGGGTTTCCGCCCCGTCCTGGATGAGATCTCGCCGATCGTTCCACGAGGAGGAGAGCGAGACCCCGATTACCCCTCACCATCTCATAGACACACTCTCAGAGATCACCTATTTTAGCTACAAGGCTAGACGCATGCCTAAAGCTCTCCTATGCAAGTCAGTTACAAAATGTCGACGTTTTTACTTCAATTTGGTTTCATCTTCATTGTATAAGACAGAAGTGAGATATGATGATTCTCATTAAGTATGGCTGAGTAAATGTTTCAGATATGTGCGATCCAAATGGGAGCCTCAAGAGTACCCAGCTACCATGAGTCACCTCTACAAATGGACTCCCGACGAGTGTATCCCAGAGTTCTACACTGACAAGACAATATTCGCCTCCGTACACTCTGACCTCCCCGACCTTGCTCTTCCACCCTGGGCTTCTGATAGCCAAGACTTCATTCGTAAACACAGGTTTGCTTAAACATGGATGGGGGGGATCATATGGTCAGAATCGTACGTGACGTTGGGTAGGTGGGTCATATTTTCTTCCAATACACAGTTAGTACTCTTGTACTAAGTGGTGGGTCTGCTGCTCATTTCCCAGAAAAACAGTTGGTACATGGTACTAAGGGGTTCATTCCTTTTTGTGTAAAGTTCAAAACTGCACTTAGTCGACGTCGCGTACGGCACTTAGTACCTGATCCCCCCCCCCCCCCCCCCCCCCCCCCCCCCTGATCACTACATTTCAATTTGTCTGATGTTTAACTAATCGGAAGTTAGATGCTGTAAAGTGTAGAATAAATCCCGGCTTTTTCTAACAGAGATGCGTTGGAAGGGGACTACGTTTCCAGCAGACTCCACAATTGGATAGATCTCATGTTTGGAGAGAAGTTATTTGGGGCTGCTGCCATCGCCAGTAAAAACGTATTCAAAGAGCTTGTCGATAACCACAAAACAGTGAGTTGATTATTTTCAGTGTATTCAGCGTATCTTAAATCGATTATGGTAATTGTGTGATTCAATATGGCCTTGATGTTAGAAGTAATGGTTGAAAATGAAGATGTAGATAACATGATTAAATAGTTAAGCAGGCGCTGTTTCGGTAATGACTGCCTTTAATGTAAAACGTGCAGAGAAAGAAACTGTTTCAGATAACAAATAAAGGAGTCCGGCAGCTATTCCAGTTCGCTCATCCCCGGCGACTGACATCTTCGCCACCTGTACCTCAGTTGCCTCAATCTACTCATGAGGTTGAGGTTTAATCTTGTTACTGTCTTTTAACATGTATTGTGTGATTGTAACTGTTTATTGTTGTCTCCAAAGTGGAAGAGACGTCAACCTTAGTTTCGCTATAATTTTGCGTTTCAAGGAACCTACATTTTACTGTTCTTAAATGAAGTCAGCTTCTGAGTAGCGAAAAATGTGGTCTAACGGAAAAAACACTATGAAAATTTGTATCGCTGCTTTAAATTGAAAGTCCAAAACTTCAACTTCTATCATGACTGCAAGTTAACACTATAAAACCCAGATAGTAGCCGCTAACAAGATTGAGATGTGCGAGGAACCTGACTACGAAGAGGATCAGGACAACTCCCCAATCAGGCGCTGCAATACGTAGTCAGTTTCCTCTTCAGCTTCTTATTTTTACAGTTTCCTCTTCAGCTTCTTATTTTTACAGTTTCCTCTTCAGCTTCTTATTTTTACAGTTTCCTCTTCAGCTTCTTATTTTTACAGTTTCCTCAACTCTTCACTCTTCAGCTTCTTATTTTTACAGTTTCTTCAACTCTTCAGCTTCTTATTTTTACAGTTTCTTCAACTCTTCAGCTTCTTATTTTTACAGTTTCCTCAACCCTTCAGCTTCTTATTTTTACAGTTACACCATTTTTGGGCCTAATTATCGGCTTATTGGCCGCGGCCGTTGTTTAATGTTTATAGGCAATGATTGTCAATATAAATTCACGTAGGGTTGTTATTTATTACATTTGTAGTGTTTCTACTTTCTTTAGATTTATCTGAAATATTTAAAAGATTTGATTAAACAGCATCCAACTTTACCACTCCTTTGAGATGACGAACTTGATGTTCGGCTTTATGTTGCTTTGATTTCAGTCAAGCTAAAGGCGCGGAAAAACCTCCGGTACAAAGAAACCACTCTGTTGATCCTTCTCTGCTAAAGAACCTTATCAATAAGAAATATAACCAGCGAAATGAAGGTATTAAATTATAAACTTATCAAAAGTATGTATACAGAGACGGGGGAGGGGGGTATGCAACGACCATTAATGTCAGTAGATGGAATTTTGTCAAAACTGACATTGTCATTAATGGTCATTAATGGTCATTAATGGTCATTAAATAATTGAAATTCTGAACTATCTTGGAAGCAACATGTCCAAGAAATTTACAATTATGATCACTTTGTATCACTTCTATAAAGTTTCTCACAGCCCCCTACATCGATTGCCAGAGTCTCGTTTGAGAAAACGAATTAATATTCGCCTAATAGAGGCTCGGACCTCGGTTTCGGAATGAGTGCCAAGCACCATTCTGTTATACGTTGGTAACTTGTCTTGTCTGTTTGCTTGTTTGTATTTGACTTAGTATAAATGCTTGTTTGCAGTTGACTTAGTATAAATGCTTGTTTACAGTTGACTTAGTATAAATGCTTGTTTGCAGTTGACTTAGTATACATGCTTGTTTGCAGTTTGCGTGGATTTGAATTGTATTGATTTCCTTTATTTGTGTTGATTGCTTTTGATAATTTGGATTTTCAATACCTCCTCACAGTACCTTCTATGCCATCGTAAGACGATATTTAGAAATAAAAGTCGGAGATCGAAATGTTTTGGTACCGGCTGTTTCGAGGGTTCTGTGCCATACCAACCGGGCTGCAAAAATTCTTCTAAGCCCTGTCAACGTCGAACAATTCGAAAGGGCGACTCATTAAGTGCTACCTTTGTTCCAAAAAATGCTAAACGTCCCCTTCGTTGCCTCGGTACCATCTTATCAATGAGTGTCTCTGCTTCAAAAAAGGGCAACTGCAGATCTAGACGAATTCCTGCCGCATCAATTTGTCCCTATCATGATGACAGTGCTCGATTTTGGGTCAAAACTTTAAACTGCCAAAGGCAGAGTATTGAACTGTAAACGAATTGTTCTATCTAATCCTAGGAAAATATCAGCTTTTTTGTTGTCCGATTCAGACTGATGACGATGTATTTCATGAAGTGCTAAAGTTGAATAAGTTCATCTACTGTGTAATTACTATATAATCGACTAGCATTTAAATGATTTGGCTAAAATATAAATCTTGATATGATATAAGAACGGGAACGAAGTATTTAATTTTAATACCCGTGTTATTATTATTTTATTATTGATTGTTATTTTACTATTGATACGATCTGATACTCCTAAATTGCCCTTTGAATTATTATTATTATTGATAACTATAAGTCACCAACTGTTTACTGTTATCTGGTTTAAATCCCGTGGCCGCAAAATTTGTTCTTCATTACATTCGAAGTTAATAAATGTAATCCCTAACTCACTCTGGAATCCACTCAAGTGATATTCTGGAAGGTCTGCCTAACCACGGAAGATTCTATTCTAAGTTTTCTCTTTCGAATCTCTAATTGTAAATGTAAAATAATAACATATACTTGTAGTTAGTTAACTTAAGGTAGGGTCTAAGTGATGCAGGCGTCCGTCCTTTTCGCTCTAAGAAGTGCCGGAAAAAACATGACCATTAATGTCAGTAGATGAAATTTTGACAAAACTGACATTGTCATTAATGGTCATTAATGGTCATTAATGGTCATTAATGGTCATTAATGGTCATTAATGGTCGTTGCATACCCCCCGGGGGAGGGAGGGACCCAATAAAAACCAAGAGATTGGGATCGGTTTGTTTTGAGATTGGAAACCCCCTCCCTCCCTCCACCTCCCCCCTCCCCGTAACAAATAGGAATTTTATATCCGATATTGTTACGAATGATAATTGTTACAGCTCTGAAACCTCCGACATCTGAAATGGGCAATTCGGTAATGTGGCATAACACGGTTAACGCACGGTTAAGGCACGGTTAAAGCACAGTTAAGGCACGGATAAGGCACGGTTAAGGCACAAGGGTTACATAAGGCACGGTTCTTAAGGCACGGTTAACGCACGGTTAAGGCACGGTTAAGGCACAGTTAAGGCACAAACTGCCCAAAAGCAACCATTATGGTCGCTTAAGGCACAGTTAACACACGGTTAACGCACGGTTGGGGAAATATAACATATAAACATACAAGTGGTTAACTAAGGCACGGTTAAGGCACGGCTAGGGAACAAGGGTTACATAAGGCACGGTTGAGACACGGTCACTTAAGGCACGCTTAACGCACAGTTAAGGCACGGTTAAGGCACAAACTGCCCAAAAGCAACCATTGTGGTCGCCTAATGCACGGTTAACGCACGGTTGGGGAAATATAACCTATAAACATACAAGTGGTTAACTAAGGCGCATGATCTGTAAATTTTACAGTGCGATTCCCGCTATGAATAAATTTTCTAATTGTAAAGCACCAGCCCTGCTTCGTTTGACCGTCCTATATTTGAAATCTTTATCTCGATTAACGATCTCTTCAAGTAACAAGGCTCTTCAAATTAAGTTAACATCTCTTAGAGCTCACACCTGTTCATTTGAGCGAGGTGATCTACACAACCTGAAATGTTATAACATTGTTGATAAATTAACAAGCCTGTGATTGATTAAAAATCAAATAAACCTCTCTAGGAGCCAGATTGGACTCAATTCAAGAGTTGATATTCTCTCCTGTAAGACTATCTAAAGAAGAGGAAAATATAACCGCAAAGATCCGGTACCTCAACCAGTTCTTCTCATCTCTCGGTGGTTCTATTTGGGAAGATGAGGTACTAACTACCTTTTTTTATGTGTTAAATACTTAAATATTTAAGAAGAAAGGTGCAACCTGCCAAAACATAATTAAATGCTTCCCGTCGGGATCTTTCTTACTGGAGTGTTATCAAATACCAATATTCAATATCTGAATAAACAATAAACATTGAACATTTCAGTATTTCTGATCATGTTCTTCCCAATCCATGTATTGTGATTTCGTTAAATTTCTAAAGTCTTATTTTTCTAACAAAACAGAATTCAATAATATCAATATTTATTGCATTTACGCCAACACAAACCTCCTGACATCCGCCAACAGGAAAGTGAGACCACGCGCTCGTACCCTCCCATCCCAACCCCACCAACCCCACCTACCCCACCTGCAACACCTGCAACACCACTCAGTCTCAAAGCGAGACAGAGACAGGATATTCAGAGTGTGGGCTGTGTTTTGATAGAGATACTCTCCTCGACTCGCATTCCTGAGTATGAGGACATGTCCCGGGAGCAATATCTCCAAGAAGCCTCCTTCCTCTGGAACAAGAACAAAGATGAAATCTTTATGTACGTCTTGTTTTCTGGTTAACTCTGTAAACATTGGTTGTTACCAGATTTCTTAAACATCATACTATCACTGTACTCAGTACCTTAGATTTAATCAGTGCCGTGAATTGGTCCTGTTCAATACTAACGTGTAGTGGGATGATAAAGTCTTGAAGAAATTATTAAAGCACTAGATAAAATGACGTCACCTGATCTCACAACATGACATCACACATGACGTCACACTCTCTCTTACCAGGTGTTTCAACGATTTGATAGAGTACTTGTTGTACAGTGATGACGTGTTCTGTACCACTGATTACCTACTTCATCCACACTTCAACAATTTAGCTATGCCTCTCTACTTCGACAGCCTCTACAACCTGATCTTCAGCCTCGAACAGGTTCATGAACTATACATTACATAGATCTGGTAACTGGATAAAACACACATATTTGACACGTGACAGTGATTCTTGGTTTTGATTGGCTAATGCTGATTGTGGTAACTTTCAGCAAGACACAATAGAGTCGACAATATCGCACTGTGGCGCCTACCTGAAGAACAACCCCAAGTTCCTGTCCAGTCTAGGAAGTTCCGGGATGCTACTGTTGTTGGGGTACCTCAAACCCTTGTTCTCCGGAACTCATTCCTGTAAAGCTTTCATCAAGCTGTTCGATACAATCGCAGTCCACTGTGATCACAAAGCACGTGAGTTATTTTAAGTCAGAACTAATTTTGCCAAACAACAGAATGTTAGAATAATGGAGATATCTCCCGCGTTGTGTCTTCTAATGGATTGACAAAAGCTGAAGAGTTATTTTAAGGCCTATGAAATAATTTCCACAAATGGCGAGCTAGAGGCCAAGTTCACAGGTTACAATCACACCGTACCAGAGCTAGTTCAGCTAGTGAGTTATGTCCAATTTAAGGTTATGCCTGGATCCTGAAGCTGATAAAGCTATCGAGCAGGGTGCCGGACGTAAACCGGTAGACATTAACACTCACAGATCACAGCCCACAGATCACAGCCCCCAGATCACAGCCCCCAGATCACTCTTTGGAGACTTCCTTACTAACATCTAGAATCGTTATTTTAAACTGTTACTTAGTAGCTGTCACTATAAACAAGCTGTAAATAATCTTTCAACTCGCTACATTTCTTCTCGCTGCATTCTAATTAGTCCCTCCTCCCAGTGGAGCTGCTGAGCGAATGTCTGGAGCAGTTTTACAGGAACTGTACTTCCTCCTCTGAGCGGATGATGCTCTCAAACGTTAACTTCATCATGAGCGTCAAACGACACTTCGGCCTCAGGGCATTCCTCAACAAGTTTATTGGACATATTATCGAGAATATCGTCGACACTGGTTTGTGAGAGAGGGATACTCACATATTTTATTAGTATTATTTATTATTATTATTGTTGATAAGGTTAAGATTGTTTCAAATTCAAGATAATATCAATTGTACATCTACCGTGAAAAGCTGGAGGCTGGCTGCTCGGAATAACAACGGAATAACACTTTTCACAGCCGTGGTATAGCAGATATCTGAAACAAACTTCGTTTTTTTTAGAGAGTAGTTCGACGTTCCAGACAGAAGAACAGACCTGGTCTACCCAAGTGCAAGCTAGCCCTCTGGCTCTGGAGTGCTACACCACCCTCAAACAAGTCCTCCCAACTCTCGGTCCTATTCTAACCGCTAAACACGTCACTAATAAACTCCTGCAGGTTGCTAAGCAACCAGGTTGCTGCTTTATACCTGTAGTTTCAATCGTCATATTTAATTCACTCATGTTTATTTAGCTAGTACGGGTGAAGTCGACAGTGATGGAAAATTGGTGTCGGGGAATAAAGCATGGAGGAAAAGTATCACTCTAGGGTCCGTCTTGTGTAGCAAAGCTGATATTCAGCGTCGCATAAACCTGGGATATGCTGCCTTTAACAATTACATGAAGGCCTGGAGTGATAAACTGCCCCTAAACAAACGTCTAATACTGTATAATGCTTTAGTCGTATCGGTTCTTATGTACAACTCATCCTGTTGGGCCGTCCCCAAAATATTCCTTGAAAAACTAGATGTTATTCACCGCAGACATCTTCGCACTATTTTGAATATAAAGTACCCAGGAGTCATCTCCAACAAAAACTTGTATAAACGCTGCAATGCTGAACCATTGTCAGAAAAAGTGGCCCGTAGTCGGTGGAGAATGTTAGGACATGTTTTGCGGGGTCCTATTGACGGACCAGCGTTTTCTTCCCTCATTTTTGCCATCAATAAACTGGACTTACCAGGGAGAAGAGGAAGACCCCAAAGCAATCTATTCTCGCTGATTGTGCATGATTTATGTAAAAGAAATCTTTATTTGAATAATATCTTTGACCTGCATTATCTCCGTAATTTGAGTTATGACAAGAGATATTGGCGGAAATTGCAATGAAGTTTTTAATTTTTAGTTTTTGTTTTAGGGAAAGATTAGACTTGGGCGCTGTTTTTTAACTATCCCTTGTTTAGAACTTTGATTTAATAATAATAATATTTAATTCCACTTTGCAAATAACCCTTACCGTAAAGCTGGAGTATCATTCCACCCGTATTTACAACAGAAAACTAACAGTAACACCTAACACTTCTTCAGGTGTTAGTTGGATGTCACGTGTATAACGAAGTAACAAATTGCCGGCCTGGTGGCGAGGAACTTATCACAAAATTCCTCATCGACATCGCCCTTATCTACGGGGAGGCTTTTATTGGTTAGTCAAATAATCGCCCTTATTTACGGGGAGGCTTTTATTGGATAGTCAAATAATCGCCCTTATTTACGGGGAGGCTTTTATTGGTTAGTCAGCTCAAAGTGATCACAACTAAATCCATGTTTTATTGCAAGCTTGCAACCCAGGACGATTTCAAGGAATTTACTTTATTTCACGCGATTTGCTTTCATATTTTTATCATGAATTATGAAAAACCACCCAATTACCAGATACGCAGTACATTCCACGAGTGTTTAACATGATAAAAAGTGCCATGTTCCGGGTGACGAATAAGAACGAGGGTAAACTCCTGGCGGCCCTGAATGTAGTGGGAGATAGCATCAAGTGTCTGGATGGTCCTACTCTACATAATATGCTCGGGGTAAGTCTTCACTCGCCCCTTCCCCACCTCTGAGATTTCAAAATTGATACGTACTTTATTTAGATAGTTGTTGATAACTTGATAGGTATCTACTGTTAAGTGTTTATCTATTGAAAATCTAAGCTGACAACGCCGGCCCTGCAGGATCTCCAGAGGTTTATATTTGAGCCGATAATGCGTCTGCTGACGAGCAGTAGGATAATCTTCCCTCACTCTGGATCAGGGAGATTACTGTTGTGTCGTGCTCTATCTAATCTGCTGGTTAACATTGTCAAACACGTTCAGTACTCCAACATTCAGGACCCTGAAGCTGGCAAATCTCTCGTCTTCCCTCTGGTACGGTGGTTTTATCTTTATTTTTTAAGTCAAGTAATTTTTCTTCAGATTTATTTTGCACTGAAACAACGACCTCATGGTCGCACTGCGACATGAAAAACTCAAATTATTGTCGTACATTTTCTGTTTATTTCCCTGAAGTTAGTGGGTGAAGAGTTTTATAATATTTTTTTTTAAAAATATTTTTTATATTTTTCAAGACATTATTTGTTATTTTGCGATTGTACAAAATGTGATCAAAAGATGTCGAGAAAATTTAATGTGGTGGAATAGGTATAAATTTCTATGGTGAAGTGAAATTTTATATTTTACCTGCATTATTTGAGCTCAGTGCAATAAGTTTAAAATGCACTAAAACTTGAAATTAAGGTCAAGAAATTAGAGAGATACGACAGGAATCGGATACATAAAATGAAAAATTTTCAAATTCAATACATATAATGACGTTATGTATATTAGATTTAACATTTTTAACATCATTAATTCATGAAGTTAAAAATGACTTATAGGTTTATATTTTATATTAAATCATTTATTGCCGAAATATAAAGTGTACACGTAAGAGATCCAAAAATGTTTCATCTACAACATCGTAACTTGACGTTTTGATGTTAACGGTGGATCGGTGATTTCTGAATCGCCTCTATTCGAAATCATACGTGGAAATCCCACAGATATCTCAAGGTCAGCAGTATTCGAAAATCTACGTAGAAATCCCGCTGAGAGGTCTATGTCGCCAACATGCGAAACCCTCCGTAGAAATCCTGCAGTTAAGCGCTGCGTTAGGAATCCAAACTTCTTAACCTCATCTCCAAAACTCTTCTTCATCGAACTGACCCGACCGAGGTACAGAAGAGGATTCATAGCAGCGTTGATAAAAACGCTAACTTTAGAGCTAAATATGAAGAGGTAGAGAGGAATCATCTCTCCAAAGTTGACGGACATTTGGCCGTGTTCTGTAACCAGAAACAGGACGAGGAATATCCACAGAGGCACATGAAGGACAATGTAAGTCCCGGTGAACAGGACGATTGTCTTGCTGGCTTTCGCTTTGCAGTCGTTGGCATTGGCGCCAACATTATTCTTCCTCAGAGAAATAACACAGACGATACAGCTGCAAACTACGAAGATGGAAGGTAAGAAGAAGGGGATGAAAAGGAGAAAATGGTAGGTTACTTGGTAGAGGTGGTATTGTGTCTGAATGTCCAGGATATCGTCCAGATACCACGTGCACACGGTATACACATCATCGTAGAAGTACAGTTTACCCTTGAACAGAGGGAGAGTAGCAAGACAGGCCTGGAACAGCAAGTAGATCAACATGGCAACTAAAACCTTCCTGGAGTTGATGTGGAAGAGAGGAGCACGGAGTGCTATAGCTCGTGTCACGCTGAGTATAGCTATCAGGAACACAGAGTATCTCTCACTTATGTTGAGGAGAACACCACAGAGATTACACAGGATGTTCACGGAGAAAGCTCCAGGGAAATCGTGAGATAGCCTGGGGAGACTAAAGGGTATAGCTCCAAAGAGAGACGTGGTGATGTCTGCTGCTGCTATGGCAAGGAATATCTTTGCAGAGAGGCTCTTTCGAAGTGGGTAGAGGATCCTGATAACCACAAGGTTTCCAAACAGTCCCAACAGACCTGGAATCGAAAAAAAAATGTGAATCATTACTTCAAGTAAATGACGTGCCTGTTGTGCAGAGAATATTTATAACAATTATGACAAGAAAACAATTGCCAAGTATTTGGAAAATGAACCAAAAAACACATAATGTAATAATTTAGGGTTAAAAGGAAGTGTACCTGATGAGAGGGAAACACTTCCGTACAGTTTGTCCAGATACGGGACATAAGCTTTAGACATATTATGGTAAGTTCCATTAGTCGAGTTCATCTCTGTGATTATGTTCCAGGTTCAACTAGCTCCTATACAATAACGTGCACATATTTAAAATACAAGGTGTTTCGAAAAAAAATTAAAAGGCAATTTGAAGGCGCTGTTAATTCACGTAAACTCAATTAATTTTATCAGATGTACACTGTATGGTTGCTTTTAGTTTAATTAGGTGCATTTGACCGTGTTAAAGTTATAAAAGTTAGACCGACACGGACAGTGATCAGTGCACTGTCCGACATAACACGGACAGTGACCAGTGCACTGTCCGACATAACACGAACAGTGATCAGTGCACTGTCCGACATAACACGGACAGTGACCAGTGCACTGTCCGACATAACACGAACAGTGATCAGTGCACTGTCCGACATAACACGAACAGTGATCAGTGCACTGTCCGACATGACCAGTGCAACTGTCCGACATAACACGAACATGATCAGTGCACTGTCCGACATAACACGGACAGTGTCAGTGCACTGGTCCCGACCATAACACGATACAGTTGATCAGCATTGCACTGTCCGACATAACACGTAACAGTGATCAGTGCACTGTCCGACATAACACGAAACAGTTGATCAGTGCTCTGTCCGACATAACACGAAACAGTGATCATGCACTGTTCCGACATAACACGTACAGTGGATGCAGTGCACTGTCCGACTTACACGGACTGTGATCAGTGCACTGTCCCGACCAATAACACGACAGTCGGACGGACCAGTGCACTGTCCGAACATAAAACGACAGTGATCAGTGCACTGTTCCGACATAACACGGACAGTGAACCCAGTGCACTGTCCGACATAACACGAACAGGGAACAGTGCACTGTCCGACATAACAAGACAGTGATCAGTGCACTGTCCGACATAACACGGACAGTGATCAGTGCACTGTCCGACATAACACGGACAGTGATCAGTGCACTGTCCGACATAACACGAACAGTGATCAGTGCACTGTCCGACATAACACGGACAGTGACCAGTGCACTGTCCGACATAACACGAACAGTGATCAGTGCACTGTCCGACATAACACGGACAGTGACCAGTGCACTGTCCGACATAACACGAACAGTGATCAGTGCACTGTCCGACATAACACGAACAGTGATCAGTGCACTGTCCGACATAACACGAACAGTGATCAGTGCACTGTCCGACATAACACGAACAGTGATCAGTGCACTGTCCGACATAACACGAACAGTGATCAGTGCACTGTCCGACATAACACGAACAGTGATCAGTGCACTGTCCGACATAACACGAACAGTGATCAGTGCACTGTCCGACATAACACGGACAGTGATCAGTGCACTCTTCGACATAACACGAACAGTGATCAGTGCACTGTCCGACATAACACGGACAGTGATCAGTGCACTGTCCGACATAACACGGACAGTGATCAGTGCACTGTCCGACATAACACGGACAGTGATCAGTGCATCACTAAATCATATTGGCCCATCGGGTTATGATAAATGATATTGGCATATCATCGTGGTATGGATCAATACATTTTGATTGCAATGAAATTATGGTAAAGTCCCCGATATTGGCTTGAGCAGAATGTATGTTCGAGTGTTGGTCGGTCTGTAGGCCCCCGGCCCCCCCCCCCCCCCCCCCCCACCCCGTCTGTAGGTCCTAAATTTTAGTCTAAGCTAGATGTACCCCAGTTACATGCTATAAAAGTTAAGTATATCAACTAGAATGATGTTCGTGTCCGATACAAATATAAACACATATCATCATTTGAGCATCAGTCTGTGCATCATGCATGTCACCTGTTTCTATGTGTCAAAGTAATATATTTGGTTAACGTTTCAAATCTTAATCAAATCAAATAAAAGTTGCAAACGATGCCTTCCAGCATACTTACTAATGAAAGTGACACGAGCCGCGAGCGTTTAACAATATTGTTTTTTTTGTGATGAGAATCAGTACTACGATCGTTCACATATTACGTATTGTGACTGTTTTAGACCAACCCCCCCCCCCCCCCCCCCTCCCCCCCGTATAATAAGTCACTTTTTAGTTTGTAGATTACTATTCTGTAGAAATAAGAGTATTAAGCTTTTCCAAACCCCCTCCCCTACGCTGACTTACGTAAGACGTGAACGATCCCTAATATGTCATTGAAGACTAATTTTAAAGTTGTTGATGTGGTGGATATCAAAAGTTATATAGGATGAGTAGGTGGGGCGTTGTTTAAGAGTCGCATGACGTAATGTTGATAGGTGAAAATTCTGTTTTTCCTCCACTAGCGAGCTCAACAAATGAAACAACTGCTTGTTTCATTTGTTGAGCTCGCTAGTGGAGGAAAAACAGAATTTCACAACTGCTTGTTTCATTTGTTGAAAGTTATAAATCGTCATTAATGATTCAAACACAACTCCGATTGTTAATTTGGAACAGTTGAGACTCCCAGAACACAAACTAAATTACGATCAGAAACCTGCTGGGCCATAGAGGGACAAAATTAAACTGAACCATCATCTCGTAGTTAATGCATATTTAACTTGCTTACTATCGACAGAATATGTTCACTATAAAAAATGGCGGCTTTTTATAGCCGCCAACTTTTAATTATCTAACTATAGGAAATCTCATAGGCCTCCTTCTCATTCTCTGATTAATTGTCTCTGATGCCTTGAAATTTCAGGAAATATTAAGATGTCAGGAAATATTAAGTTCAAGCTGTGTCAAGTGTCAACTACGCCATGAAATTCGCTGATGACGTAAATCATAACCTAGTGAATATAAAAAACGTATTTTGACAGATACGAAACGATTGCATTTCTTTTATGGTTAAGATTTGCCTATACTATATGCTTACATTGGGTATGACAATCGCACTATGGGAGGCTAATGCTGGTGTAGATAATCATTCTAGAAATTTCGACATACTCTGGAAAACTCCTTCAAGGAGGTCTCAGCTTCTCTTGAAATTAATGCTCATCTAGCCTGAAGTTGGGGAGAATATGATTGATTACAGTATCTTGTCAGATAATCACGACCAGTCAAACCGTGTAGTCCCCGTCATATGTAAGATTAACCAAGGAGCGCTCCTGAGCAGCTGTACAAT